GGGGGGGGGGGGGAGGGAGCGAAGACGTCAGCGCGAGCGCTGACGGAGTTGAGGATGACGTTCCACGATACGCCGCCGCGCCTCACATGAGACGGCTCGGGGTCGTGGTTGTCCGAAAAAAGTGGTAACCAACGTCGGTGCTCGTCGTCCCGCAAGAGCACCAACGCTGGAGCCGGATACACGTTTTACATGCCGGCCGGATCCAGAGGGGGAAGCCGTCAGTGGTGATTGACCTGTACTCGATGAGACGATACGGGCGGCCCACGCAGGCTGTCCCTTCTTTAACGCAGCTCCGGCACGGTTCGTGGTATGGCCCGCCGTTAGGGTGGAACCTTTCGTCAGTAATGGCAATTATCGCGTTCCTTACCTGTACATGGGCTCGTTGCCCCACTGGCGGCCTTCAGACCCTTGAAGAAGGACCGCGCCGATGCGGTCCATGACCTCGGCCTGGGTGATCTGGGTCGTCGTGTTTCGGCGTCGGGATGAGGTGCGTCGGGCAGAAGGCATGGTGGAGTCGGTCGTGATGTGGGCGAGTAGAGGAAGTGGTGGATGGGGAAGTTGAGCAAAGTGCCGACGATGGTACACATTTATTCGACGTTGTCGCGCTGTCAAGTGGGGCTACCGTTAGCGATGCGCCCCCTCGCTCCTTTGTCCCAGATCACCCAGATCCCCACTCGTGTAACGTGCCCGGCAGGCTTGCATTGCCCACCGCCCATGTGCGCCCTACGGAAGCATGCTCGCACGTCCGCGCAAGGTGCAGCAGCCCACCAGATTGACAATCTGCACCACGCAATTTGTTGACCACGAGGTCGAGGTCCAAGCCAGTAGGGCGCAGGGCGCAGGGCGGAGCGCAAAAGAGAAGAAGGTGATGACGAAAGGGTCGTGATCTCGACAAGCGATAGCACGTTAGGTGCAGTTTGTAAATATGGAGCACAGGTGCAGCTCATGAAGCGTATATGGTTTTGAACCGCTTTACGACACTTCAGTCAGTCCGAAGCTTCTTGCAGCTGCCACGCGCTGTGCAGGACGTACAACACCAAGTCGGATTGTGACTCTCGACCACTCGAGCACCGGAGGCAACCCTTCGCTAGTCTCCCACGGCAGCTTCTACCTCCGTCAGAAGGTATGTCACGTGATCGGCCCAGCGAGGAATTTCGCGTCATAGCCGACTTGCACCGCACGGCTGCACAGGTCGGCGGTGCACGGTGCTAAGCGGATGGTCAACGGCGGAGGGATGACAAAGGCCAAGTCGCCTTGCCCTTCGTTCCCAGAGTGTCTGCTGGGCAACCTCTTAAAGTGCAGAGCATGCTGAGCGGGCCATGTTCCTCGCTGATACGACTTGAAGCGCGTGACGCCAAGCTGCCGAAGTCGATCCGTTGCCGCCGGTACTGGCGCCTGCACCGCGGTTCGCTGTCGAGGCGCTGCGCACCGTGCCCGCCTGCGGATTCAGCGCCTCAGCAGAACACGACCTGCACCGCCCGAAGCGCCACGGAGTGCTGCGAGTCTGTTCCAAGTCGAGGGGGACGTCGCGGTCGCAGTCCGATGGCGTGCTGTCGTTAGTGGAGCGTGACTTGACACTGAGGTTGTTGTTGCGTCAGTAGTGTTCGAAGAAGACCGTGATCGCCGTATGCGTGTCGATTGCAGCTGGAACCCTGGCTATGGCCACTCCTGCATAAGTGTCGAAGGCATACAAGCCACGGCGAATGGGTAAAGAGAGACTATGCATGACTAAAGCGTAACCTTCTGCACCTTACGTAGCGTACCTGCGACGTCAGTCACGAACTACAAGCCGTTGGTGTGACTCACTTCCTGGTCCATTCCCTGGCGGTCGCCTCGTAGCGCGCGCGGTCGGTCTTGTAAGTGTGAGCGATCTCGGGAACGAGGGGGTCGTCGGGGTTGGGGTCGGTAAGCATCGAGCAGATGGAAAGGAGGACTGATTCGTCAGCAATTCAGTAAACACCCTGATCCCACCTTTAGAGATAGTGAGGGCCGGGCTCCACTGGTCTCGGAGGATGTCGAGACAGATCGAGCCGTTGGCGTTGATGTTAGGGTGGTAGATCTTCGTGGTGAACGAGACCTTGGGAGGCTTGAAGGGGTAGTCGGTGGGGAAGGTAAGCGAGCTGGTGATCGCGTGAGCACAATGAAAACAACACTTCTCTTTTCGCCACCAAAACTTACAGGAAGAAGACACCTCCCGAGTACGGCGAGTCCGACTGTTCCGCGTTAGTCATCACAGCAATGTCTGCTGAGCCGGAATGTCCAGCTGCAAGCGTCCAAAACTTACAGGACCCATGATCGTCGCCTGCCACTGGAAGAGGTTGTCGCCGATGGGGCCGGCCGAGCACGAGGACGGGGGGTCGCGTCCGAGGTCGATGAGCTCCTGCGATCGTGTTAGTCATAGTGCGCGCTAGAAACGATGAGGAGCGTCTGTGCAGAGAATCGCAGGGGTCCGATTGCGTCTGAGTGAAACAAAAGAGACCTTGCATCGAGGGGTGTGGATCGCACACGCATCGTAGTTGCCGAGTGACGCGGAGCCGAAGCACGTACCTTGTTAATGCGCTTGAGAGCCATGATGCTAGATCACTAGAGGTGTGAAAGACTTGATGAGAGATGTGTGATCGGTAACAAAGTGGTGGCAAGATCGAATGAAAGACGCCAAGGGATAAAGAGCGGACGTAGGGACAGGTAGGGGCACAGTCAGCACCGCTGATTCGAGGTTTCTCCGGCTATGACTGCATTGGAGCGCGCACGACGCGAATGGCTCCTGCGAGTCAAAACACGACTCACAGAGTTAGGGGGTCGTAAGATTAGGAGTAGCCGCACACGTCGAGAGCAGACAGAGCAGCAAAGCCTGTCAGAGGATGAGGGTGAGGGAGATGGTTGGAAGAGAGGAAAGGAGGAAGGTGAGCATCACCGGCGACGACACGACGCAGGAGGCGCACGAGGCCCAGCGAACGGAGGCAAACTGAGCCTACAGCCTTGACCATCCGCCAGGCTCGCCAGCCTGCCCGTCAACCAGCACCACCACACGTCCCAGGCACAGTGGTCAGCGACCTCCACCCAGCCAGGTTCGATACGCTGGGTGGCGAGTCACCGTTTGAAATTCCGAGCGTGGCACACAGCGCTGTCCAGCATTCCAGTGGTTTCTGGCGTCACCAACATCGTCATGCCCGATCGCGATCGACAACAACGAAACAAATATCGAGGATTGCATCGACATCGAGTCTCTGCGCTCACTCAAGGTCGTTGTGGTCGTGCAACCACTTCCATGTACTAGGGCAATGACACATTAAGCTCGTCGCAACCACTTTCATGTATCAGCGCAATGGCACATTAAGCTCAAGCCTGAGATCGGAGTTCGGAACAGGGGGAAGGAAGGACCATGGTCAGCGATCCCGGCGTCCGTGTGTGTGCTTTAAGGTGTCGCGCATGCGGGTCGACGAACTCAGAAGCAAGTGAGGGGTGAGCGCGGATATGACAAGTGGAAAGAGATTCCCGGTAACCGCTTGGCTTTGGGTGTATAGAGCAACACGTGTTAGGAGAAGACCGCGATGATCAGCCCCTTCCTCGCCATCACCGAGCTGTCCTGGCGTCGTTGACCAGGTGATGCGGTGGACCTGTAAGCGATGCGCGGTCGTTTGAGTCCGATCTGTCGGCGTCGTCTGATTGCACGAAGCGGAGATCGGCCTTGAGCATTCCGGCGCTACGGCGATGGGTCGGCTCCCTTCACGTTGTGAACCTCATGGACAAGAGTGACGAGTGCTTGACGTACAGGAGTCATAAAATACACATGGGAAGTGTCAAGGGTGATGAAATGGGGTCTTCACTTCTAAGCCGAGGTTGAACGACGAATGTCGAAAGCAGGTGCAGGTCTAGATCCTCGTCTTCCCCTCTCAACGATGGTCCAAAGTACTCGCGCGATGGATGACATGACCATTCAAACCTGTGCATCTAGTTGTACAACAAAGTATGTCCATGAGCCACTGCTCTATGATGCTCATCTAAGCTTAAGGATCCCGTCCCGGACACTGAACCCGTTGGCGAGAGCCCACATCTCCACACCCTTCTTCTCCAGTCCGAGAATCAGTGAGGCCCACTCGATGCTGGCCGACATGTAGCACTTCTTGAATATCGGAACCGCGAGCTCTCGCACTCGCGGTGCAGCCCATGACAGTAATAGCCGCTCAAGAGCTTCGGGCTTCGGGTCTTTGAGGATGCAGCACTCGCCGCTGACGAGGCGGTGGAACGCGATGGGGTCTAGCCGCTCAGCAGCCAGCGCATCAGCTGCTGCCCGAGCGAACGACTGCGACTTGGCCGAGACGAACGAGACCTTTGGCCCTTCCGACGCTTGGATCTGTGGTGATGGTTGAGGGCCGGGTTTGTCAGACTCGTCCGGCGGGTCCAGCGGTAGCGGCTGAGGTCGAAGCAACGGCAACGGCGGTAGTGTGAGCTCCTCCAACGTGCGCTGATACGCCTCTCGCGTCGAGTGGACCAGATGATAGATGAGGAGCAGGCTGCTGAAGTACTCGCGATTGTCCTTCCGTCCCTTGCCGTTACTGAGCGACAGACTCCGAATGTGACGGACGACGTGCGGGACGCTGTCGCGCGAGCTTCCTTCCCTTTTGACTTTCTCGTCCACCTTCATGTACAGGTCGGGGACCAGCCCATGCAGTGCCGAATGCAACTGAGCCTGATCACGGGCGAGAATTGCGTACCGCACCGATTCCTCGAACACCTCAATCGTGAATTCGTCTAATCGTCCTGAAGCAATGACACCCTCGCGCAACTTTCCTGAGGAAGGTCAGCATTCCGCAAACATCCCAAAATATCAGACTCGAGCTTAACGCACGGAATAGCAGCACAATGTTCTTCAGCGTGTCGGCACTGTCCTCCGGTCCAGAGTGGTATCGGCGAATCTAAAGTCAACAATGCTGCGCAAGGCATTCACGATGATCGACACGTACCTTCTCATCGATATACCCTCGTAGCCGCTCCTGGGTGTCGTAGCATTTCAAAGCGTCGCCCTCTTCCGTACCGCCGCTTCTGGAGACGCTGGCAAGCAGCTCCATTTCGTTGGGGATGGGCGTGAACGTCCGAGTCGTAGGTTTTAGATCAGAAGACGGCGATTCCAGTTGAAAGGAGGAGCTGGATGTTGGGTGGTGCTTTTGGGGTGCCGCGCCGAAACGACGCACCTGGCCTGCAGGTCCCATTTGCGATGTACGTGATGGTTCGGACCTGAACTCGATACGTGTTGGAGGAGCTTGACTTTCCCTTGCCGTCACCTCGGTCATCTGAGCGACGGCTCGGTCAGCCATGTCGGGAACATGGCGGGGTAACGGATTTGATTGGGAGGGGATACGCCGGAATCGATTGCTCTTCCCTCGATCCGCCGTTCCAGTCGAACAGCTTTGTGCATGTGCTTCAGACACAGCTGCTCCCTGTCGACCAGGTTGTCCTTGGCTTGAGCGAGCGCTGAACCGCGAGCTACCTTGGGATCCCAGTGGAGATTGAGACTGCGCCAAAGTCTCGTCGTTCCCTGAACCAGCCGGCCTCGAAAGGTGATGTAATTCAGACTGGGGGGTGCGTTTGTTTGTTGAAGCTCTGCCGGAATCGTGATCTGCGCGGGGGACCCTCGAAGCAGCGCCAGCGGGCGAATCCGGCGTCCGTACGTTGCGTCGATGCGGTGGTCGATAAGCCATGTCCACCGATCTAAGCGACAAGCAGGTTCCACTAGAAAATCTCCACAAGTGACGAGAGACGGGGGCGGCCCGGATCAGTCGGCGGCTTCTTCGGAGCTGACGGACTCCGGAAATAAACACAGAGCTGGTGAGGATAGCCAAGGAGCAGGGGCGGCTCGTTTGCAGAGCAGTTCGGCAAGTCGGCAGCGTTCAGGTCTGGGATCGACAGGGGAAGATCAAAGGGATCAAGAGAGAAAGGGAGGCTGACGCGGCAAGCGAGATGAAGACGAGAGGAAGGGAGCAAGCAGGATTGTGTTGTTTCGCTGGGCCAAAGCAAGGCAGAAGTTCGGCGACGGATGAAGTGGAGGCGGAGTACAGGGCAGAGGTGGGGGATTCGGGCTGATTCTCTGCGGGACCCGGATCAACTCCCACGTGGGTCACGGCTCTGACCGCAGGCGTGTTCGTGCCTGGCCACCGAACGCGCTGGCCGCTGCCCGCCGCTCTCGAACCGCAACCGGCGTCGGCGATCGGTCAAGCTGACCTTGCGTTCAGCTCTTGCCTCTGCTCACTCTCCCATCTCATCCGCGACCTCCCCACCCTCCCATCTCCCCCGCGCGTGCGCGTCGATCACTTCGGCTGCACCTTAACCCTGTTTAGCGATACCGGCGTCGACGCCCGCTCCACTCGAGCGACACCTGTACCATGGTAGCGGTCCGCGTCCAGGGATGGGACCCGGTCCTGTGAGTGCAAACTGGCCCCGCACACGACCTCGGCGCTGACACCCAGTATCATCTCTCAGGTCAGTTCGGAGCTCCTTACCGTACGAGCGATCGTTGTATCGGTGCCGACGCCGATTCCGTGCCAACTCTCCAGATCATCTCCCTACAGGCATGTCACTACATGACGCTGTCGATCATCGTGCCTCCACTCCTGAGCGCCTTTACCTCCCCAGATCTACTGGAATACTCTGGCGGCTCTCGCGCTGTCGGGCACATCATGGACTGGCGTGAAATGGCCGCGCGACCCGCAGTGCCGATGGGATCGACCTGGGAGCGGATACGCGGCGCATGGGCCGGAGGGAAGAAAGTCGGCACCCACGACACAGGCGCATGGGACTACGGCGTCGACGACAAGCGCGGATGGGTGCTTGGCTTCGCTTGGATTATCGCGACCGCTGTTGAGTAAGTTTCCCTCTCCTCAATCATCGTCCCCTCTGAGCTTCCCGCAAGAGCACCGAGCTGACATGCAGTATCGCACCCCTGTACTACCTAATCCGACGACCAACACACATTCTTGACTTCTCGCTCACGCTTCTCTTCTTCCACATCGTGTTCACGACGTACTATGCCAAGGCCTTCCCGACGAGCTTCTACGTCTGGGTCGTCATGGCGCTCGGTGCGATCCTCATGATCACGATTGGAGAACAGCTTTGCATCAAGCGAGAGGTCTCCTCAGATCTTGAGGTCATGACTGAGGACATTGAGCTCAGCGACCGGTGACACGACATAGACGCATGCAACGACTTTCATGAGAGCAATGCTGCGTCGGTCGTCTGCTGACTTTCCACTGATCACAGGCATAGTTTGCATAATGCTGAAGTACAAGTGGTGTATCTAGGGCTTGATCTCGGCGTCGACTGGCTGCTTGAGCTCAGCATCGACCCAGTCGTCCTCCTCACCCAGCTCCAACTTCGAGACGCGGCGACTGAGGGATTCCTTCCACTCGGCCCATGCCTTCTGCTTCTCCGCGAAGTCCCCGTTCAACTTCGCAAACGCATCCACCAAGTCGTTGCCCTCCGCGTCATAGACGTTTTCGAACAGGTCGGTGACGTCGGCCGTGAGCGATTCGATGCTGCAGCAGCTGGCGCTGACCTGCCCGCTGATCTGCGCCTGGAACTGGTCGAACGTCGTCTTGTGAGCGGCGAGACTACCCTCGAGCGAGGCGATCTTAACCTCAAGCGCCGCCAGATTCTGCGCACTCGACGAGGACCTTTGTGTCATGTGCAGAGTGTCCAGGCGCCCATGCAATTCGTCGATGCTCGCATGGGCGGCGTTCACGCCGTCCTCGAGCTCGTTCAGGCGTTCCTGCTGACTCTTCTGCTCGTCGTCGACAAGGTCCATGTCGGAGTGCAGCGCGCGCAACTCTTCCTCAAGCTCGGTGTTACGCTGCTGGAGCTGCTGGATCTGGTCCGGCTTCGGAGTAGGCGTGGAGGGGTGGACTGACGTTAGCTGGGGCGCGACAACAGCTCACCCTTGGTCGATGCGTAGACCTCCTCCACGAACTTGGCGGCGACCTCGCAGGCAGTCTTGGCCGACTTGCGAGGATCCTTGGGCGGGGGCGGGATCTTCTCCGCAGTGGAACCGGCCGGCTTGACCTTGCTCGGGGTCGCGGGAGTCGAGAAGCGCTTCGCATGCGAAGGAGGATCGGAGAGGGGAACGATCCGCCTGACGGGGCCCGTGAGACGGGGCGGAGGGGAGGCGCGGCTGACGCGAGAGTCGAGGTCGGGCTTAGTCGGTGACACTGTCGCGGAATGAGTACTGGGACAAGCTCGTTCGATTGAGCGAGCCATCTCGATGCACGCGGCGAAGTGGGCGGCGGAGACGGGGACGGGTACACCGCCGTGAGTTGCTTGAAGTTCCACAAGAACTGGGTGCGGCTCAGTCACGAGAAGGCTGAGGGGGATGGCGATGGGCGGGATGGACGAGGACGCCTGCTGCGCACGAAGAGCCGCTGCTTGCTTCGCCTCGGCAAGGCATTCTTGGAGGTCGGGAGACTGGCTCATTTTGAGAGGCGTTGTGGGGGTATCAGCTGCTTGCCCGGATCAAGCAACGAGCGGTAGGAAGCAATGAGCGATGAAAAGGAAGAAAGGTTTAGAGAGTCAGAAAGAGGTCAGAATAATGGGCGCGTCTTTATGTGCGCGAGGGGCATCCTTCGGGCGGTGCAGAGGATCCTAGGGATGATTCACATTGCATTCTTGTCTGAAGGCTTGGGAGGATCCACATGATCGTCCTTAGCTTCCTTGATCGGGTGCGCATTCTGTTTCTGGAGGTTCTGCCTGATACTGCGGCTCCGCTCGATCATCTTGGTGAGCAGGCTAACGGTTCGCTCCAGCCTAGCGACCTTGGACTCGAGAGACTGCACCTTGGCGCACACATGGTCTTGATCTTCATCGGCCTCGGCGACATTAGATGGGCATCTCTCCTCCACGTCTTTGGTCTGGGGAGCGGTGCAGGTGGAGGTGCTGATAGCGCTGACAGTAGTCTCGGTAGTGGGACATGGTTGCGTTTGGGAGGACGGGGCTAACGCGTTAGGCTGGGGGTCAGGATCTGAATCGACCCCGGACGCGGGACGCTGCAGATTCCCAGCTCCCGCTGGCGTATCCGATGTTGCTGGTTCTGCTGGCGCAATGGATTCGATGGATCCAGAGTTCTGGAGCTCGCCTTCGCCGCCGCTTTCGTCATAGCTCGCATCTGGCGTTAGCACGTCTCAAGCTTCGGCGCTCACAATACACAGCGTATAGCCTATCGTGGAACTCGTCACACGCCTTGATCAGCGACCGAGCTCGAAAGCTCGTGTTGTAATGCCGCATCCGCGGCTCAACGGCTGTCAACGCCTCGAGGGCCGCTAGGAACGCCCCCTCCTCGATGGGCGTCGGAATGCGACCATCGACCAAGTGCGGAGCGAGAAAGTGCCGGACCACGTTTTCCTCGAGGATGATGGAGGGCACTTTGAGGCCTTGCTTGGGTGGTTTGGAGTTGGAATTGCCCATGACGAAGTGGTGTGTTTTCGTGAAGAGTGTCAAGTTGGAAGGGCAGTCGGCTGCGGCGAATGTGAGGAAAGACGTATGCTCCGTGCGGGGCGTGCAGACCGACGACGCAATGCCGAGGTCACGAGGCCGGACACATCAAGGCCGTGTCTGTTCGAGGACCCCGCTGGTGGCGAGGCTGTCGCACTGATGCTTCTCACAGAGGTTCGGCGGCGATGGACGGTGGAGGTGATGCTGCTCCGCAGCAGCCGGCCGTTCTTTCGAAACACCCTTTTCGCGTTAACCATCGTGCTCTGTGAGCGTCGCCCTTGAAACCCTATGGTACGCTTTCAGAGCTTCATACAGGTGCAGCAGGTGCAAATGAAGCTTTGATGGAGAGTTAATGCGTAGTTCTTGGCAGCAGTGCGCAGTGTGAGGCTCGTGCGCGATCACGCACTGTCGCACTCCTTGCGCTTGTGTGACCGTTTCTCTGTGAGGGATTCCGGAGCCTTACGCATCAAAAACAGTTTTCCTCTCTAGAACATACCCAAAAGCGTTTTGCAGAACGTTTTGATATCAGTAGTTTGCGATTGCAATGAAGGAGGGGAGTGGAGGACTAATCAAGCGGCCGGTCGGCAGTGATCTCGCGGAGACGTTCCAGCGCAGGCTCGACGTCCTGCCGTCGGCATCGCACGCCGTGTGTCCGATGTATAACCTCGTTCTACAGAGCTGTGCTCTCCATCAGCTGATGCGTATGGCCCCGCCGTTAGAGCAATCTTGCCCATGCAATCAATAGTACTCGAAGCATGAGAAAACTTAGGACGTGCTGCCGAGATAAGATAACGGTCAAGCTCTCTAAAACCGAGTTACTAACCGGTCCACCCACCCAATTGAGAAGCCTTTTCACTGGTCAGCGTCGCTGACAGCGACCTCCCCTTTCCTCAGACCCGAGAGGAGATGACCATTTCAGGATTTGGGCGTCTTCAGGGCTGCAACCCATCTCCGGACAGGTGACCGGCGGTTTGCGTTGCGTAGATAAAGCTTCAGAAAGTGAGCTGGCGTATGTACCAGTGATACAAATATCGGTCAGGCGACAAAGAGCAGCTCGGAGTGAAACGCCAGCGTGCTGGCCATCTAGCAGGTGGCCACCGGTTGGACGATGGGTACTTCCCCCAAGAGGTGTGTGGAATTTCGAACATGACATCTTAATCTCTTGGCTGAACCATCGAGCACAGCTTCGACAGCAAGAGAAGCATTCCGTATGCTTCGGTTAGCCAAGCAATTCGTGCCCTCGAAACTGCTTGGAAATGTGGATGGTTGTGCCAAGGTCTGGATGCATTCGACGAGGATCGGAACCGCGTACTTGCTTTGACCCGGGCTCGCCGACAGAAGCGACCGGATAGCGAGGAAAGCCTATCCTTCGGCAGTGACCACGCTCCGAGCGATCGAACAGCCCGTTCCTTACCTCAGAAGGGTATCATAGTGACTCCGATTGAATAGTGCATACTGCTAGGCGAGAGTGATGCAGGCACACTGTCGCAATGGCACTGCCTTCGCTGTGACACTGGCGGCGGATCCGAAAGCGTCTTGGCGACGGATATCCTGAGGCTCACACCACGGTTAACATGCCCCAACCTTACCTCATGTCTTCGCACTTCCGCCCCTACTGCATTCTCATCTCGCTCGGAAGACACTCGAAGAGCACACTGCTCCGAGGATCACGAGGCATGCCAAGAGATCACAGACCACGCAGGGGCGCACTCCAAACTCGCCGGAAGTTGGCGAGGCGAATCTCACCCAGCCGACTTAAAGGACCCACTGAACGCCGCCCAGGTGACTCCAGCGTCAACCTGCATCTTCCTCCTACCTCCCTTCACAACTTGAACTTCACTGAGCAACATGTTCGCCCTCGCCACTCTTGCTCTCTTGACCGCCGTGTTCGCAAGCCCCATCGAGGAACGCGCTCCGGGTCAGCAGATCTATACCCACTCCGGCAGCAGCAACTGCTTCGTCGTCCGCGACCCCAAACCCAAGATCCCGTAAGCTGACAATAGAGGGCCAGACTAATAGCAGTGGTCAATGCACCGACCGCACCTCCGAGGTCACAATGTAAGCTCTCCAGTACCTTCGAACCACTGATTCGCCAGTGAGCAGTGCCCCAGCGACTTCCAAGGCTGGAAGCTCCCCGCTTCGGGCTCCTCGGGCCGCATTTCGCTCATCTCGCACCCCGATCTGTGCCTCGACGGCGGACTTCGTGATGGTGGCGGTGCTGGTGAGGTGTATCAGCGATGCCAAGGAGCTGACTTCAGGCGCGTCCCCTCCTGACGGCCGTCGCCTTGTTGTGAAGCCGTGCAACACTCAGGACCCTTGCCAGTTCACCTTCGGCAACGCGCAGTACTGGTGGGGTCCTCAGGGAGACGATCAGCGCTTCTTCCTCGAGTTCTCTGGCGTTCCTCGCATCAAGCAGGTCAAGACCGGCGCGTGCATCACCGTCAACGGCAACACGGCCGAGATCCAGCGCTGCCACCCCGACAACACTTGCGTCAACGACGACAACCAGCTCTTCTCTTTCACCCAGCACGGCTGAACAGCCACCGAAGAGTCGACAACTGTATAGCTAGGACATTAACGAAGATATGTAGTTTGCTGGCAGTAGTGTTATGTATATAGTGATTGATCACTTGCGCAGCAAGCGTCGGACATCACCACCGACAGGCTAGGTGAGGTGATCGGCGGCGAGAACGGGAGCAAACGGATGTGAGCGGCTCGATGACATCAGTCTGTTGTTGACTCAACCTCATCCACCATGTCGGGCAAGAGCAAAGTGCGTTTGGTGCTGTTCGATGTCTTCGGTGAGCTGCTTCCTCGTGCTGTGTCAGCTAACTCCAGACACACTGTGCACGCCACGACTCCCCGTACCGGAGCAGTACGCCGCAGAGGCGCAAGCCCTTGGCCTGAATGTGACCCCAGCGGCGGTGAAGGCAGCTTTCAAGCCCGGTTTGTACAGCTAGGCTCTCTGTGTACCAGCCAGCTGACACACAGCTTTCCGTGAGATGAACACCAAGTTCCCGGTGTATGGCAAGCACAGCGACCCGCCGCTGTCGCCCGAGAGTTGGTGGGGGGAGATCATCACGCGGTGTATGCGACACGCGGGCGTCAGTGAGAAGGGTGAGCTTTTCCAGCACACACCAAGCTGACGGACAGACTTGAAGGAGAAGGGCGGGCAGCTGATTCCAAACCTTCTCGAACGGTTCGAAAGCGAGAAGGGTTACCGGCTCTTCCCTGATACGCTTGACACGCGTGAGTTCCCCCAACTCTCTCCTCAAGGTTGCGCCTTCATCTCGTCCTTTGCTGTTGGATGTCGAGCTAATAGCTGACCTCAGTGAACGGGCTCCGCGATCTCGACATCAAAATCACCTGCGTGTCCAACTCCGACCCGCGGATCCTGCGCACGTTATCTGCACTTCATATCCTGCCACTCCTAACGTGCCCGCCAGTGCTGTCCTGGGACATCGAGGCGGCCAAGCCGGACAGGCGCATCTACGAGGCCGCCTGTAAGATCGCCGGCGAGGAGATGGGCGACGGCGTCATCATGGTCGGGGACGAGCTTGAAGCGTGAGTTTTCCGCTGCGTAGGCATAACTGACATGCAGGGACTACAGAGGTGCCATCGACGCGGGACTGGAGGCTCGCCTCCTCAGACGAGACGGAGAGTACTCCGACGGCGCTATCAGGCATGACGGAGAAGATCTCAAGGGCGTGCACACCGTCAAGAGTCTGACGGAGGTGCTCGAGGAGGCGCGGCGGAATGCCTGAGGGCCGATCACTCCGCAGCAAGGTAAGCTCTAACACGCGTTTGCTTGAGCTCATGCAGAGCAGCTGCTCAGACTCGTTGACGCCGCTGGCTTGGCTTCGGCTGGTTTGGCAGCAGGGCGCACCGCGTCGCTGGTCATAGATGCATATGCACTTAACTTTTACTGCTTGTCCTGCTTGGCCTGCTCCGCAGCCTGCTCCTTCTTGTACTCCTCAATGGCGTTGCCGACGATACGGAACGCCTCGAGACCCTTCGGGAAGCCGCCGTAGCCCATGACGTGCATCATCTGGATGTCAGTTTCGATCAAAGGAGGAGGACTTACAGCCTCGCGGATCTCGTCCTCGGTCAGACCGTTGCGGAGGGCACCCTTCGTGTGGCCGGTGAGCTCCTTCTCGTGGCCGCCGAGAGCGAGGATACTGCACGTTAGCTTCTCTGCCGCAACTGAAGCTCATCCCGATCATTCGACTGTACTCCCTGGCGGCTTGTGTGGGCGCTGCTAGCGATCTCGGCGCTCGGCGCCTGCCCCGCACCTCACGATGTCCGACCACGCCTGTGCGAGGACGAAGGGCCTCGACCGGTCAAGCCAGCGTAGTATATGGACTCACGTAATGACAACGAGCGAGCGGTGCTTCAGCTCAAGTCCCGGGCGCGACCAGAGTCCATCCCAAGCACAGCGGGTGACAAAGTCCTGGGCGGGCTTGGCGAACTCGCTCGAGCCACGAGCAAGCTGCGCATCGACGTAGGCGTCTCCGAGAACACGACGGCGCTGTTGTCAGCTGCTACCGTTTCTTTGTTGCTGTCTTCCTCCTCTGCCTCGACCCTCATTCATCATCCACATGCGACCTTGGCCAGCGGCTGCATCAGTCCTCTGACCTGAGCAAGCAAGCCACGAGACTCGCTGGAGACCAGGGGCAATCCGGAGGCCGCGGCGATTCCAGATCAAGGCGGAGGCTTGTTTGCGCTGGCAACCACTCGCTCGCACGATCTCATCGGCAGACTCCACGATGTGGGCGCAGTGGGCGACTCACCTGCTTGATGCCGTTGTCCCAGATCTCCTGGCGAGCAGCGTCGAGCTCGGGGGTGTGGAACTGGTCCTCTCCAATCTGCTTCTTCTGCTCGGTACCGGACATGCTTGCGATGATGTTGTGGGTAGAGTATTTGTTGGAGATACAAAGAAAGTCAAGCGCAGTATGAATGACGGGATAACTCCTCCGCACGAAATAGTCCGCGATAACCAGCACGCACTCCTGGCACGGATAGGCGGCGGCGCACTTACCCGAAGCTTGTCCGAGTCGATCGGTTAGCTGCACTGTACGCAGGGCCCTGTAACCCCTGTCCCCACGGGGAACATGGATGAACCAAGATTGTACGTGCTTCAGAGTCTCGGCCGAAACCAGCACCAGTTCATGTATGCAGCATGCAGTGTGTGCAGTCCTGAGCTTCTGAGATTCGATGCATGCCTATAACCAAAACGTTCTGCACTACACTCATTTTGTATCTTTCGGCGTGTTACAAGCTTAAGCCAGACGGCCGCCGTCGACGGGCAGGGCGACGCCGGTCAGGAACGAAGCCTCGTCTGAGCACAGGAAGACGGTCGCGTTCGCAATGTCTAGATGTCAGTTCACACCAGGATGTCCTGAACTCACCGGAAGGCTGCGAGATGCGGCCGAGCGGGATGGAGGCGAGCATCTGGTCCTCGGTCGTCTCGCCGAGGAAGGCCGACTTGAGTCCAGTGTTGCCGAACACGGGGCAGATGGCATTGAAGCGCTGTACGTTAGCTTCGAATGGAGGAGCATAACAGCTTGGATACCCTCTACAGCATCTCAAGGCTGCAGTCCGACGTTCCACCGTAGCAGGTGAGCCTGTGGCCAATGCACACTCACGATCTGCTGCTTTCCAAACTCGATCGAGAGGTTCTTCGTGCAGCTGATAACGGCGGCCTTGGATCCGCAGTACCAGGTGAGACCGGGGCGGCCCATAATACCAGCGGTCGAGGCAATGTTGATGACGGCGGCAGGCTGGCCAGCAGCAGTCGTCTTCTGGAGGACGGGGACCGCAACGTGCACCGAGTGGAAGATGGACTTGAGGTTGACGTCGATGCAGAGGTCGAAGTCGGCCTCGGTCGTCGTCAGCACCGGCTTGGACTTGTAGGTCGCGCCGGCGTTGTTGATGACATAGTTGAGGCCGCCGTACGTTTCCTGCGCGACCTTGACGACGTTCTCCCAGTCACCGCGCTTCGTGACGTCGCCTGCTGTCAGCTACAGTCTGACGTGGAAGCGTACACTTGACGAAGGTCGCCTTGCCGCCGTTCTGGTTGATCTCGTCCGTGACCGCCTGGCCGCCCTGCTCGTTCTGATTGTCAGCTTATCCTGTTGCGCCTGCTAACTCACAATGTCCGCGACGATGACGGCAACGTCGTCCTTCTGGAAGCGCTTCGCGATGCCGGCGCCGAATCCACTTCCAGCGCCAGTGACGATGGCGACGCGCTGCTGTCCTGATGAGCTCATTGTGGATGTCCGTAAAGTTTAGTGGGTGAGTGTGTGAAAAGAAGGAAGGAAGGAAGGTGCAAGAGAATGCGACGAAGGCCGGGCTGGGGGCGCTGGTCGCGTATGGTGTTCGGCTGCGGGGACGGGTTATACGACGAGGTGGGCGGCGCGGCGTCCGCCCTGTTCCATGTGCGCGAGTGCGGGCTGGCAAGACGCCGCGCGCTGCGAGAAGGTATGCAGGAACGAGGCTGGTCAGGTGGGCAGCGTGTAACAGCTGCTCCTGGCCCTCCTGGCGGAGAGAATTGGCTGATCATACCGAGCACAGCCGTCACCGCGATCGGACCAGCTCAGGAACACGGACAAGGCCGGCTGGGGCACCAGTGGACTTTCCCGCAACAAGCTGGGGAACCCTCGCTCCCATTCGTCGGACGGTCTGTTACTTCAGCATGCTTCAGGACCTGAATGCATGGCTAGATATGTACAACGGGATGCTATGGACTACAACTTCGACCTGGACGGACCTCGACGATGGGGACGACGACTTGTACACATTAGAGACACTCCTCAGTACACCGATGCACGCGAGCCCGTCGGCCCGCTCTCATACTCACTCATAGCTCTCCTCGCCAACGACCTTCTGCGGCTTCATCTTGTCGGCCCAGCAGTCGATGAGCGCCTCGTCCTTCCTGAGCTGGCCGACCTTGTCCTTCCAGCCCTTCTCGCGCCAGTCGCCGAGCCACGTCTCTTCGGGAACCACCTCTTTCGCCTCGCGCTCGTGCGCGACGATGATCCAGCAATCGTCACGAGCGTGGATCTTGGACAGGCGGGCCAGATTGCGCCTCGCCTCCTCCTCGTCGGAGTGGAGTGGAAGACGGCCAAAATCTGCCGTCGCATGGTGACACGGACAGGGCTCGTAGAGGGCGCGCGAGTGGCCGCTGTCAGATCCGAGCACGATGTCTGATGTCAGCTACTCTCTGCAACTCACGCAGCTGGGGAAGCTACAAGGTCAGAGGCACTCACAGGCGTCCGGATCCTTCTGCACTCGCACAATGGCGATACAGTGTCCCGCGCAGTGCCCCGGCGCAGGAAGCATGATGAAGCTGCCGTCGCCGAACACATTCCAGCCCTTCTGTTCGTAGCCCCAGACGCTCGTGTCGCCCTCAGGAATCTCCTTGATGCGCGCCTTGACCTCGGGCGGGGCAGGTCCAACATGCGCCCCGAAGCCGCCCTTCTCGAGTCCCTCCAGCGCCCCACGCCCAACCCACACGGGTACTCCGGGCGGTACGCTGGCGGGATTGCCGCAGTGGTCCCAGTGGAAGTGCGAGATGAAGACGCCACTAAGCGGCTGGCAGTCTTTGGGCAAGTCCTGGGGGAGCTTGCGGTGGACCACGGGCGGAGAGCGCTGGAAACGGGAAAGGATGGCGGGGTCGACGGACGAGGCAAAGTCGGCACGCGTACCCAGGTCCTGGGAGTCAGCTTAGGTTACCACTTCTTTTCAGCTCACCCAGAGATAGTACTTCCTTTCGTGCTTGATGACGAAGACGAGGATGGGGAGCACGACGGGGTCGTCCTCGTGCGTCCCGATCCAGTCGGCCTTGATTGTCTGCGGCAGGTCGCCGCTGTTCAGCATGAGCACGTCGCAGGTGCCGTTCCCGGTCGCAACGAGGGGCTCAGTCATGATGGTCTAGTTGGTCAGCGATGGAGAGATAAAGCGAAGGAAGGAGGCTAGGATATTCGAACAACCCACTCCTGCGTCCCGGAGAGACTGAGACGAGGTGCGAGCTGTGAGACACAAGATCGAAGGTGCGATGAAGTTCAGATGCGGCGTGGTGTGTGCGTTGCGTCGATTCGTTGCGCCCACTGGCGTCGTCTTCCTCCGCCAGCTGCACGCACTATCGCTGATGTCAGGTGATCGGTCCGATAATATCGGTCTCTTGATTGCCGAAGTCTTTCCTGCTCGGACATTGGTGAAAGACCTGCACACCCCGCGCTTCAACGGATGGCCGGCCCGCGCGTAAAGTGAAAGCATGCTGCACAGAGAGGAGTGGGGTCCAGCTGACCAAGGGAGTCCACGAAGCCGTCCTTATCAGTGAGATTTCGTCACACTCGAAGCAGCGGCGCCCCAATGGGTCAATGCAATGGGAAAATACATGATGTCTAGCCTCTATCTGGGTCACCTCTTCTGGCTCCGGCCTCTATCCACGTCCAGTGTACCTCTTCTGGCTCCATGTCGTCCACAGCCTCCTCCACACCTCCCACTCAGCCTCACCGTTGCCCTCACCCAGGCCAAAGGGCACGCCGACGCCCTCGCCTTCCCTTCCTCGACCGTCCGCACGCCCTCCAGCAGTGACGATATCACACACGCTGAACAGCCCCTGCTCGAGCGCCTTGCGCACCTGCGGCGAGAGACCCATCCAGGCATCCGACGCGGAGCGAGCGTAGGCGACCAAAACCGCGGGGGCGTGCTTAGCCAGAGGGGCGGCGAGAGACTTTGCCTCTGCGCCCTCGCCCTGCTTCACCTTCGCGGTCGCGAGGGCAGTCATAGCTCGCGCGAGCAGGTGCGCGTCAGCATCAGCCTCGCCTGCAACCCAGTACGGCTGCCTGGCACGAGCCTTGGCCTGCGCGGCCGCGGAGCCCGACAAACGCGGGCGCTGCAGAAGAGCAAAGAAGCCGGCGAGGAGACCAACAAGGGCTGGGAGGAATGGCGGGAGCAGCTCTGGGCGCTGGCGGACGAGCGCAATGACGGGCGCCAGAGCGAGAGCAAAGAGCTCCGGTCGTGGGGCAGCAGCCTTCTCCGAGTCGGGAGTGATGACGGCCGAAAGCGTGGAGAGGATCTGCGCCACGTCGCCACCGCGGACGACACCGATACGATCGCTCGTGAGCGCGTTCAGCACCTGGAGGGCAGCCTGAAGAACGTCAAGTGATCGGGAGCGAGACGCCGAGTCGACAGCGAGGAGAAGTGAGGGCAGGGCCGCGGCGATAACACGACCCGAGCCCTCGACGGGAACAGAGAGAAGGATTCGGACAGCTCGCAGAGCGCGAGTCTTCTCCACGTCGTTGGCTGCCTGAATGAGGGGGATCAGGGAGTCGAGCGCCTCCGAGTAGGCGGAGGCATCGAGGCGGCGTGCCCAGTTGGTCATCGCCTGGTCGAGGGCGCACGGGAGTACGATGTACGCCGCGAGCACATCCAGTCCACTGCTGAGCTCAAGCGCAGCGGCGGCGAGCTCACGGTTGACAGTGGCCGGATTGGCGAGGAGGGAGCGAAGCAGGTCACGGCCGATCGTGTCGTTGGTCTCGACACCGAGCCAACGGCTGTACGTCTCCAGCGCGCGCCAGGCAGCGAACAGGTCCGTCTTGTCCTCAGGGTGAGCGAGAGCCGACTTGACCTCGGGCTCAAGTGCCTTCCGCACCGACGATTCGAGTCCAACGAGCTTGTCCTTCAGGCTGGCGAGACGGTCCAGGGACGCAGAGGACAGACAGGTCAAAAGCGTCTGCACCGTGCGTCGCGTCGGGAAGCTCTTGGACGGATAGGATGCTGCCGACTTGACAAGCTTCTCGAGCGGCTTCGGGTCGGTGCCGAACTGCTTGACGAAGTGAGTGAACGCGAGCTGGAGAAGCGTTGTCGTCTCCGCCTCGCATCCCTCGGACGTCTTATCCAGCGTCTTGATGATATCATAGTCAAGAGGGCCAAAGACGTCGACGCTAGCCAGACGAGCGAGCCACGATCGCACAACCGCACGCTCCTCGCCCTTCAGATCGGCGTCAAGCTGATAGGCGGCCGTCAGGAGCTGGTTACGAGCACCCTTGCTAAGCCACTGAGCGGGACAGGCGGTCAGCACGGTGAACACGCCAGTGGCGCTGCCCTTCGAAGCAGACGCGCCGACCAACGCCTTCAGCAGTGCAGAACGCAGGTTCGGCAGCTCCCACGTCTCCGCAGTAGAGAGGATGTGCGCGAGAGCAACTGGCGTCGAGAACTCGTCGATCGACTCGACAGGCTGTGCCCGGCTCAAGATGATCTCGGCAAGCTTCTCCAGCTGCTGCTGGTTCGCAGCGGCATCGAGGACACTGATGCCAAGCTCGGCAACGATAGTCCACGCAGCAGCAGCCAGAGAGTCCTTCTTGACGCTGGCGTCTCGTCCGGACCACGGCACCGATTTGTGGTCGAGAGTGGAAAGGGCGGTGTCGACGGCCTCCGAGTCGTCAGGGCTAAGGGCGAGAGCGGTGTACAGGTACTCAAACTGCCGTCAGTTTGGGGAAAAAGCCGAACAACTTACAGTCTCGAACCTCAGTTCCGGGAGAGCCGACTTGGATTCTGCAAGGGCGCCACTAACGTGGACGTCGGCACCCAGCAGACGAGCGCTTCGGGCCACACGCAGCCTCGCCGCGTTCACGTAGTCCAGAGCATCGTCGCCTCCGGCGTTGCTCTTGCGCTTCTTCTTCGGGCGCTCCTCATCCGATTGCGGTACCTCGAACGCCTTCGCCGTGTGTCCCACCGCAGCCTCAATCTCTCCGTCACCAGGCTTGGCGAAAGCGCCAGCGTCGAGAACGATCTTGGCGAGACGGCTGAGCTCGCCAACCAATCGCGCAGAGGCAGCGCCCAGCTTGCCCTCCAGCGCCGAGGTGACGTGCGATGCAACATCGTTCAGCAGACCTGCCCACGTCGGGCCTCTTCGTCCTCCAAGGTTCGTCAACCGGACAGCGCCAGACAGCTCGGACTGGTACGACTTGTCGACAAGCGGTCCCGTGGCAACCAGAGTGTAGAGCGCATCGAGAGCCTCCTGGGGCAGCTTCGCGTCGAACAGCTCCTCGAGCGACACAATGATCAGGTTGAAGTACTTCGGCAGTGAGTGGGTGAGAGAGTGGAACTTGAGGAGGGCGGCGAGTAGCTCACGAGCCGGAACGTGTACTCGCGGCGGGCTGGCAAGACACCACGCCAGTACACTCGTTTCGAGCTGTGTTCGGTCGTGGTCCAGCTGCTCGAGCGCCGTTAATGTTCGCAGAACGGGTCCGGCAATTCCCTCATCCGTCGCATTCGGCTCGGAGGCGCCGTACTGCGAGAGAGCCGCCGAGGCTTGTCGGGCCGCTTTCGTGACGAGATCACTGGCTGACGTGTCCGACTCCAGGTATCCGCCCCACTCCTGCAATCTCCGCCAGAGCGCCAAGCGCGCTGTCCAGATCGCCTGAAGCAAAGGTGCCGAGCTTGAGTCGATCTTCAGCTGCCCCTCAATGCCGTTCACGAGGTCAAGAGAAGCGCTGATGCCGGAGATAATCGCTGTTCGCACACGATCGGCGACAATTACGTCGATCGGTCGGTCGCTAGAGGTCTTGCCGTAGAGGGTGTAGCGGTTGTGCAGCGTCGAGTCGACGAACGCCGAGAATAGATGCGGAACCGCAGCGAGAACCGGTCGAGGATCAGAGAGCTTCGGCTTCGACGGGCCAGCCTCAGCATTTGAGTTGTCTCCGATGAGGGCGCGCACAGCGACCTTCAACGGCTCGACAGTCTGCAGGGAAAAGGAGTGTCGAGGAGAGCGCCTGGAGGGTCGGTCGCAGTGAATCGTGGTGGTAGAGAGCCTCAGCATAGGCAGGGAGATGAGAGTGGAGAGAATTCGTGATCTATTGTTAGCTCAAGGGAAAGTCCTGCAAGCTGCTCACCTTCTTCGGGTTCGGGGTACCGGCGAGAGACGTTGCGAGCTGGTCGCACACTAGCTCAACCACTGGTCGGAGGGCATCGACCGCGATGTCCTTCTTGGCCAGCACTTCAACGAGCTTCCCCCACTGCTCCGCCCAAGCCTCAGCCTTCTGCCCACGGAGGAGCAGGGGGAGGCTCTGTCCAACAACCTCCGCCAAGTCCGAGCTGCAAGCCTCAGCCGTGGCGACGGACTGGACGTAGCTGGAGAGAAGGCCAATCTGGGCGGTCGGCGCAACGGGGCAGCTGGGGTAGACATGGATGAGAAGCTGGTGGTATTTCGAGTCGAGCAGCGGACTACTGGGTCCCGGCTTGGACCGCGTCCACGCCTCGAGCACCCAGTCGGCGAGCACCTCTGCCTTCCTCGGAATGAGGAGGTCGGCGTCGTTCCACGCCTCGGTCGCGAGATCGATTTTTCGCTGGTTCGGATCCTCCTTTGGCGCCTTGAGCGCCTTGATGAGCGCAGAGCCGGTCAGCATCTTGGGATGCTTAGTGTCGGGGGTCGGCGCGGGTGGTGGAGGTGTGGGTCCGGATATGACGCTCACCGCACTGAAATTTCAGCTCGTAGAGAACTTCGCTGGTGGAGGTGAACAACAAGCACGGGATCAAACGCGGACTTCGCCGCTCTCTCCGCTCATCCTGCGACGCGACGAGGAGGGTGTCAACAATCGCGCTAGAGATGATGCATCATGCACACACTGCCATGTCCGTCGCCACCGTGAACCCATAGTAAGCTCGTCGTTGAACCGAAGCGGCTGACATTCTAGTGCGAACCACTCTCAACTCTCACCGCTCGAATCGGAGGTGCTGTGGGAGTACGCCAAGCTGGCCGACAAGTTGAAACGAGTGAGCTGCGCAGCCACCTGGGGAAGCTGACACGACAGATTGCGGCGCTCGCACGCGAGACATCCGAGAAGCCGAACTCAGATCTTCTTGTGGATTTGAGAGAACTCGAGAGGAAGATGAAGCTCGTCCTGACACTCGTAAGCTGGATGATCCTTGGCTCAAGCTTACATCAGTACCGCGCCAGTGTCTTCATGGCCTTCCAGGAGAGCCGGTTCGAGGCGGAGGCCGAAGCTGCGGAAGAGCAGGACGACCAAACAGTCGGCCAGTACCACCAGAGCGACGCCAGTCTCCAGCAGCGCTGGGACGACCAATGGCAGGGTGACGAGAGCACGATTATGCGATGAGCACGTTTCGTCCATCCTCCGCCTTCCTCATCGCCGACCCATCATCGCACGCTGTACACACACCGCATCCTCAGTATTCGCATTGTATTGTATTTTGCATCTGATCTGCACTTCTATCGCATCTAGACACTTAGAACTTGAAGACCTCCTCGGAGGTGAGGCCGAGGTCCTTGAAGGCGCCACCGACGTCGCCCTGCTTCATGCCGTCCTTGGGGCCGGCAACGGCGGCAACCTGGGGAGGGGGGCCACAGACGAAGGCCATGACCTTCTCGCCATCCTTCTTGGCGGGGAAGTACTTCTGGATCTTGTCCTTGGAGACGTAGCCAGACTCGCCGTTCCAGTTGGCAGGGGGCTTGTCGAGGAAGTAGACGACCTGAAGGCGGTCGGGGTGGGCCTTGGCAAGCTTGTCCCACTTCTCGCGGAGAAGGATGTCCTCCTCCTCAACGTTGGCGTAGAGAAGAGTGAACTTGGTCTTGTCCTGGGGGTTCTCGAGAGCGTAGTCGATGAGCTGGTAAGCGGGGGTGATGCCGGAGCCGCCAGCGACGAAGACACCGCGGTCGAAGTTGCCGGCCTGGTACTGGTACTTCTTCATGGGGCCCTTGAAAAGGACCTTGTCTCCAGGCTTGAGGCTAGAGAGCCAAGGGGTAAGCTTTCCAGTCTGTGTTTGTCAGCGCTGAGCTTTTCCGTCGGAAACGTACAGGGTACTCCTTGATGAGGAGCTCGATGTGGCCGCGGGCGTCGTGGGCCGAGACGGGGGTGTAGGGGCGGATGACGGGCTTGCCCTTGTCGTCGTTGACCTGGCCCTCGCCGGTGGGGCTGCGAACGAGGATGCAGCCAGCAACAGAGAGACCGGCGGTCTTCTGGTCCTTGTCGTCGCCCTCGAAGTCGAACTTGAAGGTGTGCGAGTTGTGGTTGTACTTCTTAACCTCCTCGAGGGTAAGGGGAGTCCACTCCTTGGGGTCGAGGCCGGGGATGGCGGGGAAGGCAGCGGCAGCCTTCTTCTTCTGAGCTGCTCTGTTTAGCTACAACAACGCAAGCCTCGCAACTCACCCTCGGTGCGGTTAATGTAAGCGTAAGCAGCGAGACCAGCGACACCGGCGACGGAGAAGATCATGCCCCAGTCTGCATTGTCAGCAAGGTCTTTGGCTATAGCTGATACGCACTGGAGGGCTCCTTCTTGGGAGCACCAGCGCCGGCCTGGGTCGAGTTGTAGCGCGCCTGTTCTGTCAGCCGGGAGACATGGAGGAATGACGCACGAACTGGCGCGACGAGGCGCGGAGGGCGGGGGTAGCACGGGAGAGGAGCATTTTTGTTTTTGTCGATCCTTTCTGAGGGAGTGAGAAGATCTGGATTCAAAGATCGGATGTGGTCTCGGAGCAAGTATTTGGGGTTCGGAGTCTGATGGTGACGTCTTATTCGGGGTTTTCAATCTTGAAGCCCGCTGCGACCTATGATTAGCCAGCAAGGCAGCCCGGCGACTGCCCGCTGCGTGGTGACAGAGAGAGCCGACGAGCCGTGGGCCGTGAGAAACCAATGGGGCTCCGCTTCCATCATCCAGCCCATCCTATGGCGTCAGTCGCTGACTTATCACGCTCTCCGGCTGTCTGACACTTGGCTTCTCCAACATCCTTGTGCAGGGTTGTCCTGACTCTGACACTTCCAAAATAGGACTCCGCCACCTTCTCTGCCCAAGGGAATGCACATACTAATGGCCGCTGTTCGCGATATCGATAGAGATAACAATGACTTGTGAAGAGGTAAATAGTCACGTGACAAGGTCTCGCTTTTGTTCGCTTGTCGACAACCTCCCCAAAGGCTGAGGTTGACTTTCCTTGTTGACCTCGTTGATCTATCACTCAGCAGCACGATTCACTGCAGCATTGGTACCCGAATGGCCCGAAGTCAGCGTTGAACCTTTCAGCAGCAGGACACGGGACGTGGCCACTTCGATATCTTCATTCTTCTTACAGCAAGCGCTACTGTGCCCTTTCGTTCACAAACGCTTTTCTTTCGTATAAACTTCGACTTCTCGCCTCAGAAGAACTGGACGTCCAAGCCAGCCAGCTCATCCCACCACCGCTTGACGTTCTTGTGGTTCTTGAGCGTGGGAATAGCGTCGGAATGCTGAACCCGTCAGTTGTTTGCTTGCCCTTTGAATCAGGCAGCTCACCTTGTTCAGGGCGCGGATACAGGGGAGGTGATAAACGTCGGCGGCGGTCATCTTGTCGCCGGCAAGATACTTGGTCTTGGAGAGCATGCGCTCGTAAGACTCAAGGACGTCTTCGAACTCCCCCTTCAACTCCTTGTATCGCGCGTCATCGTAGTCACTGGGCAATCAGCAGACAGCTCTACCACACTCCTCACAATCCGGCATCTTTAGCGACCACCTCGTCGATCAGCTCGCTCGCGACCGGGTCAAAGTCGCTGACTTCAACGGCACATGCCTGCTCGAAGCGCATGAACGCTGCGGGATCGTCGTCAGGCGGCAGGAGATTGGATCCCACGTCATTCATGAGATCTAGTCGTCAGATCACACTGGTCTGAGGACGCACAGCGACAGATAGCACGGCCCTTGAACATGCTCAGGAGACGTTCCGTGTCGACTAGCTGGGGCCGCTTGTCGTTGAAAGGTTCCATATCACTGGGCTCGCCTGGCTTTAAGTCCTCCCATAAATTACCAGTAATGGTCGGGACGAACGCGACCTGATCTTGGGTCACACCACCGAGCTGCATAATCGCCAACACACGCTGGAGATCCTACTCGTCAGCGCTCAACGCCACATTGGACTCACAAGCCAGTATGGATGGCCGTACAGGATGTAGGGAGGGCCTTCATAGTCGCTCTCAGCCGGAACAGCGCTCATTGTCGGTGACTGGTCGATAGCCGTTCGATGGACGATGGGAAGATGGTCTGTCAGAGCTCGGCAGCCACGTATAATATACTCGCTGTCTCGAGCCCAGCGCCGTTGCCCCTCGCCGGGTGCCGAGGGCGTCCGCATGGTGCCGAGAGACGACTATGAACAGCGCCGTAAACCCCGCACTGGATATCATGTGAACATCCGTCCCTGCCCATGAATCGAACCTTGTTGCTTGCACTGAATCTGTCGCACCGCAGCCTAGTGCTGCCACTGCTCGGAACATCAGATGATCGAAACGGTTAATTACATCCTCCTCAGCCCAAGCCGGCGCCACAGCCTCCTCCTTCTGCACCTCCTGTTCACCTGCCTTGCAGAAGCCGCCGCGCCGCCCGCAGCTCAGCACAGAAGGAATGTCACGTTCTAAACCTTAAACCCTGGACAGTCGGTGCACGTTCCTCGGACGTCATGACCGAGGCGCGGCACTCCGGAAGGGGACCGAGATGTGGGTATGCTGGAATTTATGCAGAACTCCTCGCCTTCCTGATTCCCTCTGTTCGCTCTGTGCACCTTTCAACCTTCCTAGACTGCGCAAAGCAATGATTGCTCGGCGATAGCGGGTCGCTCGGTTTGCTCGTTACGGCACAGTGGGCCGACCCACGGCTACGCGGTGCAAAGTTGCATCACATGGAGACGTGTCGCGCGTCGGCTGACTCGGCACCGTCTCGGAACACCGGACCCCATGACCATCGTCGCTCGATCGCAAGGTATGCAACGATGCATAGAACGGAGTCTGACCCACGCCGCACTACACTTCGGCCAAGCCCGTTGTCCGTGATCAAGGGCCGGGAATAACGCCGTCTATGATCTTGTGACAGTGAGGAGACTGGAAGTCTTTGGCCGTATCGTGATCGGAGAGTGGCTCCACGAGTTACCAGAGTGTCGAACACTGAATGAGAGTCTGGAGGCCAGACCGCATTTCATGCTCAGTTGATGGGGGCTACAGTCGAGGAATGAGCATCGATTCTGTAGCTGCAATCGAGTCCCAGGCTGAAGTCCCAGGGCTAGTCGACTCGCCGCACCGGCGAACGCCGAGAATGCGAAATCGCAGGGCTCGCATGCCTCGTATTGGCCCTCGACCGTCGAGTTAAGGGTCTATGAGATCTTTATAGCGCCTGCCCAGCCCTGCAGTCCTCGACAGCTGGTACGCTGTGCAGACCTGTTGGTTCATGGCACCGAGACGTTGAGTCTGTAATGGAAACCGAGACCGAAGATCTGTTGGATTTTGAGTCGAATACAATTTGCGAGCCTGACAAGCCTTCCAAAGGACTCTGTCTCACTCCGACTACAATCCCGATCAAGCGGACGGAGCGAAGCCCGCAATCGGCAGATAAGATAAGAGGACGGATGTCATCAACAAAATCCGTGGGACCCTGTGCCGAAGCGGATCAGCGATGCCGGCCACTGCTTGACAGACGCTCCCACTTCATCATCCTCCAGCTCGCTACCCGCTACTCCTCCTTGATTAGATTCAGATGTGTAGCAGCCAGACGACGCTGACAAAGCATTGCAGCATTGCTCTGGGGCTCGTACCAGCCTTTCAAGGCTACTCCTTTGTGTCCATTGTCGCCTGACAATGTCGCAGCGGAGACCAATATGCGCTGTACGCTGTCGTATGGATGCCATGACGCGTCCTCGGAATGGCGAATGCATTCAAATTGAGCTCAGCTCTTAGGAATCCGTCCTACAGTCGCAAGCCCGATCGTCCCGCCATGTCTGACGATGACCGGAGCCACTCCGACACCTCCAACATGACTGACGAAGGTCGACCGCTCAACCTGGAAGAGGGCCTGATCATTTACAAGGACACCACTCCCGAGACTGGGATTCTTGTTTGGAGTGTCCAGAACCGTCGCTTGCCGTTCCTTCACGGGTGGGTCTTTTCTCGCCGCTATCCCCTCGCCGCCCTTGTGCCCCCGCGTGCCGTCGAGCGGTCATTGCGCTCTCCCATCGAAAGATACGCCACCATGGTTCCCTGGACGTTCGACCCACGCCGCATGCGGCGCCAAGACCCCGGCCCACCCAACGACTTCCCCTTGACAAAGCGCCGCTCTATCATGCTCTACCTCGGCATTGGGGACGCTCTGTACCCACAAAGGGTGTACATGGACAACAGCATCTATGCCCTCAAGGTGAGAGGGAATCTCGCCAACTGCTGACAGCACAGGTCATCATCAAGCAGCTCTACTTCCCGGACGCCTATTACGCTTCGTGGCAGGACATTGCGTGAGAGTACACAAAGTTGCCGTGCTGACAGCAGACTCCGCCCTGACAACGGCTATCACGCAGGGAGAATCAACGATTCTATGACCATTGCTCAGACGGGCATCAGAGACGGGACCATTGTCTTCTGCACAGTCAGAGGCGGGCTTTATTCGACACTTCGGCGCTCGTTGCTGCGAATTTTGACTGTTTGGCTGGGAATCATCCTCCTATACGCCTTCCTCTTAAGAGTCCATCCCACTCACCGTATGATGAACCAGGAGCTGTAGCCAACACTCAGTGTGCATTCAAATGAATGAGTAGCTGGCGTCAGCAACGCTCGATCACAGCTGGCGTTGCCTTCCTTGACAGACTGGGGCATGAGAGTGGTCACACCCCATGTTTCGCTCAACGTCACTGACTACGCCCCCTTATGACGATAGCGGAGCACAACTTGGTTATAGTGCAGCACCCTGCCATTTGAGAGTATATATAAAAGGAGCCGTCGTACTCGAAGTTCTCCCATAGCCATCTCGCTCACAACAGCAAACCGGCCATGGCAGAGAAGAGCCTCATTCCCGCCTATCTATTCGGCACCTCATTGCCGAAGATGTACGTGCCCATCGTTCTGTCGGATTGCTCCGACTGCTCCTCTGTGTCCGCGGTTTCGGACGCACTCCAGACGGGAGACTGTAGCGACTCGACCTTGACGCCGACTTCGAGTCTTGAAAGCTCTCCCGCCTCGACCCGCCAGACTTCGCCTTCAACCGACAGCACCCGTAGCACTCTCAGTTACCGCCCTAGCTCGGCTGGGGCCAGCACAATTGGCCGCGGATCATCACTTTCGCCTTCCGTCCACGGCTCGCCTTCGAAGGTCGAGTCGGCATTTGCTGGCGTCTGCGCAAGCAAATCCAAGACTGGGTCTCCGCCTACCTGCGCCGGGGCTCCTTCTCATACCGTTCAGTCGAGCGCTCTTGGGCCGTCAGAACCCTCGGCCACAAACACTACCAACTCTGCCATCGCCACCCATACCGAGACGGGTCACGCAAGTTCCCACGGGGCATCAACTTTCGACCGTCAGCCTGCGGTCAGGAAGCGCCCTGTCGAAGAGGACGACAAAAAGCCTTGGCTGATCGAGTGGGAGCGTCGCAAGCACACTGCTTCGAAGCGTCATATCAAGACCTACGCCCCCAGCGAGCTGGCACTCTTCGTCCGCATTGGCAATCGCACACAGCCAATGAGGGCATGGAAGACCACGACTGTCTACAGCGTTAAGGTGAGACGGGCTGTGTCAGATTCGGCTGACCATCCAGATCTGGGTTGCTTACCAGTACTTCCGCAATCATGGTCCTCAGGCTCTTCAGTTGGTTTGAGGGGAGAAAGCTGCTAACTCCTCCTAGGCTGTACTACGACGGCACGAAGATGTCCGACAGCAGCGTTCTCGGTGATTATGGCTTCGAAGAATCCGACACGATCGACTGCATGCTGGACCACAGTACGTCCCCGTGGTGTCGATGACTGACGCCAGGTCTCATCCCCCGGGCAGGATAGACTGACCGCCCGCGCCCAGAGATGACATCACAAAAGCATGAACGGAGAGTGCGGATGCCGTATTGAGGAATCGTTTGCCCTCTGTGTGAAGCGGACGGGGAGGGAATGAGAATGATGCATTTACTTGTCAAGTTCAAGAATATTGGGGCACCTGAGCTGTGGCGTCGGTCATGGTCTCGATTGCGAAGGTGGTCTTGCCAACCCTCTCTCTATACTCTTGAAGTGAAATGAACTCAATCATGCCAAGTACCTGCTGTTCGTCGATAGGAGTGCCATCAGCCATCTCTTCGTCTCGCAGGTCTGCAGTCCACATCTGAGTCAGCGTCTCGACAACGTCGCCCATGTTGCAAGCCCTCCTGCCGTTGCTCAGGTCTGCAAGCGCAGCATTCACGATCGTGACCCGCGTACCCTCTAGCGCGGCGAAGTACGCAAGTCCGCGAATCTCGTCTAAGGGGTGGTTCACACCTAACGGCTCCGTCGGGTCGAAGCCAGGGATGACCCCCCACCCATGCAGGATGAGCACAAGATCTGCCAAACGCGGCAGCGCGATGATGTCCCCGCCGTCTGAGTTTCCTGGAGTGCGGAAGTTGCACACCACTCGTCGGGTCCGTAGATAGCGACCGTGGAACATCTGCTCCACGGGGGGACAGGCTGCGGCGTGGTTGCGGTCGTACGGTCCGTCGGAGAAGACGATGCGCTTTACGTTCGGCATTGTGTGTGCGGTGTGAAATGCGACGCTGCCTCGGCCCTGCACCAGGCGGACGGTGTGTAGTTTGCGCCAATCGCTGATGTCGACGGGGCGTTTCACGAACTCCGTGCACGCATGCACGTCGAGAATGCGGGCCACTCGGCGGGCATCGGTGCGCGAGCGGCGAAGCTCTGACTGATCTGGTCGGCCAAGGGAACGTTTCAAGAAGGGGATGCCGGTTGAGGCGCTGCTGAACAGCCACAGGTACGGCTCTTGCCGTCCGTTGCGGTGTAGACCTGGGGCACGGAGATCGAGGCGGATGTGCCGACCGAGATGGTGATCCGCACTTGTTCGCCATGCGCGATGCACTCTCCGCACCGTCAGCGGAGATACTTGTATAGCATAGTCGCGTATGGCGTCGACGATATGAGGGAAGGAGGCGGCGTCGATAGTGGCGCCCTCGGAAGCGTTATCCATGTCACCATCGATCGCCATGCGATCATCCTCAGCGTCGGACAAACAGTCGGAGCAATAACAGTCGTCGTCGAACTCTGGCACATTTTGGGTTGTTGAAGGTTCAGGGCTGGGGTTTAATGGCTGGTTTTCGGCGTCGGAGAACTGGGCCAATTGGGATGAGGCGGCCCCTGGAAGGGGTACGGAGCTCGAAGCTTCGACCTCGACGTTCGGCTGGGTGGGCAGTGAGTCAGGGGCGGCAGCGGAGGGGTCAGTACCCTCGTCGGCCTCAAAGATGATTGGGCCTCCTGAGGTGGGGAGTACAGGCTCGGCGTCGGCCTCGGCGTCGGAGCTCAGACGCTGGACTGCGTTGTCGACGCCCGGCTCAGTATCGACCCCCTCGGAAAGGTTTGCGTCTTCCGTTGCGGAATGACTTGAGCCGACATGCGGGCTCATATCGGACTCTTCCATGGAAACGTCCGAGTTGGAAGACGAGGACGTGATAGACGGGGTTTGTCTGGAGGGAAGGGAAGGCGATGGCGATCGAGATGACAGCGATAGAGGAGGCTGCGTGACTGGTGCGTAAAACCAATACAGTAGCGCGGTTGACCATGACAGTTTCCTACTCGGCGTTGCCGGCGATATATCTGTGGCTGCTATCGGTCATTGAAGCGATGTGGTATGCATGTCGGCCCATGATGAACAAGTGCGTCGCGATCACGTCGACGGTCGATGAGTGTCGATGGTCGTGACAAGTGAGACTGAGCGACGGTCGGCGCCATGTTGTGAGACGGCTTGACGCTCGAAATTTTGAGAATTGGCCGAGGTGTATGAAGTTGCCGACCTTGACGTAGATCGTCGTAGGCGGTTCCGACGCACTCGTCGCTCTAACATAGCCATGCTGACCCCGCCCATCGCCGTCAAACCATGTCAGAAGTGTGTCGTGATTGCAAGACGTAGAAAGCACTGATTCGACAGTGCGTCGGAATGTCACAACGCAAGATAACGTCGGTCGTTCATAGAATGTCGGGTACCCGACTCACCGTGACGAGAGTTGACCGACCTGCAACGGTCTATTCTGAACCACTTCGGCACACATCGGCATTGAGAGGCTGGAGACTCCCGCTGGCTTCGAACGGCCAGGCCTACGATGTTTTCAGAGGTACTGGCAACCCCTCAGTCACTGAGTGAAATCATCGCAGGCACTCGTTGCTACCACCCGCGAGTTTGCGAACGGGTACGAAGGGTAAGCAATTGTGAACTGCATAATCAATGACGAACGTCGACGAGATTCCTCACCGAAAGATGAACGCCCAATGTCGCTCAGGTAGCAAGAAGAATACCTCGCGCCGTTGGTGGTGAGAAAGGAAGAAGGCAGGCGGGACGTGGTAGTGCACGAAAGGAAGTGCGAGTCCGGGGCGCCCCCGTATGTGCGTTGTTCCTCTGACCTCCTCGCCAAGATGCACACAGTCTGCACTTTCACACGTCGCTCTCCTCCCAGCGCAACATAAAACCCAGCGCTCCTCCACTATCCTCTTTACTCCCACATTGTTCAACATCTTACACCTTAGCTCATCTTCGACACCTACCGAATCCCGACGTCAACAAATCTTATCCAGCAGTAATTTCAGCAGTAAATCAATATGATCGGCAGGATCCGCAACAACCTCTTCTGGACCATTGCCGTCCTCTTTTTGGCCAAGTTCATCGCCGTCGTTTGTACGCTTGACGACGCTCTGGGCATTCGTGACTCATGGAGCGAGGAGATCGACGGCCATCGTCGCTATCCTGAGGAGTACGGTGAGTTACGAGCCTGCCATGTAACTAACCTCAGACGAGTGTCAAAAGCTGGTTCTCTTCACTGGCGCGCGTCTGTTGGGCGCTTTCGCCGGCGCGTCCTACTTCTTCGTTCAGTGAGTATCTGCACTCAGGTTGGTTCTGCAGTGACACGCTTCGGCGGTGTGAGTGATGGTTTACCTCAGTTTGTGGCTTCAGAAGTACCAGCCCAAGGCGTGGCTCCTCTACCTTGGTTGGGACCTGACTCTCGTTCCCGCTTGCATGATTATGCACGTCCTCCTGCAGCACGACGCCCGCGACTTCATCCACGACGAGGGTGTGTGGCTCGCGGACGCGGTTGTCTGGCTTCTGATCCTCATTTTCGTGAGTCCCTTGTTCTCTCGCACGTCCGTCGCCCCACGGATTGTTCGAAATTCATGTCCTCAGGTGGCGGCTCGCACCCAAACGCTCAATGGTCTTGCTGGATGTCCGTGGGGTGCTTGCACGAGAGATTGATGCACCAAGCTGGAAGCGAAGTCCAAGGCTGACCCCAGCTCTGCTTCGCTATCCTCATCCAGATCTTCCGCGCGCTCTGGGCCGCACCCCTCGGCTTCAAGGAGATCATGAAGACCCCCATGCACGAGCTTGAGTTCAAGCTTCAAGCCAAGGGCATTGAGGTCTAATTGACGCGCAAATGTGCCTGCTCTCCAGATCTCATCAGAACCGAAAGCAGCATTTATAATCATCAAAAGCATGTAGAATAGGTATAGCGTTTCAGAAATCAAGAAAGCAATGCAATACATTGGTGGTTCACGATTAAGTCGATTTGGAATTCGAAGGCAATGCGATGTGAAGAGCAGACTAGAACATCACGATCAGCCTCTCCTGTCGACGAGGCGCTGAATGGTGACATCTGTCATCGTCTCGATCTTGAACTGTTCTTCACCGACGCGAGCCTTGTATTCCTCGAGTGTGAGGAACTCAACAAGAGGACTAAGGGTTTCGAGTGAATGAACCTCGTCGTTTTCCGTGTCAACGTTGAGGAAGTGGAGAATTGCCTCGTGCACGCATATCACGTTCGTTCGCTTTTCACCAGTACGCAGGTCAGACATTGCTTCGTTTACGACCGTGACGCGGGTGCCCTGTTTGGTGGCGGCGAGGATTACCTCACGGATATCATTTAGCGGATCACCGGCGTGGTAGTTCATGAGACGAGAGTGGTCGAACCCTCGCACGACGCGCCAACCGTGGAAGATGACCACGAGTTCGGGGAGACCCTCTGGCAAGAACGCCATTCTCTGCTCGACGCGAGGCACAGGCGTACGAGCGTTGATGACTATGCGCTGCGTGTGCTCCTTCCCGCAGTTCTGCTTCGTACACGTGGCCGCAAGAGCATGCGCCTCACCGCGAGCTGGGGTTACACGTGCGCGGTCGTCCGAGTATGCTCCGTCGCTGAAAATGATGCGGCGCACGTGAGGAAGCATGTTGGCGCAGCCTAACGAGATACTGCGGTATCTTTCGACTTGGAAGCGCACTGTATCGGCCGGCGGAAGGCCGATAGGGCAGTACACCCATTCCACGGAATCGAGAATGTCGAGGACTGCTGGCTCAAGCTGTATGTCGCGGACGTTCTGAACCTCGCGATAGTCGGTCTCGGGATCTTCCCACAGCGATTGTCGTTGGTACGCGATGGTCGGGTGCCGGGCAGCCACAATCTCCCAGGAGTACGGCTCCGGGCAGGCCTCGAAGGGCCCAAGCGCGGGCTGATTTCGTATTCCCGGAACGCAGGTGTCCACTGCTAACCAGTTGGCGAAGTCTGTGTCGATGCGGTTGCACCAGGCTTTGCACACAAGACGGGCTTTTCGGGGGTGGGTGGACACGAGTTCATCGAAGATACTGTCGATGATGTGGGGGTAAAACCTGGCGTCGAGTTGCGTTACCATTTCGAAAGAGCTGCTCCAGACTAGAAGCTGCGAACCTGGGAAGACTCGGGACCCGGGCGATGCGTTGAAGGGAAGGAGGGTAATAGGCAGAAGTCAGAAGGGCCTAATCATCCACCAGGTGGCTAGGCGGTAGATTGCACAACTCTAACTGTTGGGAGATGTGATGTTGTCGTATGGTCATCGCGACGGAGGACGGTTTCGTTGCGGCGGTGTTATGGCTATCGCCGACTTGCGACGTCGGTGGCTGTGAAAAGGATGCAAGCTGGGTGATTTGGACATGCAAGCGCTCTTGCATTAAGTGCAATGACTCTTGCGCCATCTGCAGGCAACAACGGCGAGCATGCGAGCTGGGGAGCCGATGTCGCAGATGCGGACGCATCATTATCGGACGCAGTTAAGTTACCTCGGTTGATCCAATTTTATCCCGGCCAATTCTCGGCTACTTGCCTTTCGAGCAGTCACGTGCGTAACGTCGAAGTCTCTTCATGTTCACTCTCAAAGTGCAGCAGAAGAGCGCTGCAAGGTTGGGTCCCATTGTGGAACTCTTCCAATCGTGTGATGCTACGTGAGACCCACATGGGTGACCTTAGCACCAAGCGAGGCTTCATTCCCCCTCCTGATCCGCTTGGCCTCCTTTCAAATACCTTCCGCTCCTTGTCTCCTTTTGACACTCGCACAACACAGTGAACACGCATCTGGCCTGCTTACAACGCTTCAGATTCAAAAAGAAGCCTCGTATGGGGCTCGAACCCATGACTGTGTGATCAATCGGCTGCTGTTGCGTAAGAGTCACACTATCTACCGACTGATATAACGAGGCGAAACACAGGCCTTGGAAGACCGGGCATGCGCAGGGCTATCGGGAGAGCGGAGAAAATCACAGGAATTCGGAGTATTCGGAGAGAAAGGGCTCTGCAAAATTACCCCCCCCCCCAAGCCTCCAACGCCTGCCGCCAACGAAGCCGCCGGCCCTTCGAACCCCGCTAGGAGCGGTAGATGTTTTTATATCGCACTAATGTGGTTCGAATCCCGCTCATGCCACAGCAAAAAGAGCCTCGTATGGGGCTCGAACCCATGACTGTGTGATCAATCGGCGCTATGCGTAAGAGTCACACTATCTACCGACTGATATAACGAGGCGAGACACTGGGCTATCCGGCAATCCAATAATCATCCCGAAATCTGCAAGAATGGCGGAGATATGGACGTTGGAATTTTGCCCTCGCACCTAAACTTCGCACTTTCGCACCCGAAGCGGAGAGTATGTCCGGTTCGAACCACGTCCGGGGAGCGCCAAAAACAGTTCTCCAGGTCACACTGACGCGGAGACGAGTATTTTGACTGCAGGGCGCGTTCGGCGTTCTCTTTCTTTGCACATCTGACACTCCTTGGCATTGGCACACTAGATGAACGGTCGTGTGCTGTGGCTTCACCTCGACCACGTTCAGACCGCCCTTTATCCTATCTAGCCCGAAAAACAAAAACATGTTCGATCCGCGCTGCTCCGTCAGCTTCGCCAAAGGCATGTAGAGCATCACAAGGATCATTATGATCAGTAAGCGACACAGGCGTGGCATGGGTGCGACAAACTCTCCACGACACCATATAGGCAGCGAGATCACTGTTCATTTGGTACTAAGCATGCTACTTCAACTATGACTAGAGTAATTGTTCGATATTATTGGTCGTTTTCGACGTCATTGTCCATTGTCCATGAGCCGCGCTCAGGTGGGAAGCGTGCAGCTGCTCAGATGGCCTTCAGGATCCACTTCTGGTTGGTGTTACCAGGGGTCTGCCTGTAGACCTGAGCGACACCGCCGTCGGTCTTGCCGTCACGGAGGTCGAGGACGACGGCTTTCGTCAGCTGTAGTTGCACGCCGGGACTTACTCTCTCCCTCAACCTTAGTGTCGAGGACGAGCTGCTGCTGCGAGTTGACCATCCACTGGTTGCGCTTGCCGGCAGTGGGGTCAGTGCAGCCCTGAAGACCGACCTGGCCGGTGATCCAAGTCTGCGTGTTGACTGGCGTTAGAAGGTTCTCCTGAAGTCAACTCACAGGGGCTGAAAGTCAGGCAAGCCCTGTTGTTGGCAGGGCCGACATAGTTGTAGATCTTCAGGCCATCCCACATCCAGGTCTGTCCGGGGCTACCGTTGCACTTCGATACGGTAGCAAAGCCGCTGTCATAGGTGGCACCGAGACAGGCATCGCCCTTGTTGGCAGACGTGATGGTGAAGTTCTTGCCGCAGGGGACCGCGAGCGCGGGGGCAACGAGGGCGAGGAGAGCAAGGGGAGTCCACATGTTTCGTAGTTGTTGCTGTTGCTGAGTTCTGTTCTAGGATTCGTAACTTGCACCGTACAGAGAGGCCGCTTCAGCTCTTTATGAATGTCCACTGAACTTCCGTCTACACAGAGCGCCCTCTCCAGACTTAAGGTAAGGTACTGGGTGAGGTAAGGTGCAAACGTGGTCGCCGGAGCTCTTCGCTCATCCCGAGGCTCACGGCTCGCGGTACCCTCAGGTCCGTCATGCCCCACCCGTCGCTCGGGAAGGCAGTCGGCCACTCTGTGCGGCCATCAAGAGGCAGTGCATATCATGCTTACGTCGTTGAGTTCGGTGCCGAAATCTAAGGATCCTCGGAACTCTGGCGCTCGCCCTCTGCCGCTGACCCGTGAATCCTGGCATCATTTGCCTCCAACATGTCATCCACAGGGCATGTCATCCACAGGGCTTGCTAGGTCCTCAATTTCTGGGCTCTGTCAATGTTCAGAGCCACGGAGTGAGGCACATTCTCTTAGGCAAGAAGGGTTGCCCAATTGTTATCGTCAGGTTCCTGGGTGCGCCTGGAGCCTATCGTCACGACCCTTCACGGCATATGGGCATTTGTCTTGGAGTCGTACACCAGCAGCTCCAATTGATTAGAATGGAGGCAGTCGTTGAGTTTGCCGAGCGCCTCTTCTTCGCCGACTGCAGGGTTCTACATCCGGTACTTCCAGACTGACGGATGCCTGTTGAGTGTCCGCTCCAATTCACAGAACAAGCGTGAGATGGAATGTGGGGGGTTTCGAGAGTGCCCTGGCCAGGCGTAGCGAGACAGGCCCTGGTCATACACTGTAGCCCGAAATCAACGGCGAAACTTGTCCGCGCACAGTGTTCAACTGCTGCAGAGCTCACTTCTCCTCGTGCTGCGGATGAGCATTGGGGGCCGTACCTGAATCTTATCAGTTGCCGATGCCGCTGATACCTTCCCGCATTAACACATGCAACGAACAGCTGAAAGACGGGAACGCCTCGTGCCAACCTTGCGCACAGACATGTGCATAAAGCCGTTATAGTAGTAGTGCGTTGAGCTGTACGCATCTTGCAGACACCAGGTCCACTGTTCCTGCGCAAGAGAGTCTGGAAAAATGGATCCGTCGAAAGGTGAGAATCCGTGACATCACACCACAAGTAGCCAGAGAGCCCAACGCCGCGAACGCCTCAGAGCCCTCGAAGCTGTGTCGCCTTGGCGCCGATTCAGTCCACCGATCGTTCCGAGCCGAGAGCCAGACCTGCATCTTGGGGACCTCTCGTCATGACCTTAACTCTCTTGCGCCGTGACAGCTATGCGTGAACGGAGAATGACAGCTGATCAATTAGGCGTGCGAAAGTTTCTGACTCGGTGAAAAGATCGGTAAACGTCTTTCGAAAGGGTCGCGTCGTGCCAGTCGCTTGACTTCGGAATTGGACCTCGTGACCTGACCTGTGGGCTTTGCATGGCGACCTTCTGAATAAGGAGGGTCATTCGAGTCCGGATCATGATCGCCCCCGAACTCGTAGGCAGGACTGACAGGGCCTTCCCTCTCGGGCATTCTCCTAGAGCTGGCGTTTACCGTCGTTCACGCCTCGCCCTCCGCGAGGAGCACCGCCTGCCCGTATTCATGCAATTTGTCTACATCATAGCAGATGTGCGTCAGTCTGGCGCGACATCACCCGAGACCCCCTCACCTCCCCTCTGTTTACGCATACGCCTCCGCACCAGAGTATTCCACCCTTGCGCCCTCTTCAGAAAGTTGCAGAGCGTAGGTGGACGATCACAGCTTGGGCTCCAGGCACGAACGCCCTGCTGGCTTACGTCAGCCAGCAGCTTAACATCAAGGCGAGATGGCCGAGCGGTCTAAGGCGCTGTGTTAAGGTGAATCTTTCAGATCTCCTCCGCAGTCTTCGGACGTGGGTTCGAATCCCACTCTCGTCAAGCGAGGATTCGGTTCCTCCCTTACGCCAATCTTTTGCCTCGCGGCAGCCCAGGTTTGGGAGACAGCTGCTCGAGAGTGCCTCTCGAGTAGGAAAACGTCCAGCCTGAGGGGTCGAAGGAAGTCGAGGCTGCGGATGATTGTGGGTTACTCAGGATCGTGCCATCCTGCAGTCTGCAGCTCGCGGCTCTCTTCCGCGGTCCACTCGTGCTTCCTTTCAGCCCCATTCTGTGATCAGACACGGGTCCTAAACGATCGTCACCTTGATCGCCATACCGTTTACCTCTGGCCCCGACTGATGCGTGGCAGCGCAGGGGCAGAGCCTCTAGCTTTCGCGGCTTGGGAGGCAGATGAGGAAGGCAAGGGGCCGCCGCGGTTCCAGCGAAAGCACTCCAACACTCTGTCAGCAATCCGGCGGCCGCCGCCCACTGCCCTCACACCTCCAGACACCAGCGTCAGCGTCTCCACCCCATCTTGCTGCCCTACAGTATTGAACGAGAAAGGGAGCGTGGGTGTGATGTTGAGGGCTGGTCGCCGGGTCGATCTTCTCAGGGCACACCAGGGCGGACGGGGTGGTGCGGGGCCATTCCGCCCGCAGCAACAGGGTGCGGGTGCGGTTTCGGTGTCTGGGCTGTTCCCCAGCTTCCACCAGGCAACCAGGATAAGCATGTCAGTAAGGGGAGGAGAGAAGGAAGCAACGCAGAGCCGCCGAGAGGAGGTTTCAGGAGACCTCGAACTAACTGCGAAGGTTCTTACGTGATGCCAACCTTGCCTTCCTCCGAACACCTGACGCGTCGAAACAGGTCGGTTTGGTACTGAAGGAGGCCCAAAGAGCAGATGCAGAGCACCCAGCAGCAAGCTCAAGAAGCCAGGCCCCAGAACTCAACTTGAAACTCCGGTCCGACGCCTCTCTCCTGAGTGTGGACGTCATGGAAGGACACACTCAGGGCTGATAACCTTGTCAGACACTTGCCGCGGCCCGCCTGCCCGTCCACTCTTCGCTCTCCCGTTTCAGAGCACTTGCGTGGGTCGCCGGAGTGAGCGCTTCACTAGCTGCGGCCACGCTCATCTGTAGCAGCAATTACGTTGCATGCTTTCAAGCTAGCTAAACTGCCCGGCTTTCTTAGGACAGCTGAGCTTTACTATACTGGGTAGGAGGGAGTCTAGAAGGATTGTCTATAGGTGTGAAAATTAGGGGAGCACGCTTAGGCAGTGTTGAGCTCGACGTTCTCAGCCTGGCACTCCTTCTTGGCCTCCTCCTCGTACTTCTTGCGGTACTCGTCGAGAGCGGCACCCTCGATGCCGGCGGCCTTGAAGTCGGGCTCGGAGATACAGAAGGAGCAGTCCATCATCTGGTCGAAGCGAGCGCAGGTGAACTTGTTGCACTCCTTCATGTCGCCGATGTGGCAGGCGTCAATCCAGGGGCGGCCGGAGAAGACGGTGGTCTTGCACTTGTCGATGCACTTGGCGTCGACCTGGGCCTTGAGCTCGTTCTGCCAGTCCTCGATCTCCTTGTCGGTGGCGCGCTCGACGAGGCTGCGCGAGTGGAACTGGCCGAGGATCTCACGCTTGCCGAGCTTCTTGCACTGCTCCTGCTCGATCTTGACGGTCTCCTTGGAGTAGGCGTCGTACTCCTTGAGGTCGGCGTCGGAGAGGGTCTTGCCGGCCTTCTTCAGCTCGCTGATGGTGGTGCACTGGAGGCAGTCGGCGGTCTGCTGGAGGGTGTCGCAGACAACCTTGTGGCAGGCGTCGCCGTCAAAGTCCTCCATGCACTTGGCGTCGCCCCAGAAGGCATCGACGGTGAAGGCAGAGCCGTCACACTTCTCCTTACACTCGGCAGGGAGAAGCTTGTAGTAGTCCTCCTTGGTCTTCATGACCTCCTCCTCGGCGCGGCGGACGAGCTTGGCGCTGAAAGAGTCACGAACGGGGTTGGCGTTAACGGCCGAGACGGCGACTGGAGCGTCAGTTCATCCGACTCCTGTGAGAGTTGCGTAGCCTGTACTCACGAAGGGCTACGACAGCGAGAGAGACCATTTTGCTGTTTGTTTCGATTAAAGAGTGTTGAGGTGGAATGAGTGTGGATCGGTTCGGTGCTAGAAAGCGGGTTGGTTGATTTTGCATGGTGTTCATCTGCTGGGTCTTATATCTCCCAGATGACTGCGCAGCATACCAGCAACCATAGGATGGCCAGATGCATGTGCATGCTCGGCGGCCAGGTGCCGCTCCCGGTTGCCATGTCTGCGTACAACCCGCGTTTGTAGCAGCACGTTACCCTGCTGCCGTCCACGCTGGCCGACGTTACTCTTGCGGGCTGTTCTCGGGTGGTCAGGACCGAACTGTGAGGCTTATGCTGGGTTAGCATGTTTCAAGCAGTCGCCCGCCGTGCCGTCGTGCCGTGTGCCTCGGAGTAGACTCGAAGTCTACCCACACACCCTGTACCCCGAGTCCCGTAGTCATGTCGATTGTCTCCGACTCCGAAACTCAGACATGGACCCAGCGAAGCGTCATTCAGACCCGGAGCTCTGTCAGCCACGGCTGGGCAGCGGGACAGTGGCTGCTGCACCTGGATTAGTCTCACATGCTCTACGTATCGTACGCATCATGCATGCAGTCATGCTGTCATGCGCAAGCCGTCCCACTGGCGGACTGGCCCGCTTGCCAGGGTCGGAGGGCAGTCCCTGTCAATCACGTGTTTACCCGGGCGTTTCAGGCCGAGTCTAAGGAGGGTGCACGGAGTCAACCCTGGGCGCGACCTGAGGATGCGTCGCGATGCTGGACGCTGGCGTGTGTCAGCTTGTCGATTGCTGTGCATCCTGATGCAACCCCGCACCCGCCCACACGGCGCACATGTGGTGCGGGTGCTGATCGGATGCTGCCCATCTCCTCATCCGAGAGCCTGTCATCGGGCTTAGCGAATTTATGCTTGCGGGAAGACACAGCATTGCCCAGACCGGCCTAACCTTCTCCGTAAGGTTGAGGGACTGCCCCAGTGACGAGATTCGGCCTTCTATCTTATCACTCACGCTTTATCTCGGTGCGAGCTGCTCCTCCCATGTCCTCTTCGACGTTGCAGCCGGTGCCTTGCGAGTGACGTGCGCCACGCGAACGGGATGCGGGGCTGTGTACGAGGGAGCCATAGTCGAAACACAAGGTTGCCATCAAGTCGGACTCACAGTTCCGGATACCATGATGACCACGGTGTGGTGGCAGCGGTCGTGCATCAGAGTCACAGGCTCGGGAAGCAACTGTGTTAACGAAGAGTCGTGGCCAGCGAACACCGAAGCGGAGACGGAAGAGCGTGTGCATTACATGCTACGCACAGGTGGCCTGTACCACGAACGACCACGAACGACCACAAGCGAGAAGGGCGAAGGGTCACCTGATCTCGTGCTGAGAACATCTTCGGACAGGGAGTGTGTGTCGCCCCTGTCGAACATCATTCCTCCTCAAAGGACGTCCTTTACCTCAGATTAGGAGGGCGCGGTGCTTTCTCCTGCAGGCCGGGCCGCAGACAAGGGAACTAGTTAAGTAGACGTTCTCACGATGTGACTTCCCTCTCGAGCGCAGTTCAGAGCGCTTGCAATTCGATCTGACTTCGGTCTGTCGTTCGACGACGTTCGAAGAGTAATGGACAAACCCATTCCATCTACGGTGAGCGGTCTCGCGGAAGTTCGCTAACCCAAGGCTGAGGCGACGGTCTCAGGGCTGACGACCCCTTGGAAAGAGGTCGAACCAGAGCAATGGGACGCTTACGACCACGTCTGCATTTTGGGCATCGAGTCCTTCCAGATCCAAGCTGTTCTTGAGCAGGGCCCGACCCTCCCCCGCGGAAATCCGATTCGGAGCAACGTCCTGTTTCCTTACATGACCAACAGGACGCCCAAGCTCCACCAGCTCGTCTTCGTGACGGAGTACTTCTCCGTCCTGTTTGCCGACTCTGGCAAGACCCAAGAGAACCTGCGCAGGTCCTCATCCTCTATCACGGAAGTTGACCCAGGCGTTGCCCCCGTCGGCAAGCGACCGCCGTTCCTGCTCTGCGACGACCCGGGGCTCGGAAAGTCGACTATGGCGATGATGGTGATGGCGTACCGTCGCTGGATCCTGCAAGCCCACGAGGAAGGTATTCCTATCCCTCTCAATTCCGAGGCAGTCCTCTCCACCCTGCTCAACGTTGATACCACCTCATTCTCTGCCGAATACAACACGTCACAGCTTGTGGAGCGCAAGCCTATACTCTTCGTCACGCCCAATGCCACAAAAGACCAGATCGGCCAGGAGATTGACATCGTGCTTGAGCACGACTCGTTCCATCTGCACCCCTATAACGAGTTTCGCAAGCCCTTCGGGCGCAGCTCCTTTCATCGGCAAGTCGACGCCTTCCAGAACGGCAAGTCGAATGTGTGTCCTGTTGTCATCATGTCGTAGCATGACCTGCTGTCAGAGGCCAACACGCAGATGAACCTGGAGGAGTCCGATTCCGACAGTGAGGAGAACACCGACGAGAACGCCGATCACCAGAACGCCACCACGAAGTTCTACAAGAAATTCCTGTTCGAGACTGAGTGGGGATTCCTAGTGCTGGACGAGGTCCAGGAAGCGCGTGAGCCGAACACGAAGCGCTTTTATCAAGCCAAGCGTCTCCCGCCCATGGCGGATCATACCCTTGCCATGACTGCGACACCGCTGTGGAACAAGCCTGTGGACCTCCTGAACATCCTGCGAGTCAGCGGCATGGATACGAGCAAGTCATTCCCTGGATGGAAAGAAGTACCGCCTCCCGTGAAGCAGTTCAACGGCAACATTGAAAGGGATTACGAGGACCGCAATCGAAGCTACCGACGATTGGCCCACTTTTGCTTGGTTCTCGACGGGGAGCGTCGGGCGATCCAGCAGGCGTTGAAGACTTTGCCGTCCACGCACAACGATGCCACGGAAAACCCGCTGGAAGATTGGAATGTGCTCTTCCCCACTGAGTGCCCCGAAATGGCCAAGCCGCTGAAGAAGAAGTGGGACGAGTATACCCAGTGGAACACTTGGGCTACTGTCGTTGTGCTGGATATGGCCCGAGGTCGCGCTATCCGACGCACGAGGGAAGCCCACCTTGACTTGTGGCCGCATGCCGAGACGCAAGTGTCCCTGGAACTGTATCCCGAGCTTCGGATCGCGTACGACAAGATCTGCGAGGAGCAGAAAGCCGCAGGTCGTGTAGACGAAGAGGGCGATGACGATAAGAACGACGAAGAATGGCTTCCCCAAGCTCTCGAGGAGATCTCGCTAGGGTCGAGTTTGCCTGGTGGGTTCGACATCAAGAAGCGAGTGCTACTGGTCAGTCCTCCCAGGATCAATTCGAGCTACAAGGAGCTCTTGTCACCCAAGGTAGAGAAGGCCATCAAGATCTGCAAGGGGGTTCTCGACCGCGAGAAGAATCTGAAGGATAAGCAGAAGCAGAAGATCGCCATCTATTGTGAATGGACGGACCCCGAGGTGGTTGATTATATCGCCCGACGTTTTAAAGACGCCGGTATTCCTCTGGCGTCACTCAATGGCCGCATGGGTGAGGATAGCAAGGCTCGTGTTATCATCGATTTTCAGAAGGACAAGGACCACAAGGCGATTTGCAAGTCCAAGTCTCGGATCTTGTTGTTCTCGCAATGTATCAGCGCCGGCGTCAACCTCCACCGTGCGAGCGTCCTGATCACGTTGGACAACGCCTGGACTTTCGCGAAACGGGAACAGATCGAGGGCCGTATCCTGAGGATGGGACAAGTCCGCCGAGTTTCGATCTACCGGCTCCTCTGCCCGAACACGATCGACGAGGGTATGCTGTTCGCACAAATGCGTAAAAGTCGGCTCACGATCGAGATGGAGAAGGAGTGGTGCAAGCGGGCGACCCCGTTCGGCCCGGAGGTGAAGGGTATGCTTGAGAAGCCCGCATGCGCCCCGCCTGGCGCAAGGCAGCCGTCGTTCGCACGCAAGCGCAAAGGCGTTGATGCTCTTCCAGACGCAAGGGCGAAGAAGACGAGGAAAGTCACAGGTGGCCGAAAGGTGCGAGGTGGATAGCCGTCATGTAGTGGGAGGGCGCTCACCGTGTGTATCTGTGATGTGACGACTGTGTGCACAGAGAGATAGCGGTCGAGTACGGCAGCTACACTGCGTTCCACTCTGTCGAGCTAATAAGATTGGCGTCAGATGTCTCCGGAGGCCGACAAGTGAGTGGTACAGCGGTGAAAGTTATGAGCTTAGGAACTGTTGAGACAAGTGGACGTCGCTGGAAGGTGCAGAAAACGGTGGCGATGAGGAAGACCCCAAACAGTTATCTCGGCGCAATGCTGTTACATTTATATGGACATCGAGCTTTACGTAACCGCAGACGGCGACACTTCTGCTCGTGGTCACGAAGCGGACGACGACCCGCACACTGGCCAATAGCGCAGGTTCCCTGTGTCGCCATGCAGAGGAGATATGATTATCAGCTGCATCAAGGTGATAGAGTGCTCCTTGTTGACAATGGCGCAACCCAGCTTCACGATGGAGGGTGCTGTTCCGGAGTGGTCACATGACCAGCTGTCATCGACGTTCAAGATCTGCGTCTCATCCTTCGCCGAACTGAAGATCGCGGAGCCAATGAGCGCCGACGACCAGAGAGCATGCAACTATCAGCACTACCGATACAGGGCGGCGGACTGATTTTGATGCGGCCTCCATGCAGCCCTGGCATACGTTGCTGGTTGTTATGTCAGCTGTGGAGGTCAGTCCCGGACCCGCCCTCACTGTGCGGGGGCCGATGCGGGCATCAATGGCCATGAATGCCGCCGGGCCAATGTCCAACCATCGTAGTCAGCCAGAAAGCCTTCCGTTGAGCTGCTGAGCATGCAGTATAAGTAGTAGGCTCTCGCATGTCGACCTTGCCCTCTTCGGAGTTGACTCCCATACCCGATTCACCTTTTCTCGCACTAGAGATCGGACTGAAGGATGGATTCGGTCAAGCCACCACACGACATCTGCTGCCGCGCCTCGCCTCACAGTAAGTCAGCAACCAGCCAGTGTGAGTGCCACTCCGCCTTTGTGCAGACCAGAGCCACGCGATACCGGCCAATGTTCTAAGATTACGAGCCAAGAAGGTAAGAGCGTGCATCGACATTGCTGTTGATATAGGTCGGCGTTCGTCGACCGACGGCCAGAACGCCTTCAACGCCGACACGCCTCGAGCGCGAAGCTGAAACGCCCGGCCCTGTCTGCCGAGCCGGTCGAGCTTCACTGAACCAGTCTTGGCAGGTGTAATTCCCGTTTTGCCACTCCGTGCGCTCGGTGCTCCAATGCTCCGAGATTCGCAGTTCTAAACGTGCTGCCTGCGCAGAAACAGCGAAGTCATGTGCCTCGGTGTGTGGAGTGGCCTGCGGCTGGAGTTCGGGTTACACTTCGGTGTCGCAGCGGCAAGATACGGCAGCGTGCGCGTCGCGAGGCTGTACGGAGGGCGCGACGACCTCATGGTGTCACTGGGATCTGGCCGAAGGCCATCAGCACCTGGCACTAAGGGTTCAGCTGGGGCGCACGCGGAGTGGTGGCGTCGCGGATTGCCAGGTGTGGGAGGAATGCTCATGCCCAATGCATCCATACCGGAGTTGACTGGACATGACGCGTTCGTGTTCCAAAATGGGAGCACCATGCTCCATTCCCCCAGCCTGGCACCGTGGGACTGTCCAAGGCGCCGAAGCCGTCGGTCGCCATCCGCAATATCGGAAGCAGGCATCGGGCTCGGTCTCGGCTCCAAATCTGCCACGAGGATTGTGCATGTGGACTGCTAAATGAGGCTAACGAGGCAAACTGACGCACTAACGACAGCAGATCCTCGACCCACTAGCCCAGCTGGCAAAAGTGCAGCGGTTGGCTGGAATCTCGCCTCTGAAGGATGGCCGACGGGCATGTTTTGCTTCCGTTGGTGGTAATTCTTGGAGGTCGCTTGATTAATTGTTTTGCCATTTGGCTGGGGCTCGCGAGGCACCAGGGCGATAAGCCAAAGTGGCCGACGGGTGTGCTGCCTTTGTGTGCAGGCCGTAGTTTGCATGTGTGCATGGCGTCCATCAAGACATGGATGGTTTCACCGACTTCTGTGGTGGAAACGGATGGCTGGGAGACAGGTCTCCGTGCTGAGCAAAGTGCGAGTGCGAGTTGCTCCGGCGGATCCGGTACGCCAAAGGAGGTCGAGCGTTTCAAGTGCAGAAATGTCACTGTAGTGACTAACGCCGGATCCGAGGGACCTGACTTTGGGTGCGGCTCGCGTCGGCGGACCATCCACAGACGTCCAAGCGAGCCAGGGCGATCGGGATGACTCAGCCCTGGTCAACTCTGGAGCTTCAGGAGTTCTCACAATGCATGTGCGACTCGAGCGCGCAAACGACTCGCTCTGCCGGAACGGCCATACGGTACGACCATAAGGGCTACAAGGGGCTTTCCTAGTCGGCCAGTAAATCCTTCTAATGCTAGCAATTAGCCTCGCCAGCTCGCCACACGCCATAGTCGTCCAGTACGTCAAATCGTCTGTGCAAAGGAGCCAAGGGAACTAGGGAACCACCACGCGCCGGTCCCGGCTCCGGGTCCGGGTATCGGGCAGTTTGCGCCACCACCCAAAGTGCCAGTCGGCCAGGAGCACCATAAAAAGTGTCACAACAAGGACCGATCTGCGACTCCAGCCTACAACGCCGACGGCCATCGTCAGTGTCCTTCAAATCTCACCACTCCGGCGTCTATACCTCGGCATCGCTCTGCCTCGGTCGCTGCCGCATTCTCCGAGCCCATCTTGGCACTGCAACACTACATAACAGTTCGCCAAAGTTGCCGATAGACGTTCTCCATCACATCTTTCGTCCCACTCAACTTTAAGCGATCCTCCAAATCTTCAGTACTCCAACAACTGCAAATCACACAACGATAGACATGACGACCCCGACCCTTGCCAGGGACCCGAAGGTCGACTCTCTCGGTATCAACGCATCTCGCGAAGACGCCCTCACCTTGGTCGCGTCTGACTCCAAAGCTCCTAGCATGAACAGCTCGAAGCGCGACCTCGATAAGCTTTCCACCGCCGGCGATGCGGAGCCGATCGAGGAGAAGGTCGCCGAGACCGACCTCGAGAAGCAGGACGGCGCTGCCGAGTCCACCGAGCCCGCCGCCGGGGGCAACGGCATCCCGCAAGACGGTGTCCTGCATGGCTGGAAGATGGTCCTCGTCTTCAGCGCCCTCATGCTTGTCGTCTTCATGTTCGCCCTTGACCAGTCCATCGTCGCCACTGCCATTCCCGTCGTCGCCTCTCAGTTCCAGGCCTTCGCCGAGGTGCCATGGCTCATCACTGCGTACTTCCTGACGCAGTGTGGTTTCATTCTCCTCGCCGGCCAGCTGCTCACGATCCTCAAAGCGAAGTGGGTTCTCCTCGGAGCGATTTTCGTGTTCGAACTCGGCTCCCTCCTCTGTGCCGTTTCGAACAGCATGAAGATGCTCATTGCGTCTCGTGCAATCCAGGGTCTCGGTGCCGCCGCGCTGTTCGTCAGTATCATTGCGATCATCGCCGTCATCACCTCCGTCGAGCGCCGTGCGTTCTACTTCTCCTTCTTCGGTCTCGCCTTCGTCGTCTCCTCCGTCATCGGTCCCCTCCTCGGTGGTGTCTTCACCGAGCGCCTCACCTGGCGCTGGTGCTTCTGGATCAACCTTCCCGTCGGTGGTGCCGCTGCCGCCGCCGTGTTCGTCTTCCTTCCCGCTCGCGACCCCGGCATGAAGCGCTCGGACGGCCGCACCGGCTGGCGCGCCCTCGTCAAGATGGACTGGATCGGTTCCGCCCTCGTCATCCTTTTCATCACTTGCTGGCTCCTCGCTCTCCAGTGGGGTGGCAACAACTACGCCTGGAGCAACTGGCGCATTCCGGTCCTCTTCGTCTTCGCCATTCTGCTCACTGCCGCCTTCTTCATCTGGGAGAACTGGTACGGCGAGTACGCCCTCATGCCCAAGGACATCCTCCGCAACCGCACCGTCATCTCAGCCTCGGGTGCCGTCTTCATGACCATGCTCGCTATGCTCGGCGGTACCTACCAGCTTCCTCTCTTCTACCAGGCTGGCCGCGCCCAGTCGCCTCAAGAGAGTGGTATCTCGGTCATTCCGTTCATGCTCCTCACCTGTGCCGGTATCATGATTGCCGGTGGCTTCGTCACCAAGTTCGGCCGCTACTACCCCTTCATCCTCATCGGCCCTCCCATCGCCATCATCGGCTTCGCGCTCCTCTACACCGTCCGCGTTTCGACCCCCAACGCCCGTATCATTGGCTTCCAGGTCCTCGCCGGCTTCGGTATCGGTCTCTCTTTCCAGAACATCATCCTCTCCGTCCAGGCCGAGTACGCAAAGACCCCCGAACTCATCCCTCTCGCGTCCGGCACGGTCTCCTTTTTTCAGCTTACGGGGGCAGCCATTGGAATGGGCATCGTGAACACTGTTCAGTCTGTCTATCTGAATAAGTATCTGAAGTCGTACGCGCCCGATGCGCCGTTCGACCTGGTGCGTCAGTCGACGTCTGCGATCTACGAGTCGGTCCCGCCCGGCCCCGTTCGCGACGAGGTTATCCGCGCGTACGTCGACGCGATCTCCAAGTCCTACATCCCCATCTACATTGCCCTCGCGCTCGCGCTCGTCTTCGGCATCTTCATTCGCAACCACAACATGCTCAAGCTCAACGTCACTCCCGGCATGGCGGCTTAAGTGAGGAGTGGCGCGTTCGCAAGAATTATCAGTAGAATTTTCCATTTTTCCACAGCAACCCGTGCCGCTACAGCCGGCGCGGGCAGTGTACCATTACAAGCACACAAGCATACCTAGACTTCCTATAATAGACTCTATATACCCGTGATAGAATGTCATGAACAATCTGCATCGCTCTGGGACTGTTGGACGGCAGCGCAGGAATATTCACAATTTGGCCGCCACTGTCATTGACGCTAAACTGACTTGGGTTTGGCCGTGGCTGACAACAAGGCAGAGGAAGACGCCGAGATTGCACGTATCACTACTCGCATGCAGTATCTTATCTCCTCTACAGATTGTGTATCTTATCGGCACACGTATGCAGGTGCTGATTGTGTGCAGGAAACGGCCGCCGGCGACGTATGCCGACGCCTTGGCAGGGAGACGGAGCCAGGGTTGACATACACCGCAGACAGGGGCGGCGTCTACTGCCCGCGCCTCCAGCAGCGGTTCCATGGATAGCGGCTCTCCTCTCAACTATATTCTTCCCTGCTGTCCGGGCTCACATATTGAGAATCTTCACGCGGAGCAGAGAGGGCAGGATGAAAGCATCAAAGGGTTAGACGTGTAAGCGAATAAAACTACTGAAATTTTCGATGAGAGTTTATAGTCTCGCGCCGCTCGAACCGAGCAGCCAGTAATCCACTACCCGGAAAATCCGGGGGAATTCGTCTAGTGGTAAGACGCGGACTTCGCATCTAAATGCTGATTGTCTGAAACCGGTGTTCGATTCACCGATTCTCCAAGTTTTTGATTCTCGAGCAGTCAATTGCCTTTGACTCTCCTCTCATTTTGAGGTTCTCTGCGCGTACCCAGCTGAGTTCTCTGAAAATAAACTCGAGGTCAAGTTGTTTTGTCTCGCAAAGGCTAGCCATGTCCTCTCACCGCACTTGGTTAGTACCCACTGGCCACCCAACGGCTTGAAACGCAGCCTGGACTCGCCGCTCGCAGGGCCGCACAGGGTCCGACTTTTTCACTGGCCCGACGCCGAAGCAACTACGTCATAGCTTCCCGCCAGGATCTGCACGCGTCCAGCTTCATAGCTCATGTTGGCGTGCACCGCCGGCTCGCGGAACCGGGTTCCGGACAGGCATCGTGCACTGGGCCTGGTTTTTCTCAGCCGGGTGTTGACTTCTTCCATTCGCTCAATCTAGTCTCTCTAAACACTCAACCTCCGATCGTTGCTTGGGAAGCAAGCAGACAACACACACGTCACTCACACACACGACAAGACACGCACGCGCCGCCTATCACCGACCTCAGACGAACCAAAGAAACCAGGAGTCCAGCACCATGGCCCCGAAGCTCCGCGTGCTCATCTCGACGGACCAGGCGTACCCGCCAACGACAGTGTGCCATGTGAACGGCGAGCCGACTCCAGTGAAGAACAGCAAGTTCGAGGGCACGATCGCAGTCTACGTGAAGGGCTTCGAGGGCGAGGGCAAGGCGGGAGAGGGAGAGGCGTACTTCGGCAAGCGAGACGACATGACCTACGGCATTGTCGTTCGAGGCCACTTCCTCGACTCGCCGACGGCTGACGAGGTCGTCTTCGGCAATGTGTTCGAGCTGCCGATCCGTGACTCGCTGCCGTGGGGAACGGCCATCGCGACCAAGTTCATGTAGTGAGTCTATTAGCTTGGGTTAGCCTACGAAGCGAGCGATGGACCTTATACGCCGGCGCCCGACGGTCATCTCCGGAACTAAGAGTTAACGACAGCTTCATCGACCCCACGCTCGAGCTCGACGTGTATGCCGACAAGCCGTGGGCGCTGTCCCCCGTCGTGTCGACGATGACGAAGCTGCGGATGAAGAAGGGCGAGGAGGACCAGAGCGGCAAGGCGTTCGTGGAGGAGGACTCGCTGTCGGTAATCCCCGAGGTCGCGCACTTGGCGAACGACACGCCCGCGCGCAGAAAGTATCTCGCGGACCCGTCGAACCGCTCCAGCCTGGTGCTTACGCCCGACATCGAGATGGGCATGGAGTTCTCAAACGGCATCCTCGACTTCAACACGCTTAGCGTACAGCTCCCCAAGCCGTTCAGCGTCTCCTTCAACCTGCTCAAGTACTGGGACGGACAGCCGGTCACGTACGTGTGCCGCCGGAAGGGCGACAAACCCCTGGACCCGGAAGGGATGTACTGGAGCGTTGCGTTTGAGATTGTGGACGAGGACGCGAGGAAGGAGCTCGAGAAGAAGGGCAAGACGGTCCTGGAGAGCACCGAGCTCAAGGACAAGAGCGTCGCCGGCGAAGAGGAGGACGGCGCCAAGTCGGCTGCGAAGTAGAGTTTCCAGCTGAACAGGCTTGCCTGGAGATGAGCTGCGGATGGGTGCGGTGAAGTGCATCAGCGCAGGGGGTGACGGATAGCGAGGCACAGTCAAGCATACCGATGCTCCGCCCGCCAGTGCATTTCGCAGAGGGGCGAGCGGACGGTTGACTGGACTCAACGTAGACAAAGCACACGCGTGCGTATAGACCTGGTATGTGATCGGATCTCGGACACGAACGGGACGCGCAAGACGTGCCGAACGAGGAACTCAGCAGATCAGCAGGCTCTTGGCCTCACTGACATCTAACACTTCTGACAAAGGGCGCAGGCTTGGCACACAGCTGACGCGACCTGACGACGACTACTGACCACCGCGTACGGCCGCCGTGCCAGACGTGCCAGATCTCGGAGCCGGAACGACCCTCCTTACACCGTACCCACCGTTGCGCCGTCGCAACGTCGCACTGACTTCGCACCGTGTGTACTCCCACGCCCCGTCGTACGTGTCCGCAGCAGATGATGGCGGGTGGCTTGGCATCGACAGCCTACACACCGTCGCACCCCCGCCGACCCGGTGGACTGCGCAGGATCTCTGATGGACACACTGCCGCACCGTGTGGACCCGTTCCCACCCTCCCAACGCACGCTGCCCGCACGCCGCTCGCGCCGAACGCTCCGCGCGAGAATGTTCCACTGAGACTGCTGTGCACTCGGTCTACTCTCTGCATGATATATAAGAAGCGCTGCTCGACGTTCTGATCCTCCATCCCCATCCCCAACTCCCCCACCCTTCCTCCTCCTCACCAATCCACTTACGGACCTCCCACTACACCGTCAACCACCCGAGCAACCAACAAGCAACCATGGCCAGCGACAGCAAGGACACCAAGGCCGACGAATCGATGGGATGCAATCTGGACCCCGCCAAGGCGAAGGAGAGTGAGTCGCCCGCTTATACCGACGCGTCATTGAAGCTGACCACAGTTTCCTTCGTCATGAGCGAGTCCCAAGACTTCAGAATGTTCACGATCGACCCTCCGACCGGCAAGTCCTTCGCTCCCGGCTTCAAGCACACGACCGCATCGTACTACGCCAACTTCACTGGCGATATGGAGGGCTGGGCCTCGTTCAACAACGTCATGTTCGCTCTCAGTACGATTCTGCCAGCTGACAGCAGGACCATCACCGGCTGCGACGAGGACAAGGATGAGGACAAGGCTGCCGAGAAGGCCTAGGGCGACTGCAGCGGGAACGTCGGGCGCTGCGACTGGGGTAAGACCAACGACCGAAACTCACTCCTCCCTTCCCCCCACCCACAACTCTCCACCTCGCTATCCATACGGCTGGCGCGTAGGTGCCAGGCGAAGCTGACGCGCAGCGGGCCAGGCGCTCCTCACGGGCAAGATCTGCGGCCGCGAGGGCTCAATCCTCATCGCCCAGTGGGGAGTCTGCGAGGGCGACACGCTCAAGATCAACTGGGGCCTGTACGACGAGACCGCAACCGGCGACCTCAAAGGGATCAAGGGCGGCGGCAGCTTCACCTGCGAGGCGAAGCCCGGCATCCCTCAGCCCGGCAAGATCAAGGTTCAGTTCGACTGAGCCCGCGAGTCTGCGCTGTCCTCTCTGACGCGCCCGCGAACGTAAAGTCCGGCACCTGACCGTTCGTGTGTACCCAGTGCTGTGCCCTGAGAGGGGGGCCTTTGTAGCCTTGTAGTATAACTCTATACTGGGGACCCGGACTGAGGTGATTCTGAGGTTAAGTCCGAAAGAACGAAGCCGTAAACGGGTCCATCTCCATAAGAGTTTGTAGCGATGAACAAACGTTCCTTGGTCTTGTGCTACCTCGGGAATTGGCAAGGGACAGATGATTGACAAGACTCGAGCTCTGAAGGAGGAGAACACCCTGGAGAGGAGTATCGAGAAGGGAGGAATGTCGTTGCTGCGGTCGGGACATGAGCAGGTGACTCACCCATTCGGCTCCGCGAGGCACGCGCACATGCTCCGTCCAGCGATCTGGTAAATGACGTCCACATATAAGCTTTGGGTCTTCCTCTGCATCATCTGCTCTGTCTCTTTCACGAACACCGCACTGACCACCATGGACCCCGGAGAAGGACTCGATCCATCGAAAGCGCAGGACAGTGAGTCCCTCTTACCTGCCCCCACTTCGATGCCTCTACTCCCTCCTGGAGCCCTCCCTCTAGCTTTCAAGTGTCTGAAGCACAGAGCTGACACCCAGTCACGTTCACAGTCGACGCGTGCGTGAACTGGAAGGAGAAGTCGATCGGACGCAAGGCGCAACCAAGGGACACGGACGATGACGGGATGGAGGGCTGGGCTGTCGTCTTCGACCCGCCGGAGAAGAAGGTGCGGCAGACGAGATGTCGGCACGAGGGAATTTACAAGGGCGACATGGCCGGCTGGGCACAGCATAACTACACCATGTGAGCTAGACTACACAACATAAGCTGACAGCAGGACACACTGGTATGACGACGGGAAGAAGAGTACTTGGAGTGAGTCCCTTCACCCAACCTGCTGCACCGCAAACTCCGCTCGGCCCGCTCCTTGTCTCACGCCAACGAGGATAAGTCGATGGCCAGGAGGTGGCAGATGAGCTTTGATAAGATGCTACTCTAGCTAACAAGCAGTGGGCCAGGCGCTGTTCAGCGGCACGATTGCAGGACGGCGAGGCTCAGTCGCGATCGCGCTTTGGGGCAACTCGGGAGACGATCAGATCGTTCAGAACTGGAAGTTCTACCCCGAGACAGCGACTGGAGAACTTGAAGGCATCAGAGGTGGAGGAACGTTCAAGGGATCAACAGAACAGGGCCAGCCGGTGACGCTGAAGGTGCAGTTTGACTGATGGGTTGCGTTGTATTGTTGTCGAATGTATTTCCAGACTCCACATCCCTCATATGCCTGGGAGCACTAAAGCGTCTCAGCAGTGCAGTTGAACGGCTTACCTCCCTGCGTACAAGGCATGTTAGATCTGCGTACATGCATGCAGCGTAGCCCGCCTGCATCGTGAGGGAAGACAGGAAGTTCCGCAGACTGCACCACCGGAATCTCGACCTCACCGTAGATCGGAGGAGCGGAATCAAATTGACAGTCGAATCCAGCACCTAGCGGCTCTTCGATCATCGCGAACAACTTCGACAGTCGGCATCATCCACACCACACCGGCAAGATGGGCAAGTATTACTGCGACTACTGCGACATGTAAGTTTCTTGACTGGGTGGCTAAACTGACGCCAGCTACTTGTAAGTTCACCTGCGCGCGCTCGATGCGGGGCCGATGGGCGACGTTTGTTGTCCCTTCCTTTTAGTTACAGATCTGCTCAAAGCTGGTAGTCGCGAAGGCACAGCTAACCCCAGGACGCACGACTCGATGAACGCGCGCAAGGCGCACAACGACGGTCGTAACCACATCGTCAACGTGCGCGACTACTTCCTCAACCTGACGAGCGACCGGGCGCAGAACACGATCGACGCGATCGTGAACAACCACCAGGGCGGAGGACGTAGCCAGATGTTCGCCGCGCCGAGCATGCGCCTCGGCGCTGGGTTCATGAACCCGATGGCGACGGCGCCGGGTGGTGAGTCCTTTCACCCTAGCTTTTGAGGGAAGCACGATAAGCTGACATCCAGGATACCCGCCCTTCCAAGGCGGAGGCGCGCCGCAGGCGTACCCTCCTCGCCCGCCCTTCCCGCCCAACAACGCCCCCGGCGGACCCGGAGGACCCGGTGGCCCGCCCCCAGGACCTGGTGGTGGTGGCTACGGAGGACACGACGACCGTCGAGGTGGACACGGTGGACACGGTGGACACGGTGGACACGGTGGACACGGCGGACACGATGACCGCCGCGGAGGTCACGGTGGAGGTCGCTACGACCGTGATGGCCGCGACGGTCGCGACGGCCGTGATGGCCGTGACCGTGACGGACCCCGTGGAGGCGGCTACGGCGGTCGCGGAGGAGACCGTGGAGGCGACTCGTACGGCGGCCGTGGTGGTGGTGGCCACGGTGGAGACAGCTACGGCGGCCCGCCGCCTCCCTTCCCCCCGCAAGGTGGTGGTGGTGGCATGCCGCCCTTCCCTCCCCGCGGCGGCGGTGGTGGCTACCCTCCCCCCGGTGGCATGCACCCGGACCGTGGTCGCATGATGGGCGGCGGCCGATAGGCCCAGTTCAGTAGTAGTGCAGCGAGAGTCTAGAGTGATAAATCTACATGCATTGTACCAGTACTGTATCCCAAAACTGCCTCTGCAACAAACGTCTACTCGTCGTCATCCTCGGCGCCCTTGCGCGCAGCGCGGCGGGCACCCTTGTTCTCGCGCCAGCGCTGATTGATCATGTCGGGCGTGTCGCCCATCTCGCGCTCGACCATGGGCGTATACTTGCGCACCCACTCGGCCATGCCTCCTCCGAGGGGGTACACGGTGTGCGTCTCGGGTTTCGTCGACTCCGGCTTGAGGATCTCATTGAGGCGCTGCTGAGCGCCGGCAATCTGCCATGCCTTGATCTCGGCCTGCTGGCGCTGCGCCTCGAGCGTGCGCTCCAGCGTCTGCTGCCCGTGCTCGGCGAGGTGGCGGACGGCCTCCTTCTCCGGACCCTCGGGCATGGTCTGCCAGGGCCCGTCGTACGGTCCATAGCGCCAGTCGAGCCCAGCCTCTGGCAGGAATCCACACTCGTGCAGGCGGAGCGGGATAGGGTCGGCCATCTTGTACTTGAGCTTGCCCGGGAAACGCTCCACGTCCATGAGATCCGTGACGACACTAGGGGGCTCGAGCCGCGAACCGACGAGGAAGAGCACGGCCATGATGTGCCGGACCTGGTGCCAGAGGAAGGCGTTGCCGACCAGGTTGAAGATGTAGACGCCCTCGCTCTCCTTCTCAAAGTACGCCTGCAGAACTGTGCGCTTGTGCGACTCGATCTGCTTGGAGCCGTCGACCTTGCAGAAGTTCCGGAAGTCGTGCTCGCCGAGGAGGAGCTTGGCTGCCTCCGTCATGAGGTCCAGGTCGAGGGGCTCGACTCCTGGAGACGGGACGATGTGGAAGGCGTACTTGTAGTGTCGGAAGTCGCAGGAGAAGCGCGAGTCGAAGTCGGTCGGAGCTGGCGACCAGGCAAGCACGCGGATGTCGTCCGGCAGCACAGAGTTCAGCAAGCGCGGGTATCCCAGGTCCATCTGCGGCGGCGCCTTGGCCTTCTTCTTCTCCTGCTTCTCGGCGAGAGCGTCGGTGTTCTCGCCCTCAGCGCCCTCGCCCATGCCCTCGACGGCCTTGCTCTGTCGCGGCACACGCTCCTCGCTCGGCGGCTTCCACGTGCCGTTCAGCGGGTATCCGCCATCTCCCTCCTTCCTCGTGCTGCGGACCCAGAGGTTGAGCACCTGTCCAGCGCCCGAAACACCGCGGTCTGTCCGTCCACAACGGGAGAAACCGCACGCCTCCCAGCCACCAGGACCGACGAGGTAAGTCTTCTCGAGCGCCTTCAGCAGCTCACCCTCGACTGTCGGATAGTGCGACGTCGGTTGGATCGCGAGACCAGAGTACGGCCATCCCAGGTACGAGACGAGCAGCGCAATGTGCCGCGTCGACTGGGCGCCCCACTGGAACTGCACCGGCTCCTTCTTCTTCCTTACGAACTTGGGCTTCTCAGCGGCACTAGCAGCAGGGGTGGAGGTAACGGGGGCGACGGTGGGGGCGGAGGGTGTGGGGGGTTTCGGCGTCGGCTGGGTGTGGTACTCGTCCGGGCCGGGGACCTTTTTCGGGCTGGACTCGAGGGCGGCGAGACGAGCAATGAGCTCGTCCCTCGTCATATCGACGTAGCGGTTCATGATCTTTGGCAGCACACGTTTCGGGTACGGGCTGATGAGCATGTACTTTGGGGCGGGTAACTTTGGGGCGGGTATCGTTGCGAGATGTCGATCGCCGACCGGGAGTGTAATAGAGTGACGGCAAATACAAGGAGTGGATAAGCACGGACCCGAAATCAGAAATTTCAGGTGTGGAGGAAGGTCCAGAGTGGAGGATGGTTTGAATGCAGTCGGCTTGGGACACTGTCCATTTTAGGAACGGCGTGCCTGGGAATGACAGCTGGGTGAGCGTTGCTTTGACGGCGCCCGACTTTAGTCTGCGGATGCGCGGAGGGAGACCCAGTCTCCACTCGAACCCGACCCTCGTCATCACTGCTTGCATTCGACTGTCCTCCATCGCATCCCCCACCACCCCCATCCCCGTGTTCGTCTGACACGGCTCGCCCCTCATGCCCCCCAAGAGCCGCCCTGCACGCGCAGAGCCGGCACCCGCCACCCCGGCGCAGGCGGTCCTCGCAAAGCGCTTCTCCACACCATGGCTCTGGCTCCTCCCCATCGTCACCGTCCTTCCTTACCTCTGCTCCGTCCTCCACTACTCCCTCCCCGAGCCTCTGCCCCCTGTGTAAGCTTCCTGACACGCACGTCTAGCTAACAGCAGTGACTCCAATGGCGTCGCCCAGCCCTCTGAGGAGATCGTCATGCGCCATGTCCAGGCCCTCGAGAACTGCGGCTACCGCACTGTCGGCACGGAGGAGGCTGTCCTCGGCGAGCAGTACGTCGAGAAGCAGGTGCGCGAGATCGCGGACCGTTGCCACAAGAATGGCGTCCTCGACTGCGAGGTTTGGGTCCAGAAGGGCTCCGGTTACCACTCGTGAGTATCTTCCATCGGTAACAGTGATGCTGCGCAAGGAACCAGCGGCATTGCATGGTCCTCGCGGTGCATCGTAACAGGTATCCGTATAGTGCTCCGTACCAGAACATCTGGTCGCTGTCATCTACGGCATCCCAATGCCGAAACCTTAATCATCATTACATTGGCGTTCCTGTTCGAGGGAGTGGCTGACGCACGGCAGATTCTCGATCATGTCCCACGACGTTCTGAAGCTGTATGCCGGTATTGCGAACATCGTTCTGAAGATCTCGGCGAAGGAGCCCCCTTCAGGCAAGCCTGAGGGAAGGCAGGACGCTGTCCTCCTGAACGCGCACATTGACTCGACTCTTCCTTCTCCCGGTGCTGCTGAGTGAGTATCAGCAGGTGGCACTCGATGCCTCCCCCCAAAAATGACGAGGTGACTAACATCACCCCAGCGATGGAATCGGAGTCGGTGTTATGCTTGACCTCGCCCGTGTTCTTGTGGACCGCAACCAGCCCTTCGACAATGCGATCATCTTCCGTGCGTGTGACGCTGTTGCGTGGGGACGTGGGAACTAACGCCACAGTGTGGAATGGCGCGGAGGAGACCCTCCAGGATGGCTCCCATCTGTACTCCACCCAGCAGGAGACAGCGCCTGAGTGAGTCCAGCTACATTATTGATGCTCTCCAGCTGACATGCAGGGTCCGCGCCATGATCAACCTGGAGGCAGCCGGTACTACCGGTGGCGCGCTGCTCTTCCAGGCGACGAGTAAGGAGATGATCGAGGCGTTCTCGCACTCCCCGTACCCGCGCGGTACGGTGATTGCCGCTGACGTTTTCTCCTCGGGCATCATTCTCTCGGACACCGACTTCGGTCAGTTTGAGGAGTACCTCGGCGTTTCTGGTCTGGACATGGCGATCGTCGGCCACTCGTACTACTACCACACGCGCAAGGACATTACCGCCAACATTGAGCGTGGCTCGGGTCAGCACTTCTCGAGCAACGTTATGGCTATCGTCGACTACCTGCTCTCTCCTGCTTCGCCGCTGCACAGCGACAAGCCCTTCTCGCCCCCTGATGTCGTGTACATGTCGCTTTACGACCGCCTCTTCTTCTCCTGGACGATGAAGAGTGCTGACTTTGCTTATGTCGCCATCGCCACTGCTGTCGTCACCCTCGCCGCCGCGTGCGTCCGTCGCGACAGGCTGCAGGCTTTCGGTCTGTCTCTTCTCGCCGCGCCTCTCTCGCTCCTCCACGGCTTCATCACGACCAATGTCGCCGCGGCCGCGATGCAGGCGAGCGGCAACCGCTCTGCATGGTTCTCGCACGAGGGTCTCGCTGTAGCGCTCTACTTCCCCGCCGGTCTGTGGGGCTACTGCTTTACGCAGTTCGGTTTGGACACCTTTGTGCCCCCCGAGGAGGCGGACTACCTCCAGACCGCGCACTACTACGCCCAGCTTCTCGCCCTCACGGCCTACATGCTTATCCTACAGGCCCTCCGTGTCCGCTCGGCGTACCTGTTCGCGGGCTTGTCTTGCATTCTGCTGCTCGGCGCCACGGCGACTGAGGCATACAAGTACTTCGGCGGTCGAAGCGTTCGCACTTCGTTTGCGATTGCGTACATCGTTCCCTTATCGCTCCTCGTCATCCTCGGCATGGAGGCGTTCACGACGACTCTGGACATCTTCATTCCCCTCGCGGGCCGCATGGGCAAGGAGGCGCCGACCGAGTTCCTCGTCGCCACGATCGCTTCTGGCTGTGGTCTCCTGTTCTTCCCTCTCGCCTCGCCGCTGTATGCGCGCCTGACCCGCTTCGGACAGTTCAAGGTGCTCATGCTGCTCATGCTCACCGTCGTCAGCATCGGCACGTACTTCTCGCTCCCGACGTGGAAGGCCTACGATGCTCAGCACCCCAAGCGCATGGGCGTGCAGTACACGTACAACCACACCTCGGACGAGCACACGGCGCACTTCGCCTTCATGGACATGCGCGGCAACACCGAGGTCATTGAGACTTTCCACAAGCGCTACGGAGGACAGACCAAGCTCGAGCACACCCAGGTCGACGACTACAACTCGGACTGGGACACGCTGTACCCCGTCTCGTCCTTCCTGGATACTTACAAGTTCCCTCTTCCCTATGTCGGTTTCGACTGGCCGAAGCTCCATCACACGTCGGAGCGTGAGCGCACGCCCGACGGAAACCTCCACATTCGCATCAAGATGGACCACGAGGGTCTGGTCTGGCCCGCGCTCGCGTTCGAGGCTGACCTCGTCGACTGGAGCTACGACTTTGCTCCGCCTCATGGACGTCAGAGGCACCACATCAAGGCCGCGACGAGCGTCGACGAGCACACGATTGAGCTCGAGCTCGTAGTTCGCATTCCGGATGAGGAGAAAATCCAGCTCCACTGGAGTGCTATTGGTGAGTGCAGTAGCCTCGCGCAGCGTTACAAGCTGCCCGCGACCGACGGATGAGCTGACCTCAGACCTGAACCAGATGGTGCCCGGCACGGCTTCGAAGCGCGGTCCCAACATGCCCGCGTCCAAGTGGCTCACGGAGATGGACAAGTGGTCCAAGAAGAAGTACGACGGCTCGCTCGACATCTGCATGAACGGTGTCGTCTGTGGTGTCATCGAGGTCTAAGTCGCGGCTTCAGAACCGTGAAGGTCCTCTCAGCTGGATGCGCCGAAAAGCACGTTGAGCGCAGCAGCGTCTCAGTGTGTATGCTTGGGCACGTCAATGTCCCGTGGATGAGCGAAGAGCATCCGACGCATAGAACCAATTACTCAGTAATGCAATGCAAGAACAGTGTTATGATTGGAGTCTTGGAGAGTGCCTCTGTCGGGGAGCGGGTGCGGCGTTAGTGACTAGTGGTCGGAAGCGGTTACGTCAAGCGTTGCCGGAGGTATGCGATCGATCGGAGCAAGGGCCGATGCATGGGGCTGGGGCAACTGTTGTTATCTGCGGAGACGTCGTTGTCGTTAATTGCACGATCGTCGTCGTTTGCGCTGTCGTGCACACATTGAAAGTCACGGCAGATGGAGAAGCACGTCGCACCGGGTCTTGACGATGGCCGATGCGAGGTTAAATACCGAAGGGTGCATGATTGGCGAGATACAGGCGGTGCCCAGCCAGGCTCACCGTGGGGCCTTGCGCAGGGTCTGTAAGCGATAGCGCTCAGATTGGCGGACGGCCGCGCTCAGCGTCTGTATACGGCACGGAACTACTGAATCACGTGACCCTCCGGCTCGGCTAACACCTAGGGACAGCCGAATGCGAGTGACGCTTGCCTGGTATTTATGGGGTGCTGTAGCTTTCCGAGGTGTCCTCTTCTCACCACCACCACCCCTCTCACCGCTCACCGCACCAAAAGATCAAGATGCTCGTCACCCTCCGCCCCTCCGTCGCCGCCCGCTCGGCCCTCAAGCAGGCCGCTCGCGCCATGTCCACTCAGGCCGAGCCCCTCGTCCTCACCAGGCGCTCTGACTCGGGCAAGGTCGAGATCATCCAGCTCAACCGCCCCAAGGCCCTCAACGCCCTCTCCTCGCCCCTCTTCAACGAGCTCAACGCCGCCATGGAGAAGGCCGACAACGACCCCGAGGTCCGCGCCATCGTCCTCACCGGCGGTGACAAGGTCTTCGCTGCTGGTGCCGACATCAAGGAGATGAAGGACAAGGAGTGTGAGTAATTGAAGCTGGGAGGTGTAGCATCCGAAGCTAACCTGTAGTCGCCGACGCCTACAAGAACAACTTCCTCGGCACCTGGGGCAAGGTTGGCACCATCAAGAAGCCCATCGTCGGTGCCGTCGCCGGCTACGCTGTGAGTATGCGATTCCCACGGCTTGGTCCGAAGCCGACCGAGCTCGGGATATAGCTAACGCCCAGCTTGGCGGTGGCTGCGAGCTCGCCATGATGGCCGACATCCTCATCTGCTCTGAGAAGGCCACCTTCGGCCAGCCCGAGATCACCCTCGGCATCATCCCCGGTGGTGGTGGCACCCAGCGCCTGACTGGCCTCATTGGCAAGTCGCGCACCATGGACATGGTCCTCGCCAACCGCAAGATCAACGGTACCGAGGCCGCCCAGTGGGGTCTCTGTGCCCGCGTCGTCCCCGCCGAGCAGTCCGTCACTGAGGAGGCCGTCAAGATCGCCGAGCAGATCGCCAAGTTCGGCCAGGTCGCCGCCATCGCCGGCAAGGAGACCGTCAACGCTGGTGAGTACGCTGAGCGCCGAGCGCCGATGGCGCGAGGTGCAGGGATCGCCCTGGAGCCGAAGGCTCCTTGGCACCCGTCTCCAACGGGCTTTCGAGCCGAGTCTGAACAGCCGCTGACAACCAGCCCTCGAGCTCCCTCTCCAGGAGGGTCTCCGCTTCGAGCGCCGCATCTTCCAGGCCCTCTTCGCCACCAAGGACCAGAAGGAGGGCATGGCCGCCTTCGCCGAGAAGCGCAAGCCCACCTGGTCGGACAACTAAGCGTCTCCGCGTTCCAGCATAGAGGATACAAGGAGAGAGCCAAGCTAGAAGTCACACCAAAATGCATAAGCGTGTAGTAACATAGAAAAGAAATTGATCGCACTGCAGTGTCGCAGCACATGCACACTGACCCTCTTTGCGGGAGCTTGAATGCTACAACCTCTGCAGCTTCTGCAGGCTTGGATCCTATGCCGTTTCCGAGACATAGCCAAGTGGCAGAGAAGAAGGCAGGAGTGGGTGACTGATAGCCGAAGTCTCGCGTCTCGGTGCCGCTTCACCCCTATTTCGCACTCGCTTCCAATTTCCCCCTCCTCCAGGCCCAGAGCAGGCTCGAGCGCCCCCCCTGTTCTCCGGGGGCCATCTAGACCTTACCTTCACGCAGGAGAGGCCAGCATCTGTCAGCGGTAGTAGTGACATGTGTTGGCTTGCTTCTAGTTCTGAAAGGGACGTATGCGGTGATGCGGCGATATGAGGAGTGCGGGGTTGCCTCCACGATGGAGGGGATTTAGGCGAGGTGAGATTTGGGATAGAAGACCGAGCGGCCGTGGGTACCCTCTCCGGCGCACGCTGTGCGCGGAGTACCAGTACGCGGGTGCCGGCGTCGGAGAGTGCTCGAAGACTAAACACGCACCGAAACAGCTGATACGTGTCCGGTGTGGATTCTGGTGGACACGGCTGAACGCTAGTCTTGCTCCCTCATCGCTCCCGACCAGTCGATCCAGTAAACCAAGAGACAACCACGTTGCTCTCTCCTCACGGATACTCCCCGCAAGTCTATATACAAGCCTTCAACGTCCCTTCCTCACGTACACTCTGCAAAGGTACCCCTCTCCCCTATGAACCAGAACTGGAAAGGACCCATGACCCTTGGCCCGAATCGAGTCTGCGCGAGGCTTGATCGGCGGACTCTATCACAGCAAACTTGATCACAGCGAGTCACAGGTCACGCGGACGTCGAGATGACTTTCCATGGAGCGTCTCAGCGTGGTATGAGGCGTCTTTCAACCCGTCATGGGTCGGGTTATCTCTGTGCTCGTGTCTCAGTCAGTGCCGTTGATATACAATGTAGAGCATGTCAAGCCCGTAGGCTTGCGCCAGCCTGTCCACTCATGCTTCGAGGTCGAAGTCACGCGGAGCGACTGCGCTCCACGCATGCACTCATCAAGCGTGACCATGGGTCGTGTGCATTACTCGGCGTTCATGTGTGTCAGGATATACCAGCGATAAGCACCGGTCGATCCAGACCGCCAAGGTACACCGGCCAGCCTCACGCTCGTCCGTTGCGCTCACAGTGACGAGTCACCTGCGAGCTGTGTCGACGGTTCATTTACTCCCTTGCGCCGACTGCGCCGGCCCCACTCTGCTACATTTGTAGTGCAGGAGACATTGGCCAGGATGGCGTCGGTACCACAAGTCTGGAGTAAGACAAGCATCCGAGCGCCGACCCAGGTCTGCGTACCTGCGTGTGCCACAGGAATGAACCGCGGAGAGAGGTGCAAGGATGTCGACGCTCGAGCCTCTACTCCCGTCCTACTCCCTTTTGACACCTGTTCTCAGCGTGGGGAATACCTTCTCTCCGGATACTGGGCAGTGCACGTCTAGAGTGGCTGACGACCCACTGTCTGTCATCAAATTTGCGTGAAAGTCGATTACTCGGTCTGACTGCACGGCCGCAGTGACAACCACAGCCAGCTTCTGAGAGGTGCGAAGACGTCCTCACGTCTGACGATGAAACATGCTTCGTTCTGATCAGGCGGATCATGACGCAAACATGCAGCACATACAGTGGCTGCGTATCTGCGGAGGAAGTCGTAAACAAGGCTCGTGCAAAGGCAGTCGCGACCAATGTAAACAAACGTGGTATGATGGACCATCGTTCCACCGCAACATTGCACTCGCTACCTTCCGACTTCGTCTCATCACGCTAGACTCCCACCACCGACGTCATTAGCATAGTCTTAAGCTCACTAGCGTCCGAGAGAGCCCGACCCGACCTCAGCCCGACCTGAACTAGCCCGGAGCCCGACCTTGGCCCAGCCCGGAGCCCGACTTTAGCGCGTCTGTTGCTTTCAGCACAGTCCGCCTGCATTCCTGAGAGCTCCTGGCGCGGCGCCGAGAGAGGCCGAGAGACGCTCTCATCGTCCTGAACTGGCCTGGAAGACGACCTAAAGGTCGCTTGGGATTTGCCCCGCAGACAGTCCTGACAAGAACGCCTTGTGGCGGTTGGCGTCCGTGGCCCCTGTCAGGTATCGCTGAATTGCACGCTGTCATTTGGCCATGTCTCCGCCATTATCGAGGTCGACTTCTACCGTACAATCCTAAGCAGGAGACTCGCACGAGCAAGATACCCCGCGCAGGTCCTCTGCACCCTCACCTCGAGACGTTTGGCTTGCGTCAGGCGACAGAACTCGGAGCACAGGGCATAGGCTGTAACCGCAGGCCAAGGTCGGAGGCATCCGCAAACAAGACGCCCTTGATTGGTGAGCAACCGGGTATTTGCCTGCGCCTGCACGCACTTGAAACTTGCGCTCCTCGACCCAGCCCCAGACTGCACAGCTCCGAGTCCGATCCGAACGTGTCGCGCACCCAGCATACCGTGCAGCAGACCACTCGCGCGACCGCCCGAGATCTACCTGTCCGCGTCCTTGAATCGACTCAGCGCTGTGAAGCCACAAACCTTGGCTTGGCCCTTTGCAATTCTTCCAGGCGTCTGTAACTACGCCAGTAGCAACGCCAGCAACACCGCCAGTCGCATCAGTCACAGCGCCAGTCACAAGGACCGAGCGACATTGCATTCTGTCAGGCGTTGGCGCGTTCGCCCGTACCTGTTGCGTACCTGTGCATGTCCTTTCTGCGTTCCGTCCAGTGAGGCAGGGCAAGTCGAGGCAGGTGATTCCTGTAATCCTCCTGTCGCATTCGAGACTTCCACTCGCTGTCGTTCGCCAGAGCTCGTCAGCGGCGACCAGCACAGGAGCCCCTGTGACGTGCCCCTCGAACCTTAGCCTTCTGCATCCCTCTGCCTCCCTCACGCGACCCTCCGCCACCCCTGTGGCGCCTGGTTCTGCCGGCCCCTATGCCTCCCCACCGACACAAGCGCCAGAGGCGGGAGACGATCTCACCCCCGCAGCTGCACTTCGCGAGCGCGCTGCCACAGCGTATAAGTCATCCAGACGTCTTCTCACAGCCTCTTGCTCCTCTTGCTTCACAACGTAACCCCACACCTAACCACTTGTTCATCATGGCCCCGCCGCCGCCGAGACGACCGGCTCCTCCCCTCCCCACGATGCCGACGCCGACCCGCCCGACGCACTCGACACACCCGTCTGAAGTTAAGGCCGACACCCTGCCTGCTTTCTACAATGCCGACGCGCTCAAGAGCCTGAACGGTAACGCGACTGTAAGTCTGACGCGGTGACAAATGCTAACGTCAGCACCATCCCGCGCCGAGAGTAGCTCGCGATCCTGCTCGCCGACGAGCAGGTGCGTTCCAGAAGTTCTCTCCGCGAACGCAACAGCCGTGCTCGCCGCGCTCACCTTACTCTCCCCGCCGAACACCGCGGACCCCTCGACGACGATGCTCCGCCATGGCCACAGGCAGCCCGCAATGGTACAAGACCGTGGGCGAGGCGAGCGTCGAGCGCGCTCTTGGCAGCATGATGCACAGTCTGCGTCTCGCCGCCTCCTCCCCCGGCCGCGAGATCTCCCACTGGAGCAGTAGCACCGATGGCTCCAGCTCTGGTGCGGCGAGCAGCTTCGCCTCCTTCTTCCGGGGCAAGACACAGTCTGCCGACTCCGCTCCAACGGCGGACACCTCCCTCGCCTCCAACAGCAGCACCAAGCCCGCTGACGCGCCGAACACTGACGCTGCGTCGATCAAGTCCGTGAAGAGCGCACACAGTTTGCGTTCCGTCCGCTCCTTTGCCAGTTTCCGCTCCGCCCGCAGCGCCAAGTCGGTCGCCGCGGCCTCCACCAAAAGTTCCAGGAGCCGCAAGTGGCACTGGGGTCACAAGAACGAGGGTGAAGAAATTCCGCCGATCCCCGCGTGGCATGCGGCTGATGCTGAGGCGGCACCCGCCCACCACTTTGCCGAGGGCAGTGAGGGCAGCAGCGGCGGGTATCATCCCTTCAAGGAGAGGCCGCGCAAGATCGTCGAGGGATTCCTGAAACGCCTGACGCCAAGACGGAGGTGAGTTGCGGTGTGGGCCGTTACTTAAGCGAGTTTGTGGCGCGTTGAGGTATGACTCTCATGGTCAGCCATGAGGATGGGCGGGGAGCGTCATATGCTACGCTTCTCACTCACTCTGCGATAGCTGGAGGCATAGAGAGCTCTTCCATCTGTCCGAACACTGGTGGCACCGAAAGTACGGAGACAGGCAGCTGACACTCAGACCCCGCCAGCCACAGGGAATGTACCTCCAAGACCCTTCTCCCACAGTCGCCGAGCATGTGTACGTGCACGACGAGAGTACTCCCAGCTCCCTTGGCCGCGCATCTGGTTCGGCAGTGAGCACGCCCTTCGAGGACGACGAGGTGCTCCGCTCAAGCGCGAAGGCGCTCGCCGTGCTCGGTCTCATCGACAGCCGGCACGCGCACAGCAACCACGGTCACAGCCCGCACGTCAGCCGGCCCCAATCGCTTGCCTCCGACGGCCACTCCGAGTCTTCTCAACGAGGCAGCAACGTGCATCTCAAGACCGCTAGCGGCGGCGGTCTGCGTCGCAGCGACGCCCGCGCTTCCCGAAGCCCCGCGCGTAATCGTGCTTCCTCTCGCCCAGTGCGCAGAACTGAGGCGAGCGCGAGCGCAGAGTGGCCGACCCGTCCCCACTCCGCTGACGGGGAGCGCGCCACTGCGAGCGCGCTTCCGCCTCGCAGGAGCAGCCTCCGTATTCCACCCGTGCGCCGCATCGAGTCCGCCAGCGGAAGCAGCGGCGTTCTCTCTCCGGCGCCGAGCTTCTCAAACCTCTGGGGATCGCGCTCATCTTCTGCCGACGATGGAGTCGAGGAGACGTGGGCGACGCCGCCTCCGCCGCCTCGCCGTCGCCCGGGACTTCCTAACAGCTCTCTGTCCTCGTTCAGCTCTGGTCAGCTGAGCTCCAACCAGAGCTTGCGCTCCTCGCTCGACGTTGCGAATCGCCGCAGCCCCGCGGGTATTCGAAGCTTGCAGCACGTCTCGACTGTTGCCTCCCACATGGCCGAGGTCGAGGCTGCCGACAGTGACGAGATCCTGACGCCGCGGAGCAAGGCGATGTCCACCTTCTCCTCTGACGCGTACGACGAGCAGGACGCCGTCACGTTCGACACGCCGCGCCGCTCCCGCCAGCCGACGAGTAAGGGCTACCACTCGCCCCGGATGCATGCTCTCGTGGAGGACGGCAAGATCCACGACTCGCTCGCGAGCCTGAGTCTCGACGAGGGACACATGAGCCAGCGCCGCGCACGCGCTGCTGCGCTCGCGGCGGCAGCTGACCCACTGAAGCCGCGCCGCCTCATCTGCGAGATGCGCTCGAGGAGCCGCTGTCGCGCCTCCGAGACGGAGGCCGATGCGCCGATCGACTTCTCCCGCTCCCCGGCCGAGAGCGCGCGCAGTATCCCCCTGCCCCCCTCGCCGGACGCTTTCCGCACCTGGACGTGGAACGACTCGGACACGTCCCTCCCCTACGGCCGGAAGGGATGCCACTCCCCCTCGGCCAGCGTGCATACCTTCGGTCCTGGCGGCATGAGCCACCTCCGCTCCGGCAGCGTTGACACGATGGCCTCGCTCGCGAGGAGGGGCAGCATGGCATCTGCCGGGTCGGTGTATACCGTGCGCGACTCGGACACTGTCGAGCTGCTGTATGGGCAGTATGGCCAGCCGAGCGAAACGTGGGAGTATGACGAGGGCGACAGGCCGATCGACTTCACTCGCGCTCTGGCGTACTCCCAGCCCACGACCTGGACGCGACCGGGTACACCCGAGGAGTACGAGGACCACGTTCCTGTGACTGTGAACAACGGTGTGACTGTTTGGTGAGCGACAGTCAGTTCCCAAAACCAAAGATTAGATACAGATAAGCCCTATAGTTGTAGATTTCTTCCCACAAGCGCAATTCAGTAGCGACAACCTTGTGTAATATTACCAGTTGGACCCAGAAACCCCGATGTATAAGTCTATGTTTTCTATTGTGATCGATCACTTCCAGAGCGAGCAGCCCGCTGCGTCGAGGATCTTCTTGAGCGATTTCGGCCGCTTGTTTGGGATGATCGCCAGTGCTGTCGGCTCGTGCTCACTGATTCGAGTTAGCAGCGTACGTGGGCGTCAACTCACGGTTCCTCAACCCAAAGGTGATGCGGAATCTCGGCCTTCGCAAGCGCCTCGCTGAGTCCCCGCAGTGCCTTCTCGTCCGGAACCTGTCTTGTCAGCTACGCAATACCGACCCCTCAGCTTGAGCGAGACTTGAGACTCACCTCGAGGACCGCCTTGCGCATAACCTCGTACCCCCGCCCATCGTCGCCGGCGAGATACCGCTTCATGTCGGGGTGGTCGGCGTAGAGGTGCTGAACTGCCGTTGCAGCGTGCGCAGCCTGCGCCATCATGGGTCCGAGAGGCCAGTTCTGTTCCTGCCCAGTTAGCTCACTTCTCAGACATCGTCTAGCTCACTGTGACGAGGTCTCTTCGGAGGATGATCTGCATGACGAGACCTGTCGGCTTGGCGGCCTCGGCAGCCGCTGTCGCTGTTGGTGCGGCAGTGCTCATCGCTCGGAGTAGTCTTGGAAACATGGTGCAGTCTCAACATTTGGTCTTCCCCGGTTCAGTGCGGGGCCAACGTCCCAACGTCCCAACCCCCAGGCCACGCGGAGAGCGGGCAATCTCCGCCGTGCGTCATCGTCCGCCATCAACCCAAAGGCGGCAAGGAGGGTTGCATCAGCGCCTGCATTTGCACACTTCACAACACACACCACCATGTCGGAGGACAAGGAGACGCTTATTGCGATGGGCTTCGCGCCGGAGCGCGCCGACTGGGCCCTCCGCGTCAAGAAGGGGCAGGGCGTCCAGGCCGCCATGGACTTCCTCCTCGCCCATGCTGACGACCCTGTCCCCGACCCCGAGGACGAGATGGAGGAAGACAGTAAGTTGTGTTCGGGCGCTGTGATGCAGCTGTGGGCGAGCTAGATACAAAGCTGACATCAGTTCCCGCCGGTGCCGAGGCCAAGTCGCTCAAGTGCTCCGACTGTGGCAAGGTGTTCCGCTCGCAAGCGACCGCGAGCTTCCACGCCGAGAAGTCGGGCCACGAGAACTTCGAGGAGAGCACTGAGGAGGTGAGTCACTCTCTTAAGAGTCTCTTACACCCTTTATCAGCGCTCTCCACCTCACATGACGTCCTGCTTTCCGAGCTGACAGACAGATTAAGCCTCTGACCGAGGAGGAGAAGAAGGCAAAGCTGGCTGAGCTGCGCGAGAAGCTTGCCGCGAAGCGCGCAGCGCAGAGTAAGGAGGACGAGAAGGCTGCGCGTGCCAACGAGGCTATCCGCCGTAAGGCTGGTCAGGACATGGGCCGCGTCCGTGAGGATATGGCCGTGAAGGAGGCGCAGCGCGATGCGGAGCGTAAGCGACAGGGTGAGTCTTCTTTCACACAATGGGCGCAAGCAGGTCGCGTCAGCTGTGACAATATCGGTGCAGCTGAGGAGCGGCCTGCGGTGAATTACCCTTTAAACGAGGAACAAAATTATCACCGCCGTCGCACTCGGATACTTCATCCCTCTTCCTTAGCCAGCTGGGGTCAACGATGTTATCAGCTGACAAGCAGAAAAGCTCGAGGACCAGCGCGCCCGCGCCGCGATCAAGGCGCAAATCGAGGCCGACAAGCGCGAGCGTGCCGAGAAGGCGGCGAGGGAGAAGGCCCTCCGCGACGCAGCCGCTAAGGGCGAGAGCGTCGATACGCCAGCCGCGGTGCCGAAGCCGACGGCGTCGCTGGGCGGGGGCAAGTCGTCCGAGGCGCCGCAGACGCGGCTCCAGATCCGCCTGCATGTCGGGGGCCAGCCGCTCGTCAAGACGTTCGACTCGAATGCGCCGCTCCGCGAGGTCGCCGAGTTTGTCGCCTCTGAGAATCTCGCGTACTCTGTGGACACAGTCAAGTTTGCCACGACATTCCCGAGGTGAGTTCATCGACGAGAAGAATAACTGACAGGATCAGGAAGCAGTTCTCGGCTCAGGAGATGGGCAAGAGCCTCATGGCGAACGGGCTTACGCCGAGCGCGGTCCTCATGGCGAGTGTGTAGTGTACGAGTACAAGTGCAGATTAAATGTTATACATCAGAGAAGACTTCTACTTGGGGACGCCGTTCTTGAGCACCGTGTCGCCGGCCTTGCGCACGTCGTCGAGCCACACCTGCGTGATGCGCGACTCGGCGAGGGGCATGCGCTCGCTCTCCGTTTTGCCGTCGCGGACGCAGCGCGCGACCTCGTCCGCCTCGTAGTGCATGCCCCCGCCCTCGGCGACCTTGTACTCGTGCGTCTCGCGCTTCGTGATCTTGCCCTGCGGCTCGTCGGCCGGGTGGGGCACGATGTGGAAGCTCTCGGGACGCCAGGGCGGGTAAGGGATGATGAGGTCGCCCTCCTCGCACGAGATGACCGCCGTCGCGTCCGTGTATCCGCTCGTCGTCATGTCCGTCAGGCAACGGCACTGCGCAAAGTCCTTCCAGTCCACGATCCAGTGCGACATGGCATCAACACCCGAGCGCGGGTAGATGCGCTGGTAGCTCGAGACGACGCGCGGGTTCTTGTCCTTGTTGTCCGGGTGCTGGTGCAGCGCGAGCATCGCCCACACACTCGGGTAAGGGCCCATGTCGAGCAGCGAGCCGCCGCCCTGCTTCGGGTCGATCATGCGGTTCGAGTCCGGTCGGGCTGAAATTGTCAGCTCATCGATTCACGCTCAGCTGGAACGGTGGAAGACTTACTGTCCGGCTCAAAGTTCATCGAAAAGTCGGCGAACATGCGGTGCACCTTGCCGAGGCGGCCCGACTTGAGCACGTCCTGCACAGCGTACGCGATGGGGTGGAAGCGGGTCCAGACAGCCCTGCATGTCAGCTGTCTTCGCATACGAGGGGTCTGCAGCGGTGCGATTACCACTTACTCCATGAGGAAGAGCTTCTTCTCCTTGGCAAGCGCGATCAGCTCATCGAGCTCCGAGACGTCGAACGTGAAGGGCTTCTCGCACAGCACGTGCTTGCCCGCCTGCAGCGCCGCCTTGGCATTCTCGTAGTGGAAGGTGTGGGGAGTGCCAATGTACACGGCGTCAACGTTCTACGGTCAGCTTCCATACACTCTTCAGCTCTTCTCGGGTTCAGAAGGGGGCCAAAGTTCCGCCAGCGCCTTTCATCTTCGTGCTTTTCGGCCGTCCCCGTAGTTTGAACTCACAGGGTCAGAGAAGACCTCGTCGTAGCTACCGCACGCCTTGGCGTTCTCGAGCACACCGTTCTTGACGCCCCAGGCACTCGGGCCGTCACTCTGCTTGAGCTTGTCGAGGAACTTCTGGGCAGACTCGGTGCTGCGCGAGCCAACGGCAGCGATGGCGTGCGTAACGTCGTTGGCGTTACGAGTTGCGGGGTTAACCAGCAGGTCCTGTCGTCAGCTTCGAGCAGTAACACGAATTTAGCTGATTCCTTGTGGAGGCGGAGTGACTCACCTGAGAGAAGCGGGTGGAGATGCCACCGGTGGCGATGATGCCCCAGCGGAGAGTGAAGGGAGCCATGGTTGGTGAGGTTGTCGAGGGGAAGAGTGAAGAGGGAAGACACACTAAGAGCCGTCAATCATTGTTGTCTCAAGTACCTCTTCCCCCTCCATTTCTCGGTCGCTCGCTGGTCGTCATACTGGGGGAGTGTCATGTCTCCGCGATGTCGGGCCGGCGTTCCTGCCGAGAGCAGTATCGGGCCGTAGACAGATCAACTTGCCCGCGACACGTCATGGTGATGATGGTCTGTTTACGTAACCTTCACGCGACCAGCTTGACTCTCCCACGGAGGACGCGACGCGCTCAGCCAGTAACCTCAGCCAGGAGAGGGCCAGCGTCAGTGCCCGGTTGGGCCCTGGGCAGGGCCAGGAGCGCGCATTGTTTGGTTTCATCGTCAGAAACGGACATGAACACACACCCACGAACGCCAGAACTCATTTCTTCTTGTTGATTACTCCATCCACTTGCCCTTGACCATCCACCGACTGCTCCAACACCCCGACCATGGCATGATGGACCCCCTCATCCCTTTCGCCCGGAGCACCCCTTCCCTCACTTCCGGCACCTCCGACACCCCCTCCATCCCCATGACAGACGACTCTGGCCTCGGCACTCTCCGTCCGAGGAGCCCAGCGCTGATAGAGTTCAGCGACGATGGCAACCCCGATCCACCCCGCAAGCCCCTCGCCTACTCCTCCGGGGCTGGCGTCACCCCCGCCGAGAAACTTCGCTCCCTGCTGCGACAGATGGAAAGTGATGTTCGCGATCCCCCACCACCGCCGAAGCCAACACCGACACAGAGACGACCAGCGACACCCCAACTCATCGATGCACCCATCCCAACCTCCAACTCGAACGCTCGTGCTAATGACGAAGAGAACAGCGAAGAGGATTCTCCCCCAACCCCGCCCCCGCGGATACACAGCGCGTACAATGCGCGCCACGAGCCCGATCACGAGCCCGAAGCCGGACCGAGTCGGCCGCGCCGCCTGCCATCGCGTGCGGTCGCTTTACAGGCGGCCATGAACAAGATGCCAGAAGAGAAGGCATCCCCGGCACCCAGCGCTCTTGAGACTTTCATTGCGAAGCATCACGAGACGCCGGAGGCTTGGAAGCCCAAGCATTCTGGAAGGACAGACTGGAGCACCAGCCGGGCAGACTCGAGCGCTACCGTGCAGCAGTTCCCGTCTTCAGCTCCGCGACGAAGACATGCGGCTCGGCGGACAACGATAGAAGCGCCTCCAGACGATTCACTGGCGTTCGCTGAGGGCATCCAGGATCCAAGTATTGACATGGACGACGACAGCAGCCTCCCAGCCGGTTGGGAGGAGGAGAGTAGTGGAGCTCCAGACCGCTCGCGCGGCAGCAGCGGGCGACGGTCGGACAGAAGCACAGCGTCGGCGGACGATCCACGACGGAGGTTCGAGCTGGACGATTCCGTCGATGCTTCGCCGGAGCGACCTAAGAATCGCTTTCAGACTCGACGCTTCATCAAGGCGGACCTGTCGGACGAGCTCCCGGATCGACCAGAACCACCACGGCGATCGCATAGGAGCACGCGGTCCGAGTCCCCGACGGAGCCCGAATCGCGAACGGTACGCGCTGAGCGCCAATGGACGCGAACGTCTCGCTCGCCGACTGCCTCGTTCGCGACGGCACCGCAGATCAACCCCTCGACCTCCCTGGACATGTCGCTGCCTCAGATCGCCGCTGAGTCCAGTGATGAGGACTCTGGGGCGATGCGCAACCGGGCCAGCATGTTCCGACCCAGCTCTGAGTCCCCGAAGTCGCGCAGCTCCGAGTCGCCAAAGTCCCGAATTTTACGTGACCCAACGAACCGCACGACGGGATCTAGCGCATACGTCGATGCAACGAGCCGCAGCCGAGACTGGGCCAGTCAGGTCAGCAAGAGCCAGCCGTACGAGTCGTTTGACGACGAGGTCGACCGCAGCCTTGATGAACCGGAGCCGCCGAAGAGGTTCAATGCCTCACGAAGTCGCAGCTCTCCCGACGATGCTGACGACCGCCTGGCTGAAGAGCCCGAGCCTCCGCGACGATTTGGCGCTCATCGGCGACAGCATAGCCAGCACAGCCACGATGACCTTCAGGGAGATTCAGAGCCTCCGAGACGCTTAAGAGCCTCTCAGAGCCGGGACAGCATCCGAGATGCTGCGAATGAGCCAGAGTCTCCCAGGAGGCTACGGGCTTCTCGTAGCCGCGAGCTTCAAGACGAAGTCGACGACGAGCTCGACGAGCCTGAGCCGCCTCGACGACTGCGCCACTCACGGAGCCGCGAGCTTGTGCAGATCGAGGAGGAAGAGACAGTCGAGCGCTCGGTAGACGAGGATGCGGGCGCCGTCCGCGTGTCTAGGAGCCGCGACATGACGACGCGGTACATGGATGGCTCGACAGAGGAGCGTCACCAATCCTCGCAATCTATCTACGAGCCGCTCCGCTGGTCCCAGTCTCGCGGATCGATCGAGGAGCCGTCGCTGAAGCAATCACGGAGTCGGTACGATACGCCCGATGAGTCGCATGGTTCTGTGCACTCTGGGAATCGATACGCCACGCCTGACGAGAGCCGAGTCTCGGATTCGCGTAGCCGTTATGACACTCCCGAGGAGCCTTCTCTGAAGCATTCTAGCAGCCGCTACGATGCGCCCGAGGAGCCCTCCATGCAGCACTCGCGTAGCCGATCCGACAAGATGGACGAGTCATCCATGAAGCACTCGCGAGGCGCATCGCAGTCGATTTCCCGTCACTCGAGGAGTAGGTACGACAATCCGGACGACACCCCGCCACTTCGACAGTCTCGGAGCAAGGAGGAGCTTGCAGCAGAGGCATCGCGCACTTCGATGCACGCTTCACAGTTACGAGGCTTTTCATTCCCCCGGAAACGAACACGGAGTGATGAGGCGGAGAGTGCGCCAGCACCGCCGACGCCGTCTCCGCCCAAGCCTCTCGAATCGTCGTATCTGCGGCCACAGAAAGCGGCCGCCGCGCTGAACACCCCTGTTCGCCCTAGCGGAATGCGAGCAAGTGCTCTGCGCAAGTCTGCTCGTGCTACACCGACACCGAACCGAGTGCGCTGGTCGCCTGACGTGGAGGGTGGTCATATCTCACCGCCGCAGTCATCATTTCAGTTCACGGCGCCGAAAACAACGACTCCGCCTAAGGAGCGGTCTACCACGCCGCCGCCCTCAACCTCTCCTCCCACCTCGCCTCCCCGGACGCCTGCGCCGCCTGCGCCTGTAGAGCAATCGCCTCTGCAGCCATTAGCGACGCCGGTCCGGGGTGGTGACGGCAATTCGTCACTGCGTACCCCACACCCGCCAGGCTGGTTCCCTGCGACCCCTCTCGGCGCCGACAGCGGCCCCTCAAGCGACGCCTATTCGACCCCAGCGCAGGCTTCGAAGACGTTCGAGCCCGGTTCGGCGATGCGTACGCCCCACCCGCCTGGATGGTTCAACCCTGCCGCTGCTCCGTCGACGCCCGGTGCCAAGTTCTTCGTGACACCGGCGCCGAAGGAGAAACAGCCAGAGAAGCAGGAAGTGCGCGGCGTTGGCGTTGGTGCGGGCTTCACGACGCCCTTGCAGCCGCAGCAGCCATATCCATTAGCGACGCCCAAACCGCCTGGCGCGTGGGGGTGGACTCCCGCAGCTGGCTCCCGGCTACGCAACGAGATCACGCTTGACTCATCGCAGTCATCGGCTGAGAGCTCGTTCGAGCGGTCGCTCCTGGGCAATGGGGATGTGCACCGGCTGCGTTTGAGCCCTAAGCGCAAGCCAGCGTCACCGAAGGCCTCGCCATCGACCTCTCCACAGCAGAGGCGGACCGAGAGCAAGGACGACTCGTTCGAGGAGGTCTCGCTCACGACACCGAAGAAGGGCTCTGGCGCATGGCCTCCCAATGACCCACCGACGCCGCTCTCTGAGCGTCTTCTGAATCAGAGCGTTGCGGAGGACTCGTTCATGGACGACTCGTTCCTGCAGGCGGACACGAGCGTGATGGCGCGCGTGCGCTCCTTCCTGTCACCGAGCAAGGATGCTGACCTGCGTAGCGCGCGGGAGAAGCTCGAGGCGGCGACCGCACGCTCTCAAGCGTCTCGGAAGGAGATTGAGGACGCTCAGAAAGCGTGGCTCGCCGCACTCTCCGCTTTACCTGCTCCTTCCACCTCTGCAAATGCAGGAACGTCCACGTCCACAACGACGGTGGTCGAGATCGAGAAACCCGCTGTAAAGGAGAAGAAGGAGTGGCCGTGGATCTACTGGGTCATCATCGCTCTGGTCGAGATCACCGTCATGTGGGCCGTGTTCCGAGTCACGGTCGACTGGGTTGACGCTGAGCGCTCGCGCACGTCCTCTGCCCTTGTCAGGAGACTGCCATCCGGTCTTGGTGTATTCCGCCGCAACGCACGAAGCTCAAACCTCTTCGACATCCTCGAGCTGCTCGGTCTACGCTGGGCGCCACAAGAGAGAAGATGGAACGTGCCGACATAAGCTGGCCTCGCTCTTCCGCGCCTAACATGCAACATGGGCTACACAGACACAGGCATACGCCGCGTGAGCACTTCGCCGGATTGTGGCCGGCTGAGCATCGGCGCGATCACACGTTGAGACTCGGTCGGGCTGACTCCGGGAAGTGCCACTCCACCGGCCCCTCGCATCGGTACTGGGTACTCCACTGATGTTCTGCGTTGCAGTATAGGCGTTTGTGGACAAGCCGTCATCCGAGCTGATCACGTGCCGTATTTGCGGCCTGGAAACGCCAGGTGTGTCGGGTGTCTCGGCAGCCGCCCCGTCATCTGGGATCTGTGTGCTACGAGGGTGAGCCTGAATATGGACAATTGCTCTGCCCCACCACTTTCTTGGTGTCTTCTTGACATTGCTACACTACATCATACGCTTGTACACTGTACGCTGTACGTCATACACAACACGTAGTACGCCGCGAGCGCTACGTGCCCTCCACAATTTCTTGGTTCTACTTCGGCTCCCCCTCCATGGTCGGCTATCGGGCCGATGGTCGGGCGATTGTTGGATCTTGTAGCGCTTCCGATCATGTCTGCCATACCTCTACCTGCCTACTCGGGTGATGTATCTGTACCACTATGCGCTTCCCACTAGTCCAAGAGTTGCCAGAGACCCCATGATTCGCCAACACACGCCACACAGGGCACCATCGGATCTGGCCTCGTCCCATCGGATCGAGACTGATGTGTGTGCCGTGCCGCGGCAGAAATGGGAAAACATCGCGTAATACTCGGATGAATGCCGGAGTGGCTACGCCCCCGCATTCCGCACACTGGGCTGCAGACTGGGCGGGCGACGGTGACGGTTCCGATCGGTCCGCATGATGACCCGCACGGCGTTGGGGAGGAAGACACCGCAGACAGAGCGCAGCATCAACACTATATACCTGACGACAGTGGGCCTCGTTCACCTTTCTCATTATCTTCTCCACCTCCTCCTCTCCACGCCGTTGTTGTTCTACTCCTCTTCTCTGAAACCCAGCACGACCCACCATTCCAACTCGGGACCACCAATCAGACACCCTCTCCGGCTTATCTCGGCTGATTGCCTGCCCCCACCATGACGACCCCCTTCACCACCATCCCCAATGAGATGGACCGCAGCTTCCTCGATGCCGACGTCCATGACATCGTCTCCAAGCTCACGATCGACGAGAAGATCGACCTGCTTGCCGGCCGTTCATTCTGGGAGTGAGTGCATGAAGCTGTACACTTGGGGATCTGAGCTAACGTTCAGGACTGTGGCCATTCCCCGCCTGAATGTGCCCAGTATCAAGGTTACTGACGGACCGAACGGTGCGCGCGGTGGCTCGTTCTGGAAGATGACCAAGGCGACTGCGCTCCCGAACGAGACGGCCATGGCGGCGACCTTCTGCACCGAGCTCATCGAGGATACGGGCAAGCTCATGGCGGAGGAGACCAAGGCGCGCGGTGCTGTCTGCCTCCTTGCGCCTACTATCAACATCCAGCGCTCGCCCCTTGGCGGTCGCGCGTTCGAGTCCTTCTCCGAGGACCCCACGCTCGCTGGCGAACTTGCTGGTGCAATCGTCCGCGGCCTGCAGAGCGGCGGCATCTCGCCCGCGATCAAGCACTTCGTCGCCAACGACCAGGAGCACGAGCGCAGCGGCAATGACGCCATCATCGCGCCCCGTCCTCTGCGTGATGTCTATCTGCGCCCGTTCCAGATTGCGCAGAAGCGCGCCCAGCCTTGGGCATACATGACGAGCTACAACAAGCTGAACGGCACGCACTGCTCGGAGAACGAGTGGCTGATCACGGATCTCCTGCGCAAGGAGTGGGGCTTTGACGGTCTCGTCATGAGCGACTGGTTCGGCGTGTACTCGGTCAGCGACTCCATCAATGCCGGTCTCGACCTCGAGATGCCCGGCCCCACCATCTGGCGCCAGAAGGGTATGGTCAAGCACCTCATTGGCGCGCACAAGATCGATCCCCGCACCATCGATGCCCGTGTCACGACCGTCCTCACCTGGGTCCAGAAGCTCGCCAAGCTTCACCCTGACATTGTCTACGCGCCTCCCAAGACGATGGAGAAGTCGCGTGACTCGGAGGAGGAGAAGGCGTCCGACGCCAAGTTTGCGCGCCAGCTCGCGGGCGAGGGCTGCGTGCTCCTCAAGAACGACGACGCCCTCCCCATCAAGAAGGGCAAGATTGCCGTCATCGGCCCCAACGCCAAGGCCGCCGTCATCACTGGTGGTGGCAGCGCCCTGCTCCGCGCCGGCTGGGCGGTGACGCCCTGGGACGGGCTGAAGAACAATGCGCCTGAGGGCGTCGAACTCGCGTACGAGCTCGGCTGTATTGGGGAGAAGTTCCTCCCCGTCCTCGACGAGCAGTTCACGACCATGGACGACAAGCCCGGGTTCGACCTCGTGTTCCATCCTATCGAGAAGGGCGAGGTCGTGACCGACCCCAAGCGCGAGGTGCGCGAGTGGTGGGACGTGTCTAGCATGCACCTCGCCGACTTTGGGCACCGCAACCTCGGCGAGCACTTCACCACCGAGCTGCACGCCAAGTTCAACCCAAAGGAGAGCGGGACGTACGAGTTTGGTGCCGTCGTCACGGGTCACGGATGGGTGTACGTCAACGACGACCTCGTCATTGATCTCTCCAAGAAGACGCCCAAGGGCAGCGCGTTCTTTAACAACGGCACCATCGAGGTAAAGGGCACCTATGACGTTGAGGCTGGGAAGGTAGGTACTCGCACCGTTTCATGGCTGACCTAGCAGACGTACAACCTGCGCTTCGTGCACGACTCGCGCCCTCCCCCCGATGTTGCGGGCACTCCCCTCGTCATTACCGGTTTACGTATCGGTGCGCGCAAGAAGATTGACCCCGACGCGGCGATTGCGGCGGCCGAAAAGCTCGCGAAGGAGTGCGACGGCGTTGTTGTCGTCGCCGGTCTGAACGCAGACTGGGAGTCCGAGTCGTATGACCGCCCCGACCTGTCGCTGCCGTATCGTGAGGCGGAGCTGATCTCGCGCATCGCCAAGGCGAACGCGAACACGACTGTCGTTATCCAGTCCGGCTCGGCGGTCGAGAAGCCCTGGATCGACGACGTCAAGGCGGTCGTGCAGGCCTGGTACGGCGGCAACGAGACGGGCAACGCGATCGCGGACGTGATCTACGGTGCGCGCAGCCCCAGCGGCCGTCTGCCGCTCTCCTTCCCTAAGCGCGTGGAGGACATTGCAGCGCACAACAACTACAAGTCGGCGCGCACGCGCACCGAGTACAACGAGGGCATCTGGGTCGGGTACAAGCACCACAATGCGCGCAAGATTCCCGCACTCTTCCCCTTCGGCCATGGACTCAGCTACACCGCGTTTGAATACTCTGACCTCGCCGTGCAGGCGTCGGGCGAGCGCGACGAGTGGCGCCTCAAGGCCAGCGTCAAGGTTACGAACACGGGAGAGATCGAGGGCGACCACAGCGTCCACTTCTACACTGCGCCCCCGCCCCCCACCGCCACGTCCGAGGCGCACCCCGAGGTCTCGCTGCAGGCGTTCAAGAAGGTGCGCGGGCTCAAGCCGGGAGAGAGCAAGACGGTCGAGGTCGAGATGGACAAGTGTGAGTTTACAGCTAAAGCTCGCGACAAGAAGCTGACAACAGACGCCGTCTCGCACTGGGACACGCTCGACGGCAACTTCCGCGTCGAGCCCGGCAAGTGGGCGGTCGAGGTGCGTCCCGATGCCGCGACGCCCGGCCCCCATGCCGAGTTCGAGTGCAAGGAGTGGTCGTGGCGCGGTCTCTAGTTCCCACAAGATGCCGGGTTACATCTGCCCATGTCGCATCTTTATCTCTCATCCGTAATGTCCTCAATGACGAAGTCACGACGATACCATAAATCTATTCGATAGTCAGTCCCGTCCTACAGTGGCGCGATCAGAAGCCCAAAAAGTAATTGTACAATGCATTGCAAATCTAGTGTCTACGCCTCCCGCACTGCTTACTCCTCTCCCCCGCGGCGCTTGCGGTGCTTGACGGCCTCGCGATGGCGGCGCTTCCAGCCCTGCGTCAGCTCGCGCCGTCTCTGCTCCCAGCGGCGCTTCATGTCTGCATCCGTCTCGTCGGCAACGAAGCGTTTCGGCGCAGACTTGACCGCCTCCATAGGGTCGATGACGACGGGACGGCGTACCCATGGTCGGCTGGGGTGGGTCGAGTCGCGCGGTCCCTGCTGCTGCTGGGCTCCGTATCCCTCCTGTCCCCCCTCTCCTCGTCCGTATCCACCCTGTCCTCCCTGTCCTCCCTGGCCGTACCCTCCTCCGTAGCCCTCCTCGCCCTCCTCCTCAGCCTCAGGTTCCGGTTCCGGCGCGAGCAGACTCCGCGCCTCGCCCCTCCTCGCCGGCCGGACAGGGAGCTGGAAGAACAGCGGGATATTCGGGTCCGGGTCGAACGTGCTCTTCGGGGCGGAGACGAGCGCGTCGGGCTGCACCTCGACGGGCGCGGAGGTCGGGACGGGGACACTCTCGTCAATCTCCACAGAGGCGAGGGCGCCGAGACTAAATCCGCCGCCGGAAGTGGGGGCGAAGAGAGAGGAGAGGGCTGCGGGAGCTGCGGTGGGGGCGGGGAGGGAGGGCTTGATTGCTGAACCCAAACTGAACTTTCAGAGCGATTGAGCAACTCACAGCAGTCTGACGTCTGCTCCCGCAACGGCGCAGTGTTAAGCTGACATGTACGCCAGTTCCATCAAGATTCATCCATACATACGAGCTGCGGTGGGGGCGGGGAGGGAGGGCTTGATTGCTGAACCCTCGTCGGAGTCAGAGTCAGAGTCGGAATCTGAGGAGTCGGACGAGTCGGACGAGTCGGAGTCAGAGCTGTCTGATGAATCGGAGTCGGAGCTGTCAGACGACTCCGGGTCTGAGCTGTCAGATGAGTCCGAGTCGGAGTCTGAGGAGTCGGATGACGATCCAGATCCCGATCCTGTTGAGCTGGACGATGAGGACGAGTTGGACGATGATGAGGACGATGATGAGGACGATGATGAAGAGCTCGCTCTTGATCCGTCCAACTCGTCTCCCGAGTCATCCGAATCAGAGTCTGAGTCTGAGGAGCTCGAGGATCCCGAAGACGAGCTCGAACTAGAACTGGAGCTCGAGCTCGAAGAGCTGCTCGACTTTGCCGGCATGACGTCCTTCGTTTTCTTCGTCTTGCTAGTCGAGGCCGCAGCCTTGCTGGACTCTCCTCGTTTTGTCGACCCCATGGCGATCTGCGTCGCAGTCGTTTCTAAAGAGTCGGTTGTCGGAGCCGCGGAGTGCGATGGCAGCTGCACGCGTGCAAACAATCCTGCAAGCAATGCGTTCATTGCGGCTCGAGGTCCCAGAAATCTTAGGTCACGTGCGGGACCTCCACCGGTCATCTGCGTGATTAGCCCGTGCCTTAAAAGGTATAGGGTGACTGGACTAATAAACACTACAAAGTGTTCAAATGCCAGGGCGCTTGCATTTGCGTTTCATGACCGCTCGACCTAGACGCGTTCCGCGCGTCTCTCAAGTTTGTTTTCGTCATCTCACCCACTGCATCTATCGACGAGAGGAAGACGTGACGACACCATGGTGCAGCCGACAGACTTGCACCGCGTGTTTCTGCAGAGTCTGCTCTCGCGCCGCGCCATGACGGACGACACGGCGCTTGTCATGCTCAAGCGCAGCCTGGGAGCTATCCGTCGTAAGTTGCCTTCCCCACACCATCTCCCTCGTTTCATGCCCCGTTAGCCATCTTTCTCAAGCTCTCGGCTCTGTGGAGGTGTTGTAGCTGACTCCAGGCTCCATTTCCCCCGACTTTGAAGTGCAGTACGCGCGCGGCATGGAGGGTCTCTCGACCTTCCTTGAGGAGGCGTCGACGCTTCTGGAGCCGTTCGGCATGCGCATCAAGCGCGCGAAGTCTGACGATGGCGTCGGCTGGGTCGTGCTGGCAAACGACGAGACGGGTGACATCGGGCGCATGGCGACAGACCTCTCCTCGCTCGAGATCTCGTACTTCCGCGCCCTGCTTGAGGCGATCATGCTTTCTCACCCCGCCAACTCGGTCTCGAACGCGCAGGCGCTCCGCCTCACGACTGACCTGAAGGGGAACATGAGCAAGCGTGATGCTGAGACGCTGCTTGGTGCACTGACGAGTCGCGGCTGGCTGGCAAAGTCAAAGTGAGTTTAATGGGGCTGATAGCTCGTAGCGGTGGATCAGCTGACCGTCGCTTCCATCCAAGCTGACATCAGACGCGGACGATACACCCTCGCGCCCCGCGCCATGATCGAGCTCGACAGCTATCTTCGCGAACAGTACGAGGACGAGGTTCGCACCTGTCGCCGTTGTCAGAAGCTAGCCATGACCGTGAGCTTGTCTGTTAATGTGACTAAGCTGACGCCAGGGTGTGATCTGCGCGAATCCTGAGTGCGAGGCACACTACCACACGTACTGCTACGAGCAGATCAAGCAGGCCGGACGTGACAAGTGTGCCGCCTGTCAGACACGATTCAGTGAGAATGAGCCGCGGCCCCTCGGCGAGCTCTCTGTCCCGAGGAGGGAAGACCAGTGGGGCACCCTCAACAACCGCAGGAAGCGCCGGGAGAGGGACGATGAGGACGAGATTGAGGACGAGGAGGAAGAGCAGGAGCTTGACAGTGAGGAGGAAGTTGAGGTGAGTACTCGATCTGTTGTTTCTGGCCCCGTGTCAACACCTGCCACTACGTCCAATGTTGCGCTTCGACCGTAAGCTGACGATACGCAGCGCCAGTCCCAGACTCAATCTCAACGCTCTCAGTCACAATCGCAGTCCCAGCGCGAAACTATTGTTCCCGGATCGATCCCGGATGAAAGCGAGCCGCCACGCACCCGTCGGCGGCGCTAGGAAGCAGCAGACTTGTGTGAAAGTCTGACCACCTCGAGACGTCCCGATACGGCCGTCGGATGGCGCGGGGGAGAAGGTGGACAGAGAGCGCGCTATAATTCGGCGTCGCGGCTGCGCTATCTCAAGATGGCGCAAGTGTATGTGTAAACTGTACGATATGGCATGGTGCTGGATAACGTGTACGGCGATTGCGAGCCAGCGCAGAAGGCCCCTGCTGTGGGTGCGGGGGTGGCTGTATGCATCACGTGCTGCACTCTTCTTTGTGCGACGCGGCGGTTTCGGACCGCGCTCCGACAGTTGGCGCGGGCGCGAAGGAAGCCATCAGTCTGTCTGGTTGGGATCACACGCTGCACTGACAATGCTCGAGCAACGCGCAGAAGGTTTGAAACAGGCTTGCTGGCGTTGGTAAGACAGGCCTCGGATCTCAGCGGCGCTCACGACACATGCTGCCTGCGCTATCACTGACAATCACGCTAGATCAGATGACTCACTAAACCAGAGTTATTCCACACGAACAAACTGAACTTTCAGAGCGATTGAGCAACTCACAGCAGTCTGACGTCTGCTCCCGCAACGGCGCAGTGTTAAGCTGACATGTACGCCAGTTCCATCAAGATTCATCCATACATACGTTGTCATGCGGAGTCAACCTGACAATGTGCTGGTTCTTCTCAAAGCCACACCCCGATATACAGCAGAAGTCCGCCCCGCTTCGGGTTTCGGTGTACGGCGGTACGGTCCGAGACATCGTCCGAGCGTCATGCCCCGGCTTAGCGTTGAGTTACCGGTTGGCAGCCGTAGTCCTTGAGGCGGCGGAGAGTGCGCAGAGTGGGGGGCGCAGAAGCAGAACGAGGCGTTCAAGGAACAATCACGTTCGAGCTATCTGCCCGCTCATGCCTCTCGTGCCCGCCTCGCATTTCAAGCATCACATTCCAGCAGTGCGCACTGTTGCTACAGGTCAAGGAGTGCGTCTGTGCACATCCGTGGCGGGGAACATTCCAGCGCCACTGGATATATCGTTCCAGCAGATGGCGACCCTCGTATCACGGCGCGGAGAGAGACCCCGGGACTCCTGGAACTCACGCCCGAGCTCATCGGCGCTCGGATCGTCCAACCGATCATTCCCGGCGTCTGCGGGGAGTGATCGGGGTGATCGCGCCTCTCTGCGCCTTCCTGAGCATGTCTGTCGAGTGAAGATTGAGGAAAAGATTCGGCAAGCTCATTCAGCAGCACGAATGGCGAGTTTGCTGAAACGTACTCACAACAATTGGTCATGCTTCAGCTTGCACGCTTTCTCTCTGGCATATCTCACAACCGCGTATCGCGGTGCTCAGAGCCGGCGGATTTGCGTTTCCGAGCGCACCTATCCAAGCAGCTACGGTATCGCGTGCGTACCTGGTGATTCTGGGGTCCATGGGATAGACATCGCAGATGTCAGCTGCCGCAGAGAACGGGGTCCGTGCTCTGTCCGATGGACCAGCGACCAACTTAGCGGCATAGTGCGGCACGGGATCTCACGGATTCTAGAAACTCAAATAGAAACTGACGCTTTCTAAAGGTACAGCTAGTGTCCACTGCGCTATCGCGGCTCTGCTGAACATTCCTCAAATAGCGCCAGTGTCTGGAGCCCCCGTTTCGGTCGCAGACGAGTCTGCAATGACGCCATGCCAACGGAGAACAGGCTAGCTCGGCGCCAGGACGTGCCAGATGGAGATGGCGCCGGCCGGATCTCACTGCAGTGCTAGAAATTTCTGTCGTGCTCGCTGCTGAGAGGAGCTAGAGGATGTTGAACGTCCGACACTAGATAACAAGGACCGCACGGGCTACGCCGGCCGCCGCGAGTGTGTCTTCCTCAGTGTGGAGCTTAGCCACGGGCTCTGGTGATCGTGAGGGCAATGCTGTCTCATCTTCAGCATGATAGGAAGGTTGTACGGCCCTCCGTGCTCCACAGAGCTGACCGAGACGAGTGCAAACGTTCGCAACTCCGTTTTACGAGATCGGAAGCGGTCACTGGCAACACTCTCCGCAATGTACACCGGTCTGATCTTCGGTCTGCCTAGCTCGTCGATCTTCCCGGCCGCCGGTATCGTCCAACTGAGGGATCTCGTTACACACGTTGTTGCGGATTGCTGGAACCTTGTTCTCCGTTGGAGCGCCACGAGTCTAGCCACAAACAGCCGTTTGAGTCAGGCGTCCGCTGCAGCTCGCGATAGTTCAACGGGCACTATAATGTTACTAGGCGTAGCAGACAGTCGACATGGGGTACAGATCTGGCTGGTGCAGCGCGTTGGGCCAGGATCCGGACGCCATCAGTTGATTGTAGCTGATCAGATATGATGCGGAGTTGATGAAGGTTGATGAAGACTGACGAAACTGCTGTCAACCCGCTGTGCAAGTCTCCGATGTCGCAGCCGCACTGAATCTGCAGCCATCCCCAGCCAGAAACAAGAAGCAGACCATCCTGACCCGTCCGAAACGTTACGACATGGCTGTGTTCTAACCGCATTAAGCTTGTCTAGTACGTCAGGCAACCCACCACCGTGGCTGCCACCCGCCGAACCTGACACATGCCGCACGCCTCGTTTTTGGGGCGGGAAGCAATTCTCTTTCCATCGAGCTAACCAAGCCATGGCTTGAGATAGCGGTTTGAGGTCCTCTATCCCTCCTGCTCCTACAGTTTGGGAGGAATGCGTTGGTGGAAACGCACATACAACACCAGCAGCTCAGGGCCCCTGTTGATAGACCCCGCACGAAACCAGATGCCGACATGCATCGAACGGTAGGAGCGGAGACTGGACCTCGAGATGGAAAGTCAAAATGTGGAAATTCACCGATCACCAAAACCTACGACTTACGACGCTTCTGTCTAGAACGCCTGGAACACCCCATCTCGACAGTCGGAAACGGTGTTGGCGCTGGCCATTGGCTCGAAGTGTTTACTGCTTCGGGCAAAGTAGAGTATCAGCAACTCACTGATCCCCAATCCCCAGCTCTCCGCATCTAATGCGCAGCAGACGCCGGAGCAAAGACCGAGAGCACTCGATAACGAAGAGTGGGAGAATCGGTCCGCGCTGCCGAGCCGTGCCGCTCCGCTCCGCACCCGACAGTAGCAAGCATGGCCAGGCCGAGATCGTACAAACAAACAATAGAAACGATGGGCCGATGCTTGCAACCACGGCGGCGCGGCCCTCGGCGCAGTTCATTACTCCTCCCGCTGCCTATTCATACGTGCTTAATGTCCGCCGGCGTGCGGGGCTGGCCCATGTGCGTGCTCCCCATCACGGCGATCGTCAATGTGATCGCCGTCACCTGCGTTCGAGTACCGCGTGATTTGCAGGTTTCACGACCTCTCTGACGTCTGTCACTTACGAACATTACCCCACAAAACGTGACCTTCCTGAGGCCTTGGGCGATGCGGGGGAACATGGTGGCCGAGATTATCGAAATCGTCGTTCGATAGTACGATGATAACCCCACATACCCCACTGTCGCGCACCTATGCGGGCGGAGTTGAACCTTGATTTCGGCGATGAATGGCAGGTCGTTGTCTGGAATGATGCGAGCAGCAGTTAATGAATTGCTTAATCTCCCTGGAATCGCCCTGGCACTGCTGGGAAGAGAGCAAGCGATCCGAGTGCAGAGCCCGACACGGGGCAGTCAAACTGTGTGCGGAGTGGTGGCCCCAGACATCGGGTACGGGTAGAGATAACGTCACAGGGTCAGGACATCGCAAGGACATTGCGAGGGCGTGATTACGGATTGGCAGCACAACGTACGTACGCAGGACTGAGCCGTGAACGGGCAGCATTCCATCCCCCGTCCATGACGCTGAACTGACATTGCACCCCACACTCCACCGTCCACCGCCTCGCACTCACCCACTCATAGCTTGCTCGTCGACGCGCTGACGAAGCGGGTTCCCGCGCTCGAGCCCTGGTCACTTGTTCGTCCGCTGCAAGCCTCCTGAAGCAAGACATTGCAAGACACCGCATGTGGAGGTAGCGCGCCTCCGTACGCTGGCCGACGCTCGCACGTCTTGGCACTAAGGACCTCGTCGACAGCGATCGTACTGATGGACTGACGTACAGCTGACGCTACCTGAGCTCAGCATGCTTGCGTCCGTGCTCTGCAAGTGCGATCGGGGGATAACCTTGCGAGCTTCCCTCGCAGAATGCACCAAGTAGGCATCACACCCATACCGCCCCTAAATCCTGACAGACGGTCACGCACTTGTCACCCCACCAACCTGTCGACATCACACCCTCATAGCTCGCCCGCACCATCCGCCAGGAGCCTTGCTCGCCCCAGTCCAACCGCCAGGTCTGCCTTTGGATCTGCCGCTGCTGCTGCCGTGCTGCCGTACACGGTGTCAGCACCCATCATTTTGGGCCTAACCCATCCCTCTCCATCACACCAGGCATCACACGCACTCCCCCCGATCTTCCGTTCCCTCGTTCTCGCTAGCGCAGTGCCTGAAAGGTTCCCCACAAAACGTTTAAACTCTGGATGCCGCTGCCATCATGGCGTACACTGGCGCGGGCTGACGCCAGGCGTCCTGGGCGCTGATGGCGTCGCCCTTGTCCTGTGCGCTCGGTCGTTTCTTGTTACTGACAGTCCTACCCGTCCGGCTACATCCGTTCATTGACACCTTCGCGCGCTCTTCCCTTGGCGCGATACGCCATATCGGGTGTGTCTGTCGCCTCCTGATGCCTTCACTAGCTCGCATGCCTTACTTTCCCTTGCGATAACTAAGGGGCAGGGTCCAACATCCAGGACAGTTCAAGATTACGAGACCGCACGCACCTACGATTCCTACGACATTCAGAGCACAGGCTGCACACGCTGAGCACAGGCCCAAAGCTACATAAGGGAGGAGTGAGATTGTTCTGGTCCGAACCACCCACCGATCTCACCGATCCCACCGTGCTCGCACCCGCACTTCGCCGCAGACCGCGCCCGCATCGCTCCTCCCCCATCTTCCATCTTTCCAAAAGCGATCAAAACTTCTGTGTGGCAACTCACTCGCTCACACATACACACGCACACAGACATTCATACACACACACCGGTCCGAGCGCTGGCACTCGCACCTGCCCTCTCCCTTGTCTCTGCCTCCGCTTCGAACTTCGAACGCCTCTGGCCATTGGTGCTCTCGCTCCCTCCTATTCATACAGCACCTGAGCACAGCAGTTGCACGCCTCTGACGACGTCACACGGCAGCAATTGGCACGTCCACTCAGCCTCCAGGTGGCCAACTCAACTTGGTCTTGGACTTTCGGTCTTGCTATCTTTATATTTGGTTGGCATGGCCCAATCGCTCGTCATTGCAGCTCAGATTCGACATCGGCGCTGAGTTGACCTAGCTTGTTCTACTACTACTTGATCTTCTTGTTGTACTGTTGGTTGTTCGCCAAACTCTATCGCGACCACCCAGCCTTCGACTTTCAACACTCATCCCAAAACACCATGTTCGGTCTGCGCTGGCTGACCTGCTGCTTTGCGCAGAACGTGAGTGCCTCCACTGGCCCAAAGTCCGCTGACTTTCAGCCCGAGCAGACTCCTCTTCTTGCCCCTCCGGCGCCGACTAAGGCGACCACTCAGCCCACAGCAACGGGCAAGCCGCTGGCGGCCCTCTCAGCGCTGCTTGGGTACGGCTACAAGACCGAGACTAGCGATACAGCCGCAAACGAGGATGAGGTGCTTCGCTCCCCTCGGCGACCGGCACTCGTCCGCAGCGACGACTCCGACATCAGTGAGCTGGACGCCTCTGCCCTCGAGTCCGCACAGCGCGCGCGCGAGCAGGCGGAACAGGCGCGCATCGAGGAGCAGATCCGACAGGGCTCCGTGGCCAACCTGTACGCAAACCGCATGTGCAAGGTTGCGCCGCTGGCGTGGTCGGCTTACCGCCGGGGAAGCGTCGATAGCAGTGGCATGGGCAGCCCGACGCTGAAGACGCCTGTCCTCATCACTCCCCAGACCAGCCGCGAGTTTGAGTACGACGAGCCAGTACGCCACTCGCCCCCATCTCCTCACGCCGAGACTGAGAGCGAGAGCGGATCCCAGCTGCACGGCCTGGGCTTCAAGAATCCTCCTCCCGGCTTTGGCGCCCGTTACAGCGCGCGCTACGCTGCACCGGCGCTCCCTCCTCCGCCTGTCGATGCCGGCATTGCCCAAATGCTCTTCAACGTGGAGGCGCGCGAGTTTGGAACGTCTCCCAACCCCCACAGCGCCCGCTACTCTGACAGCGAGGACTCGGACGGCACTGAGCGTGGCCGCTCCCGCCGCCTCTCGCCGATCACTGCCTCAGGAGATGAAGTCGTGTACAAGTCGATCGGGCTTGCTGGTCTTGGTGCGGGCAGCGCGAGGCGTAAGCGTCGGCAGCGCATTGTCACGCCCCGCACCCCGTGAGCGCTGCTGGCATCGCCACAGTGCAAACGTCACTCATGAGCTGGCGACATTCCGAGGAACCCACCTCCCCTGCCCCACCCAGACAATCAATACGGCTCCTCATGAGGCCAAGCACCCTCCAACACCCCGCTCGCTCCGAGACAATTCAGCGCCATCCTGGGCACTGAATGCAACCCCGCTCACACCTGACGCAAGCTCGATCACGAATCTCGCAACCTCATCTCATTGAAAACCGAAAACGAAAACACACGAAAAGCGAAACCGTGCACTGCCATGTTCCTGCGCCGCTGTGACAATTGATCTCAGCGCCGCCCGCGACGCCAGCATACGCCCCTTTCCCATGCCTCCCTCCTCCTTTAGACTCGCACTCGCATAAAACCAACAAAAGCAAACAACCTGCATCGCTACCTGCCACGCGTAACCAAACCACGCGCTCCACCACTCGCATGTCACCATTCCCGATATCCCCCGCGCTGCTCCCTTCCCAGCGCTTGTCACCCCGCATCCACCTGCCACTCGATACACACGCTAGCGCCTAGTGCCCGCCAGACTGCCGCTGCCGCTCCGCTCCACTGTCACGACCACCCCACGCCAACGCTAACGAGCACGTTATCGTCGCTGTTGATCGAAAGTTAGTTGTCAATACATACGCCGTTGTAATGGATCATGCATGTACAGAACACCCCTGTCTCCAAAGTTGATCTGGCTGCAACTGTTAATCCCACTGGGCCACTGACAGCTCACTGACCGACTCACTGACCCACTATAACCAAGCATGCTCAGACGTGATGTGGGTTGCTCCGAGACATATGAATGTGTCTGAACCCAGATCCCCCCCGGCTCAAGTTCCAAATTCGGACGAAACTCACCACTTCAGTGTGGAATGCGAACCTCGCCCAGCGCCCAACGGAGCGGTAGAAGGGTGCGTTATTCGGTTCATTCGAAATGTTCGGTACTGTCAGCATGAACCCGCTGAAGAGGGTGACGCGTACTATTGAGAGTACAGCAGATGAGTGTGGGTCACATGATGCAGGCTTAATCATGGGTCAAGTGACGCGACGAGCGCGATGGACGGACGCGAAGACATGAGCGTGACGCTGTCGCGCAAGTCGCGCACGTCGGAGGTTGTCACTTGACCAAAGTTCACAAACTGCAGAGAGGCTTTAGACGCACACCTACATGCTTTCCTTCCGAGAAGTGCTTCCAGCATCGCTCACGTAACGTGTAGGTTGTCTGATAGACTCCGCGTCTCGCTGCAATAGCGCAGCAAGTTGTGGGTGGGTGGATGGTCAAGATTGACATGAAAAGAGCCGAATTCGCCACGACCACATGCCCCGCCACGTGTCGCGGGGTTCGCCGTGGCGACCCTCGACCTCCACGCTGACGCGAGGCCTCCACCGCGACTGAAATGTTGGATGCACCGTTCTCTCGTTCTCTCCATTGCAGACTCACACGCTCCTTACATCCATACACAAACACATCGGGAGCTCCACCTTTCTTTCTTGGGGCCTCGTCGTTCAATCCATTCCCTTTCTTTATCGCCGACACTCGTTTCGCGCCGTTTCGCGCCGCTTCATCCGTCCCCGGATCGCCCCCGTTCTTCTTTGACTGAGAGTATAGCGAAGACCATGGAGGTCTCCTACGTCTCTCTCCTGGGCCAGGCGCTCCTCCCCCTCGTGCTGGGCGCGCACCAGTCCCTCCGCACGCCGGCGCGCGTGCGCGCAAAGCTGAAGCGGGAAAAGAGGGCAAAGCGCAAGCTCCTGCTGGAGGATGAGTCGGACGACGAGGACGACGAGGACGAAACGCTGACACTCGGGGACACGCTCCTCTTCCCGGTTCTTGGCAGTGTGGTGCTTCTCGCGCTGTATTTCGTCCTGAAATGGATTCCGAAGGAGTACATCGACATCGTCCTGGGCGGGTACTTCACGCTCGCGGGCATGTTTGCAGTGTACTCGACCATGGGCTACATTCTGAATGGGGTGGCTGAGGCGATTGGATTGAGGCAGTCGCAGTGGCACGTCCGCGTCAGCCGGGGATTCAGACGTGAGTGGACCTCGCGCGTGAGGAGACAGCGCACAGCTACGTGCTCTAAGGGCTGAGCTGACGAGCAGAAACGTTCCACGCGAAATTCAAGACCTCCTCGCTCCTCGCGCTGCCCTTCCTCCTCCTGCCCCTCCTCTACATCCCACTGGACCGGCACTGGCTGCTGTCCAACTTCCTAGCCCTGTGTCTCGCGACGGCGGCGCTCGCCTTCCTCCGCCTCGACAGCTTCGTGACCGCCTTCGCGCTCCTGGGCGCATTGCTGGCCTACGACATCTTCTGGGTCTTCTGCACCCCCGTCATGGTAACCGTGGCGCGGGGCATCGACGCGCCGATCAAGCTCCAAGCGCCGAAGAAAGGTGAATTCGCCATGCTCGGGCTCGGCGACGTCGTCGTCCCAGGGCTCATGGTTGCGCTCTGCCTCCGCTTCGACCTGGAGCTGTACGCAAGGAGCAGGCCCAATCATGCCGTCGGGCCCAAGTCCAACTTCGGGAAGACGTACTTCCACACCGCGCTCGTGTCCTATATCGCCGGACTGGTGCTCACCGTCGTCGCCATGAATGTGCAGGGCCGCGCGCAGCCCGCCCTCCTCTACTTGAGCCCCGCGTGCAGCCTCGGCCCCGTCCTGCTTGCGCTCGCGCGTGGTGAATTGGGCGCCATGCTGAAGTGGCGCGATGAGGAGGAACAGGAGGAGGAAATGAGGGACGAGACGATCGAGAAGGGGTCCGAGGTCGCTATGCGCGCACGCGAGGAGAGGAAGAGAAAGGAGGCCGAGCGCGAGCGCGAGCGCGAAGCTGCCGCTGCCGCCGCGGCGAGCGGCGCCAAGGCTGTTGAGGCGGCCGCTGCTGCCGAGAGGGCTGAGACGGCTGCACTGGCCGGAGGCCCTGAGAAAGTGGAGATGGTGGATGAGAGCTGGATGGAGAATGACAGCGGGGAGACGGGCGAGACGACGCAGAAGCGCAAGCCGAGGAGGAGGGGGGGTAAGAAGAAGTAAGAAGTAAAAACCCCTCACCTCCCCCCTTCTCTCACATCTCATAGAACAACTAAGACAAATGAGAATCCAAAAGTAATGCATTTCTATATACCCCTCGACGTTGGTATCTATGGACAGGTATATACCCCCTGCTCACTCCCCCTCCTTGATCCAGAGAGCGCCTCTCTCGCTCCGCTCGTTCGGCGGAGCAGATCAGAGAGAGCGCCTCCACCTAATGAACGCCACGAGATTCTCATAAATCTCGTCTGCCTGCATCCTCATCTGGGGCTGTTTCCGCTTATCCACACCCCTGAGGACGCCCCTGATCCTCGCAACGTTCTTGGCCAGGGGCTCGGTGTACTTCCAGTTACCATCAAAGTCGCGGGTTTCGTCGCAGTACACATCAATCAAAGCGTTGAGGGCCGCAATCAGGATCGCCGGCTGGGCAGGCAAATTGGGGAGGACGAGAGATGCAAGCCAGGCGCCAATGTGTGCGTTTTCCTCTACGCTTACACCGGAGCGGGCCGCGAGCGACGCCAGCGTCTCGATCGCGCGCACCTGCGCGTCGGTCGACATGGGCGATCCCACGACTTGCGTCAGGAGCTCTTCTTCAGCGGCACTCGGGGACAGGGAGGCAGGCGAAGAGCGCGCACAGCCCCACAGACATCCGAGGGCGGCTTCCTGGATCGCCTTGCGGAACTCTTGCCCGCGAGCTGAGGCGTCGGCGGCAGGCGCGCCCTCGGCGCGCAGGATGGGGAAGAGGGCATTCCAGAGCTCCTGGGCGGGAACGTCGAGCTTCTCCCCGTTCTGCACGGCCGCGGCGGTCGAGAGGAGGAGGTTGTTGAGCGCCTCGAGGGCGCGGAGGTGCAGCGCGCTCAGGGCTGCGGTCGTTGGCGGGTGCGGGCTGGCGTCGTCGGCAGGGGGGAGGGAGAGCGGCGTGAGGGTTGCGAGCTTGACGAGGCGCTCGGGGAGCACACTCAGAAGACGCGGCAGGCCTGCGCTGTTGACCTTTGTTGGCGCCGCGGGCGTGCCGGCATTGGCTGGGTCGCGGCCAGCAGCGATAAGGGTCTCGTCGTCCTGCGCGTCCTCCATCTCGGCGTCGGAGGCGTCGCCTTCCTCCTCCACCGCGTCTTCGAGACCAGCACAGAGACCTGTGAGAATCTCGAGCGCGAGCGTGACGGCCTGGAGGGCGCGCTCGACGCGCTCCAACTTGAGCGCCGCCGGAGGGCGGTGGTCCGTCTTGATGTCCTTCTGCACTGGCACCGATTCTCCGGGAAGCTCGCCGACAAGCTGGCCCACACGCTCGACGACGCTCGGGATCGAGACGTCCAGCAATGACGTGGCGAGCGGAAGGACGACGTCGGTGGTAAGAGCAGACAGGTTGATCGTGTCCCGCTTCGATCCCGGCTCGATCATGTTCAGCAGCGTGCCAGCCGCCAGCAGGCGGGTGAGGAGCATCCGTCCGTCGTCAAACTCGGCGTCGACCTCGGCGGCCACCTCCTTCGCCTTTCCCTTACCCTTGCCCTTCAGATCGCGCTCGAGGGGCGCGTGGTCCGCGGTCACGATCTGCACGAGCGTGTCGACAACGCCCGGGGTGGCCAGAAGTGCCCGCGTGAACGGCTCATTGTCCTGCGTGAGCGCGTAGAGCGCCTGAGCTGGGTTCTGTTAGCGCCAGTCACAAACTGAAACATACCAGCAGCGAGCACAACGCCGGGGTTGAGTCCCGCGCGCGCAGAGAGAATCTTGGCGAGCAGTCCCTCGGTTCCGGCCGCGTTGATGGCAGCGAGCGTCTTGTGGTTCGCCTCGGCGAGGCACCAGATGAGCGTAATGACGTTCTCGGCGAGGAGAACAAGCGCCTGGCGTCCTTCACCGTCGAGGGTGTCCCAGGCGTCGAGGGCCGCAGAGATCTTGCCCGCGAGCGTGATGACGTGCGGCACGACGCCCTTGTTGAACATCTCGCCGCAGAGCTCGTGGCCGCCGTCGATCGCCAGGTTCCGCAGCGCTCCAGAGGCCTCGACGACAACGTCATCCGAGGAGTCACTGAGGCGCTCGATCAGGAGGCCAACAACGTTGCGGCCCTGGAACAGTCGTCGGGTCGCCGCATCGTTTTGGATCAGGTTGCACACCGCCGCGCACGCCCAGGATCGGTCGCTGGCTTCCGGCGCACGGAGCTGGGGTCAGCTGGAGCTAAGCGACGACAAAAGCGCTTGATGTCTTCCCTGTGACGAGGAAGACTATGTCCACAGGTACGCGAGGAAGACACGCAGAGGGAAGACTCACCTTGTCGAGGATGGGGAGCATCTGACGCTCCTTGGCGGGGTTCTTGCCCTCTGCACGCCCTCCGCCGAGGTGTGCGTCGGGGACACGGATGGGGTTGTGACGCCTTGATGCGTCTGTCTTCTTCTTAACCTGCGCCTTTCCCATCGTTGCTGTGTTGTGAGTGTGAGTGTGACAGGACGCTGATCGCTCGCTAGCGTTGTAGAGCCTGGGCAGCCTGGATGAGCGAGTTCCAAGATATTTTGGAGGCACGTGACGTGATGGGGCGGAGAGGGCGAGTGTGTCCGCAGCCCGAGGAGAGAGTGTGTGCTTACGTATGGTCGCGTGGGCTGAAGCTTAGCCAGGAACGACTGGCGCTGCCAGGCACGGGTTTGGTGGGAATGTTGCGGGGGCTGATATGCGGCATATGACTGTGGGATGGAGAGATTAAGCGCGATTAGCGGGGGCAAAAAAAAAACTTGCAGGTTTAAGGAACTGGTGACCCATCCGTCGTCCACCCCCGGCAGAACTGGCGCTGGTCACGTGCGTGGGCATCGCAGTCCAGCTCCACCCCCCCCTAGGAATAGCTCATGAACACAGAGGTGGGCGGTGATGAAGAGGAAAGGATGCATGCATCTGTGTGATGGATGGAAGAGGGAGAGGGATGGATGAGACTGAGAAGGCATCAACCGACGGCTCCGGAAACGATAAGGAGGACATGGTTGGTATGCTGGAATGCTACACCCGTAGTGCCGTAGTGCAGGGTGGTTGGGTGACGGGTGACGGTGGCGCCCAATTGTCGCAGTGACCCAAGACGCGCTAAACCCAGACTGTGCGACGCCAGTCTCAGATGCATGCGGCAACTTGAGGACGCGGAGGTTGCATGTGATGAATGCGGTGTCGCGGTGTCAAGGCAACAACATCGAGGCACTGACAAGTTGATGACAGCAAGGGGTTTGGTTCAGCAGGGGCACGAGCACGAGGACTAAAGTCAAAGCTTGAGATGAGAGATGTTGCCCCGCATAGTCGCATTGCAGGTGCGGGACCAAGCAGAGACGAGTATCGACTGTCGGCCGCCAAGAGCTAGTCAGAGTCAAGAGCTTGGTCCGCGGCAGTGGCTGCACAGTGTTAGTCGGCCTGCGGCTCTGCCGCCGCGCGCGCCGCCCCTGGGCCCTGTCCTGGGTCCACCCAAAGATCCTTATCCGATTATTTCCCCGGCCTAGAAATCGTCCTATCGTCTTGACCACCCAAAGGAGCGAGCTCCCACACTCCTACCCCTCGCATCTACCACACTCATCTGTCCTCCTCTTTCTCGCATTCTCGCTTTCTCATACACTCACTGCGCCCCTCTTGGCGTCACCACCACACACCCACACCCTGCAGTCTCTTGTCCTTCTTTCCCACCTCGCACCCACCCCGCCCTCGCATACACGGCCTTCCTCGCATTTCCACCTACTTTCATTAAAGCGATCCCCGCACACCCCTCATCCCCTCACCTGCCCGTCACATCGTTACCTCGCCAACACCACCAACAGTCGACATCGACACAATGAACTCGCCGGCCCAAGCGTCTCCAGATGCGTGGAGGCGCCGCCTCTCACACCCTTCACTCTCCACCCCGTCCTCCACCCCGCTCACCGAATCTCCCTCTGGCGGATCCTACCTGCCCCTGCCCCTCCACCTTCCCTCGGTCTCCGGCTTGAGGGCCGCTCTCCTGGGTTACCTCGGTGAAGCTGAGGCCGCCTTGAGGGAGCGCCTCGAGGTCGAGTCCAGCGGCTACTTTGACGGAGAAGGCGACGAGCGTGCTCACTCTCCGCCAGTGTCATCAGAGGACGAAACGGACAATACGGATTCGGATACTCCAATGGGAACGTCGACGGCCGTTCAAGCGCACGGACAACTACGTCGCCGGCGTGCTGGACCTTCCTCACCATTGGAGGAGAAGCGGTTCGACCCCATTGAGCCAGGTGTGCTCGACCAGCTCGCCAAGCTGCGCGAGGACGTCATCTCGCTCGTTCCCGGCAATGCAAAGGAGTGGTTGCACTCCCTTCCGACACAGCTCCACCGAGTCGACAACTGTCTCGCCGATCCGCTATCTGCACCAAAACATGCGATCAAGGGCGCCAGGCGACGTGTGATCGACGTCGTCCACGCCATGCTTCCTCCGGACGACTGGGAGGGATGGGAGCGCCTCGGTTGGGACCAGGGCGAAGGCGAGGGCGAGGACGACGAATCGACCCCTCGACAGATCCGTCACATCAAGTCGTGTTCGCTCGACGGTCAGTACTCGCCGGAGGACGACGAGCCCGAGTACTTGTTCCCTAACCGTACCCCTGCGCCCGCGCAGGCCGTCGCGCGCCACCGTCACCGCCGCGCACGTTCGCTCGGTGCCGCCGACGTTGCTTCGCTTCCTCCCTTCCTGGATCAGCTCGACCAGTGGATCCGCCCGGCTCTTACCGATGTCTCGGCCATCGTGGACGACACTGGCGAGGCGGCCCCGGTCGAGGAGGTTGTCGAGTCGGGAGAGGAGACCGAAGACGCCGACTCTGACGACCTGGAGCCGTGCGAGAAGCACGGTGCGCACCTCGCAAGCCCGTACTCGTGCCCGTCGATCGAGGAGTCGCTCGTTCGTTCAGACTATGGAGCCAAGCTTATCACGTTTGAGGACCTGCCGTTCTGGTGGCGCAACAACCAGTACATCCACACCGGCTACCGCTTCATCCCGCTCGGCAAGTCTGGCCCGATCCCGCTGATCAAGTCTGCGTTTGCGCTGCACAACGAGACGGTGAACATCCAGAGCCACCTGATTCCCACGGTGCTGATCCTGGCCGTGATCCCGCTGATCGTGTGGAAGTCGCCCCTGCCGAATGCGCACTGGATCGACACAGCGATGCTGGTTAGCTACCTGCTCGCTGCCACGTCGTGTCTGTTCTCGTCTGCGTCGTGGCACGTCCTCAGCGGATGCAGCAACAAGCGCTGGTTCGAGTGGGGTGCGTGCGTCGACTACATTGGGATTTCGTGGCTCATTGCCATGTCGTTCAACACGGTGGTCTACAACGCCTACTACTGCTCGCCCAAGACTGTGCTGTTCTACACGACCGTCAACGTCGCCTTTGGTGCGCTCGGCTCGTACCTGCCGTTCCAAAAGTGGTTCAACCAGCGCAAGAACAAGCACTGGCGTATCCTGTTCTTCCTCGCGCTCAACGTGGCCATGTTTGCGCCCTGCGTCCAGCTCTTCGGCACGCACGGCCTCGAGGCCGGCTTCCGCTTCGTCAAGCCGTTCACGTGGAGCATCCTGTCCTACGTCCTGGGCCTGATCTGCTATGCGTTCCACTTCCCCGAGTGCAAGTTCCCGGGCCGCTTCGACCGGCTCGGCGCGTCCCACCAGCTCTGGCACACGGGCATCGTGTGCGCCATTTATCTGCACTACCGCGCCATCTTCGCGGCCTACAATGCGCGCTGGGAGTACTCGTGCATGGCGAGTGAGCCAAGTGCGTCTCTGCCCATGGTCGTGACGCAGATGCTCTTCAGCAAGGCCTAAGGCGCAGGCGCAGGCGCGTCAGCGCCGAAGGCTGGCGCCAGGATGTCTTTTCCATCTCGTCCGGCGGGAGCCAAGTGCGCCATCTCCATCGACCATCCCATGGTCCCCCGTCTGCCCCGCAGACCTCAATTATAATGACAACTTCAAACTCCAAGCAACAACAAGCTCTTCATTCAAAAGCGCCCGCCCATGAGCGCAAACCACAAGCAAGCATTCAACCCATCAACATCAGCATCATTCCCGTCTCTCCCGTCTGTATCTCTCCTCACATCTACTTCATTTGGGTATCGTGTCATGAATATTTGTTCAATAGCACTGAGTCGTGGGCATGAGGGTTGAGCGGGGTGAGAGTGGGTGAGGTGGGTGGGGATGAGGAACGAGGGTGAGAGAGGGGCCAGGTCTTGGCTGTCCCTACGCATGCCACGCACCGCACAGCGATGTCCAGGGGGGCCAGGGAGGAACGTGGGTTTAGAGATAGAGTTAAGTGGGGCGTGGGAGAACTATGATATCAGATAACGGACCAGATTTCCCAGCGTACCCCATTACCCGGATCCAGCGACAAGACTCTCGACGGAGCTCGACGGAGCTCGACGGACCGCGTCTTTCACTGGTCCTTGCTGGCCGCTACTGGTCGCTGCTGGTCGCTGCTGGTCCTTGCTGGTCCTTGCTGGTCCTTGCTGGTCCTTGCTGGTCGCTGCTGACTTGCATGCTGACCTCACGCTGACGCCCAGTCTAAATTACCCGCGCACATCTCCCTACTGTTCTTCTACTGTTCTCTCAAGCGAGTCTTCAGTCTCGGGATCTCGGGTCCACAACTACATCGTTCATCGATCAAACTGTCGCTGACTGACATGGAGGCTAGCTGCCGGAGCCCTCGCGGAGCCCTCGGAGCCCTCGAGCCCTCGGAGCCCTCGGAGCCCTCGGAGCCCGCGGAGCCCTCGGAGCCCTCGGAGCTTTCGAACTGACCAGCGCTGAGCGCTGTACTTGGACGTTCGACGGGCTGCTGATTACAACACACAGCCCCCCCGCCCCCCGCCCCCAGCTCCCCGCTCATCTTGGGCTGAGTAGCGTTGTATGAGGACGCACAGACCCGACTGCGACTGGATGAGGGACTGGATGATGAGCTAGAACGATTGCGCAGTCGCCAAGATGACAATTGTCGATCACTCTCATCACGCTCTCGAGCCGTCTGTTACGCTAACTGTCGTACTGCTGATCCAAACATTGACCCGAACCGATGGATCGATGGCACTGTCCATGTCTACCGCTCCCTCGCTCCCTGCTCACATCTCGCCCCACTCACCACTGCCAAACCGCGCTTCCTCGCTCACTCCTCGCTCTACTGTCCTCGCTGTTCTCCTTTGCCCTCGCCGCTCACGCCTCGCTCCGCTCGGTGACACCATTATCGCAGAAAAACCTTCATAAAAAAAAAACCAGAAACTACCAGGACCCGCCCTCCCCCCTCCAGAAGAAAGGAGAGAGCTAATATAGACTCGGAGTAAAAGTTGATAAAGAAGAAGGAAGACTTTGTTGCGAAGTGTAAAAGAAACGGGGAAAGACCAAAAAAGCAGAGAGGTTTGGATGGTGGGTGGGTGGGTGGGTGGGTGGTAGTTTAATGTTGGGTGTAGTAGTAACAAAGAATGTCCATGGCACAAGTGGGGAAGAGGGTATCGTTGTCGTTAAATCCGCTTAGCAAGGCCGGGAGGACAGAGCAGAACACTCTGCCTCGGGACCTCGCTTCGCTCGGTCGCTCGGTCGCTCGGCGCTCGGCTTACTTGCCCGCCGCCGTGATGATGATCTGACCCAGTTGGGCCACAACCGCCGCGACACCGGCAAGGTTGCCGTCCTCGGCCTCGACGTTGGGGTTGGTGATGATGGCGTGGGCCGAGGCGGTAGCTGCGGCCGACGCGACGGTCGAGTTGGACAGGGTGGACGACGCGCTCGTGCTGGACGAGGTGAGGTTCATGGGCGAGTCGGCGGGGAGAGTGCCGTTGGCAAGGAGGCCGGAGGGGAGGGCCGAGGCCGACGAGCTGGCGCTCGACGACAGGCTCGACGAGCTGCTGCTAGGAGCCGCCGAGGACGAGGCGCTGGAAGAGGGCGAGGGCGAGTTGCTGCTGGACGCGGAAGAGCTCGAAGGCGAGGGAGAGGGGGAGGGCGACTGCGAGCTCGACGAAGGCGCAGGAGGAGGGGACCACGTCGAAGTCGACGTCTCGGGCGGAGGGGTCCAGGTGCTCGTCGACGGCTCGGGGGGAGGCGTCCACGTGCTCGTCTCAGGCTCGGGAGTCCAGGTGCTCGTGGGCTTGGGCTTCTCCTCCTCCTTGCTCGTCGGCTTGGGGTCCTCACCACCGCCGCCGCCACCGCCAAAGTTCCAGCTGATCTGGAACACACCCTTCGAGTGGGGCGCGCCGAGGGCCTCGAACAGCGACGGCGACAGGTCGAGGTCACCGTACGAGCACGTCGGGCACGAGTCGACAATGGACGCAGACTGCGTGATACCCGTCTCGGTGTTGGTGATCGACACCTGACGGAAGCAGTCGGGGCCGGGGTAGCCCTGGTTGCGGAACTGGGCAGTGTTGAGGGCAACAACAAACTCGTTGTCGTAGTGCATCTCACCACAGTGGCCGAGGTCGACACCGACAGAGTAGAACGTGGCGGTACCTGTGAAGCGCTTCTGGAACGTGTGGAGCTCGCGCTCCTCCATGTGCGCCTTGGGCGAGCGCATGCGGTGAGGGCCGGCCTGAGCGCCGACAGCGGCGAGGGCCGCAAGGAGAACCTTGGTCAACATTGTTTAGGGACAATGTGTGAGGGTCAAGGTCGATTGAGGAGAGAAGGGGAGGCGTTGTGTTGCAAACAAGCGAGGTGGACTAGCACTCCGGGGTTGTTTGCGTTTGTTGTTCTCGAAGGAGTTGTGGGTTTGAAGAGGGTGAATAAATGACTCGGATGGTCGTTGATCGAACAGTCGGCGCGGACTCCAGAGTCGTTGGGAACTGGTCGAGGGGAGGGGTTGAGACTATTAGACACTAGCGGTCGAGTCGAAGGGGTTGTTCGAAGTCGAGAGCTCGAAGAGGTGTGGTAAGGTAAAGACAGTGAGCAACAAAGAGAGAGAGAGAGGATGAGAGTAAAGTTGGGACGCTTGCGTAGGGGGGTAGACGATGCGAGCGCTGGGGGGCGTCGAGGGAGACGAGGGTACGAGGGGACTGGAAAGAAGGGGGTGAAGGAGAGAGATCTAGAAAGAGTGTTGGAGCGTAGAGAGCTGTGTGGTCAGACTGTTGAGGAAAAGGGGGGGGGACAAGGGGAGGACAAGAGGCTGGAGTGTCTGAGGGAAGGAGCGGGCGGTGATCCAGGCGTTGACCAAGGCCTGCGAGGTCGCTGAGCGCGCGCTGAGTGGCCAGTTGGAGGGAGATCCTTAGTGAGATGAATAGAGAACGGACGAAAAGAGGGTGGCCATGCTCAACATATCAACACTCAGGGCAGCGAAGGCTCCTGTCTCAACTCCTGCAAGAGGCTCTTGCAGTTGTCCTTGTTCGCTTGTTCTCCCTCCCCCCTTTGCAGACGCGGCCGGCAGCAGGATAGCCATGCGAAGGGTCCGTCGACCGGGCATCCCTGGAGCGACCATCCGGCAGGCCCCTCTTTCATGGCGCTCGAATTGGCCAGCTGGGTGCTCCTTTGGCCCGGAACCCTTCCCCCTCGACGCGCGCGTCTACCGCTTCCGGCAGGACTAGCTTTCATACCCTGGACTAGTCTGTCCTGCTGCTTAATCTTATTCCTGAGTGGAATCGACAGGTGATGCGCAACAATGACTTCATGCGTGTGCATCACCAGCTCGTGTGCATCGTCATCATCGTTACGATGCTTCAAGTCTATAGTACGCCTTTGTAGTCCACGCAAATCTGCTTTGTGCGTTGCGTTGTCGTCGAGGGACGCACGGTCGTCCTTGCTCAACGCGGCGGTAAGAATCAGCAGCAACGCACAACGCCAGAAGCCAGAACGAGGGTGCTTGCCACAGCGAAAATGCAAACGCCTCCAGCGGCCCAAGTGCCGGGTTCCACGGCGTTGTAAGGATACAACGAGGCGCTGGGCGGCGCTTTTGGCGCGTCCTCGAAAAAACGAGGCGCGCTGTCGACCCGCTGATCCGCTGAACCGCTGAGCCGGCCGGGACGGGGGAGGTTTCGCGTCTTCTGCTCTCGTGCGGTGGATGCAGGGCTGAATGGCCCGGGTCATCCGGTCACCCGTCTGTCGCCCGGATGGCCCCCCCTCAATCCCTCGGTCTGTCCCAGGGAGAGAGATGGCTCGCGGTGGGAGCCCGGGCAACCGTTGGCTCATTGGGTGCAGGTCAGCATAGACCCTGCGGGACATGGACCCTCTCGTCTTCCTCTTGGCCCTGGGGGTGCCTTCGGGACACTCCACTGCAGCACTGCAGCGGCCATGCATCCCAGGCATGCCAGGCAGAGGACCGGAAGTGCCTCGCCTTCCCTTGCAGGAGGAGTCAATTCGACCTGCTGCATGCAACCCGCCTGCAAACCTGGAATAAATAGCAACAGCGCCATCGTGTTGTTATTGCAGAATTGCATGGCGGCGGCTGCCAAGCATGCACATCGTGAGGAGGAGGCGGCCGGCGCGACGCGCTGCGCTGCGCATTGAGCACTATCGGGTCAGCGGGCAAGACCTCTCCTCTGCAAAGTGCACCCGTGCGCACCCAAGATTCCCAAGACAAGCACAAGACAAGTGTCCAAGACGCTTGGCCTTCTTGGACAATCAAGGACAAACCCAACTTGAAAGCCCAGCATCGCGCGTCTCCGTCAGCGATTGACGGAGGTGACCCTTACGCTATGCAGGGTCTGGAATTTTTAAGCACTGTTCCTCATCCACTGGATCCTGCACAACCCTGGACGATATGTCGCGTGCATAAGTGTTTTGCTGCCGGATCGAGCAAGTAAACAACAAACCAAACAAGAGGTCTGGCCGAAAAGGATGTTCGGCGGCGTTTGCCCACCGTCAGCTGTGCGAGGTGCTTGTGCAGCGTGTGCATGCAGCTTTGTGCTCCTTCCATGCATGCTATTTATGATCATATGTGAGGTGATGCTGCGCTGCACAGACAACTCTGCGCGACGCGGGCAGAGCGGGCAGAGCGGGCAGAGCGGGCAGAGCATATGGGGGAGAGAGGAGAGTAATGAAAGAAAAGGGCGATCAGAGCGTCGGCGCGTCGGTCGAATTCCAGCGAGATCCAAGCTCACCTCATGCATGTATGAATAAGCTAACTCTACTGACAAGGGACGCATGCCCCGCTAAGCCAGCTAAGCAAGGCGGAGTAAAGCTTCCAAGAATACCAAGCGCACCAAGCGTCACGGAACCCTGCTGGGCGATACCAAGCTTGCGTCTGAAACGGACCTCGTCTCTGGTAGCAAGAGAGTGGGGACGATCAAGCGGCAAGCGGGCGGAGACGGGCGGCACCCAGTGCTCTGAAACGACCCCCCTCCAGATCCAGACCACGCCAGGCAAGTTGAGAGCCAGCGAGCGCACCCCGAATCCCACTGCACCTGTCTTGCCGCTACCACGCGCATGCCGGCAGATTGCGGCAGACGCGACCCGGGGGTTGTCGCGGATTCCATTCCGAGCGCCACGGCAGCCTCACTCAGTCTCATAGAGGAGGAGGGTTCTCAGCGTCCCAGGCTCTCAGCATAAGCGCGAAACACCAGACTGCCAGATGCGGGACGTCGATCATTGAGCTCGCTGAGCTTGCTGAGCTCGCTGGGCATATCCAGAAGCTTGTGGGCGCGCGTGCATCTCATGGCTTCTGACGCCGCTCTCGGTCGTAGGGCCCTTACCTCCCCATCAACCCTTCCTAGAATGACACCACCAACATGAACGCCAGCAATACAGCCCGCGCAGCTGGACATGGGTAGAGGGGTGATGTCATTGTCTTTGCGCGCTGTCCTTTCGTTTGCAGCAAACGAACTAGCGAACACACAGGGATGAGTCAATTCGCGGATCTGCCTGCCTCCCCCGATCCCTCATCGGCGCCGCTGACTGTGTATGCCTGAATGTGGCGATCGCTTGCGAATGGGCGTAGTGTTATCCCTGTATGAGCTCAGTGATGGGAGTAGGAGCACAACAACAGCAGAGGATGACAACAACATAGCGAGCGAGTCAACAACGGCAGAAGATGACAATGGCAGCAGAGGATGACAATGCCGGGTACCATGCTAGTCTACAATGCGTTCTACCCAGTGCCCACCACTTGCTCCTCGCGAACGAAAGGCCAGAACTCCGGTCCAGGCCGACCCACGCCTTCTGCACCGTCCTGCGCTCACTGCCAGGGCTAGAAGTTATCTCTCGTCAGCGCACTCGTGACTCTACTCCTCCTCCTCAGCGCGGGTCCATAAACGAGCAGCAAGGCCGGCGCGGCAGCGAGTCCGAGCGCAATACTGGCCACAACACTCGAGGCGACAGGATATCCCAGCTGCTCGTACATTGGCCGCGCGAAGAGGGGAAACGCGCCCGCGAAGACGGAGCGGACGAAGCCGTGGCTGGCCTGCGCCGAGGACGAGTAAGTCTCATACGCGTCGGCGAGGTAGTTGCTACGTGCGTCAGCTTGCTCTCACTCTATTCACTCACTACACCCCCGCATACATGGCGCTCACGCCCGCCATGGCGATTGAGCAGAAGATGGCCGGCGCGATCCAATGAATATGCGGCCGTCCAGTCCACGCATAAGCGTACATTGCAGCTGGGAAGACGAACGCCCCCAGAACAGCAAAGTACAGTCTTGCCTCGGGTTTCGCCTGGCCCGTCCGACTCCGAGCACAGGCTCTCCGATACAAGCGTTCCTGGCCCCAGGACGAGGCGAAGCCGAGTATCCCCCCCGCGAGCATGGTCAGCTGCGCCGTGCCCTGCATCCCGATGTTGGATGTGTACTGCGCAAAGACCAGAGGCGTGGACGCCGTGCCGAGGTAGATTGTGCCCCAGTTGAAGCCGATCCAGATACACAGAGCGCCCACGATGGGTTCCGTGAAGAGATACTCTAACGTTGTTAGCTGGACCCGAGGGACCGGGGGACTCACGCAGCGGTCTACAGCAGCTCACGGCGATCATCTCCAGGATATGCTTTTCCCCCAACTCGGCCCTCGAGACGTACTTCCCTCCCCCTCCCCATACTCCTTCCTCGCCCTCTCTCCGCAGCCTCCTCGCCCTCCTCGTCAACAACACATCAGCCCTCGTCTCGCTCAGCAGCAACGTGCTCCCTACGCCCACGGCCAGCGCTAGCCCCTGCACGCCGTAGCACCACTGTATCCCAATGTCCTCCCCGACCCAGCCGAGGACGACGCCGCCGGCAGACTGGCCGATGAAGTTGGCCAGGACGAAGAGGTTCATGGGCAGAGAGCGCGAGGAGGCGGGAAACAGGTCCGCGATCGTGCCCCCGATCAGGGCGTTGCCGGCCGAGGCGGCTGCGCCTTGCTGCTTGTCAGCTGCTTCTGTCGCTTCTGCCGCTCCAGACCGCCGCTGACAATCATCCGGGAATATCTCATTCCGTTAGTCGCCCCACACCTCCCAGTTCCAGCGGAGTATTCAGAAAACAGGCAGGTTGACTAAGACGAGTCAGTCACTCACGAAGCACCGGACCACAATGAGCACAGCAAGGCTATGCGTGAACACCTGGGGCAGGAAGAGGAGCGCGCTCAGCAGCGTCGCGACCTGATAGATCCTCTTCCTCCCAAAGAGCTCGGACAGCGGGGCTGTCACGAGCGACGCAACAGCGAAGGAGACAAGGTACGCTGTGCCGCTCGTCGCGAACCCGAGACGCGAGGTGTGGAACCAGGTCGTGCCCCAGTGCGCCATTATGCCCGGCGACGCGCCGTTCATGCTCGTCAGGCCGCAGATGTACAGCGGGATCGCCGTGTTGAGGTATTTCTTGGCTAGCGGCCAATACAGGGGGTTCTGCTAGGTTAGCTGGTCGTGTCATGATCGCAACCTGCACGCGCTCATCTGGGAGACTGTTGAGGGAGACAGATGTCCCAGGGGTCCCAGGGGCGAAGGTCGCGCCAGGTGGGCCGGGACTAGTGACTCACCTCGGGGTCATCTTCTTCCCAATCCACGAGCACAATTTCGGCCCCGAGGTCCAGCTCGCTGAGCTCTTTGAGCCCGGCGCCGTGCTTCTCCGCCATTGTCCATGAGGTGCGAAGGTGGTGCGCGTGAGTTGTTGGTCAGATGCAGAGTGAGTAGTGTACAAGTCGCTTTGCTTGCGGTATGCTTGCGATGGAGCGCCGAAGGTCGTGTGACTGCAACTCGCCCGTCGTCGGAGCTGGCCGACACGGCCCGACACGAGTTGGCCGAGGGCGGTCGGACCGAGAGATGTGCCTGGGATGCGGAGTGGATTTCACCCAGAGGTTCATGCGGTGATGTCTGCATGCTCAGTATTGCAAGATAGTGAGAGAAGGGGTTGTCAGTGAAGGGGAGAGCTGGTGCAGATGCCAAGAAAGCATGCGCCGTCATGGGAGTAGCATCGAGGGTGCGGGTATGGTTATCTGTTCGGCCGGAAGGTGGGCAAGTAGTGGGTGCGGAGGAGGTGCGGAATGCGGCTTGTCTACGTTCTCCATCACGCTCTCTGCCATTGTCAGCATCTCACTCATACAACTGCTGCCCGCCCGGCGGTCCCAGCGCAGTGGGCGTCACTCACAAGTCCAAACCCTGTAGGACACGATCTGCTTGTCGTCGTTGAGGACGAAGCGGCTGACCCACTCGATGTCCTTCATGCTGCTGCCGTCCGCGTTCTCGAGATCCAGCAGGCCATTGACGAAAATCGTGTCTGGCGTCTGCTCGTTGTAGAACACCTTGACACTGTGGTGCTTGGACACCTTGACGCGGGCCCAGAAGCCGGTCATGCACTGCTCGATCTGCTCGCGGCTCGTTCGTCAAGAAGAGATCAGGTGCGGATCCGGCTCTTTGTTATGTAGCGAACCGCACGCTCGGCGATCGGTCTCTTCTCCATCCGGTCTGCGAGATTTCGGGTACTAGTGACCTTGCTGACGATACCTCGTGACATAAGGAGTCGGACTTGGCCTTCTCCCGCGCAGTCGTGGGCTTGAGTATCGTCGAACGCTAGCACCGGCATACGGTTCTGCCAAACCCGAAGAGGCGCGCACAGTTTCCAACGGAGCGACATCGGGGAACGCCATCAGCAGCCACGCGACTAATAAGTCTCGCATCAGCCGGATTAATATCGGTCCGATCCCAAAAGAACGGGTCGCTGAAAAGAGTCCGAGCGAAATGCATCGCACCCTGCTCCCTACAATGCCCCCAGATGAGGTACAACTCTGTTCCACCTGCTTGCCCGCGGGTGCGCTCCTCTCCATTCTATGCCAGGTAATCTGGAGATGCACATGCCCTTCAGAGATCATAGATCTGATAACACGGACGATCAGCGGGAGCGCAGTGTCTCACCAGATTGTCACTGTGGCGTTTCTGGAGTGCCCATGGGCCCCGTGCGCTCCTGCTTAAACGCCCGCATTCCAGACTCCCTCGCACTCTGTCGGCTCTCAGACCCTCGATCTCGCCAAGATGTGACAGCTGAGCTCGCTACGAACGGCCAACGCCGACTGCATTAACGAATGAGAGTGCTGCGATGGGAGGGTTGTGTCAGCTGGAGGTCACTGAAGGTTACAACTGGGGTACGGCCCCAGAGAAACGAAGTGACTCACAGACCTCTCCTCCCGCTAGCCACACTCAGCCACACGTTCGCCGCATCATCAGCCTCTGCATTGTTCTTGCGCCATTGGAACAGGCACCCCTCCGGAGCGCAACTTTGGCTGTGCTAACTGCGCCGGATCCAGCCTCGGTCCCGTCACATCGCCCATCGGCACGGAAGCGAGCCTGAGTTAGCGCAAACTTGCGATTACAAGAGATGTCTAGGAGTCTCTGAGAGAGTGATAAGAGCTCGCTACTGGCTGTAGGTTTGATCGCACATCTCCTTCGCCAGACTCAGCTCGCCACTCTCCACGTCTTCAAGGACATCTCAGACGAGAAGGAGAACACGCCCATCTCGGATTTCGGAGTAGTCTAACGATCAGCCATGCGGTGGACGGGGCGTCGCAACGACACGGACGAGGAGCAGTGGGCGGGGACGACCGTCGGTGACCCGCTACCCTGTGACGATACCTCGCCTCCGCCGGTGCAGCGCTCGGCCTTTAGTGCCTTTGTGCACCGTTTCCTTACCCCACGATGGACGGCATCCGAGACTTTGACAGAGAAGACGTGGGGCGAGGAGCTGGAGGATTTGGCGGAGAAGCCCCGCCGGAGCATCGATGACTACAAGGGCGAATTCACGTGGGTCGTCGTCGACAACGACCTGCTTCTCCCTCAACAGCCGAAGAGCAACATTGAGAGCGAGAGGGAGATTGCCGAGATGGCTCCGCCAGCCCGGGCTGCTTCGATCTCTGTAGGCCAGGGTGCCGCCGCAAGTGCATTCTGCATGGGCCAGCGTGTACTGAAGGACAACGTGTTTCCGTTCTTCAAGAGCTTCGCATACATGTCCTTCCCCGACAAAGCGCAGGAGCGCTCCTTCCAGCACGAGGTACGTTTGTGATCTACAATGTGGCTGACGTCCAGCGATGGCAGACGAGCAAGGCCGGTGCCTGCGCCGGTGCCTTCTTCCTTGGCTTGTCGACCGTGCTCTCCATCGCGTTCACGAAGCGGTGGACCACATGGAACTACTACGTGCGCAACTCCTCCATCCACAGCTGACAGTAGTCATACCTCGGCATTGCGGGGACCTTCAACCTGATCCTGCCCATCATGATCGTGTGCAACACCTACGTCCGCGCTCCGTGGGTGTACCAGATTCTTCTGCTCTGTGCAACCTGGTGCTGGCCGTTCATTCTCGCAATCGAGATCCGGCAGTGTGGCGTGAGAGTCTCCAATCTTCTTTGAGGCTGACTTCAGTTCTTCGGCGCAGTTGCCCAATGCGGCGGGCGAAACTTCCTCAACTTCTTTGCCCTGCTTGCGGGCATCCCCACATTCTCTTTGATGACACTCCTGCAGAACCGCGCCCTGCATCTTTTCGGCATCACCGCCTGGGCGGTCGGCATGGCCGGTCTTTTCGTGGGCCAGCCTAAGGCCGACTTGCCAATGTGGCGCAACGTGATTCTAGCCACCGTGTTCCACCACATCCTAGTCTGGGCTGCCTTCTTCCGAGAGCGCGCCGACCGGCAGCTCTTCACCCTCCGCTCCCAGCTGAAGGCGCAGTATCGTGCCGTTCAAGCTGCCCAGGAGATGGAACGCCGCGCCCTCGAGAGCAAACGCCAATTCTTCTCCTACATCTTCCACGAGGTGCGCGTTCCCCTGAACACAGCCCGTTTGGCGCTCGCGAACCTGCACGCCGAGGGCGCGTTCCTGGAACTTCAGGCGGACCAGCGTGACCTCATCCTCGGACTCGACTCGAGCATGCGCCTGATGGAGAAGGTCCTCAACGACGTGCTCTCCTTCAACAAGATGGAGGATGGCCGCCTCGCTTTCTCCCGCGCTCCGTTCTCTCTGCACAGTGCGGTAAACGAGGCAGCACTCCTGCACCGTGCAGCGGCTGAAGCCGCGGGATTGGAATTCCACATCGAGCTCGACGAACGTATCGATGCTCTCGGCGCTATTGTCGGCGACGAACTGCGCGTGCGCCAGGTGTGCTCGAACCTCCTCTCGAACGCTTTCAAGTTCACGCAGCAAGGTGGCGTGCGCCTCGTCACCAAGCTGCTGCACTCCGACTACACGCACCCACGCGCTGCAGCGGGTACGCGCATGCGCTCACAGAGCACGGGCACCCTCACGCCCGCACGTCCGGGAAGCGACGTCTCGATTCGCGTCGAAGTGCATGATACAGGTGCCGGTCTCTCGCTCGCCGACATGCAGGGTAACCGGCTCTTCTCACCTTATGTGCAGACCGAGATCGGGCGCCGACAAGGCGGCAAGGGCTCCGGTCTTGGTCTTGCTCTCGTCACGCAGATTGTCAAGCTCGCGGGAGGACGACTCGGAGTGAACTCCGAGCCTGGGCACGGAAGCACGTTCTGGTTTGAGATGTCGTTCCCGCTCAGCAACGATGCGCCGACGCATGCGCCACAGGAGAGTCTCCCCCTCACCTTCCCCGGAAGCCCGACTACGCCGTGCGGACCGGGCGAGGACCCTCGGTTCCCCATGAGTGTGACTAGCCGCTCCTCTTACGAGCGCCGCGAGAGCCTCTCCGCCGTCGGCGAGGACATTCCGCTCACTGGTTCTGTGCGTTCCGGTCGCTCCGTCCGTTCACTCACACCCCGTGGGCTCGCCGCCCCTCCTCTAGCAAGTGCGAGTATTCGACGTGCGGTGCGGCACGTCCCTCGCCTCTCCTCCAGCATCGGTCTGAACACGCTCGTAGTCGACGATGACGAGCTGACGCGGGACCTGATGATGCGCACAGTGCGCAGGCTCGGACATCAAGTGATTCTGGCCCGGAATGGTATGGAGGCCCTGCGCGTCCTGAAGGCGGCGTATGAGGACGGCAACCCGATCGACATTGTCTTCCTCGATAACCAGATGCCGGCCATGAGCGGCGTCGAGACGGCCAGAGCCATCCGCGCTCTCCAGTGGGACGTGTACATTGTCGGCTGTACTGGTAACGCCCTGCAGGAGGATCAGGACGAGTACAAACAGGCAGGCGCTGATGCTATCGTCACGAAGCCAGTCAGCGTTGCTGCGATCAGGGAGAAGCTCGACCTGGTTCGAAGCCGCGTCTAGCGACGCGAGCATTGTGTATAGCTAGGATCTTGAGATCAGACATTCATTCTTGGACACTCTTTAGGCATTCGTCAATTCAGATAGTCAGTAGTCAGTAGTTAGAAGTTATGCATTCTGTGCGTCAGCTCATCAGACCTTATGCGATTGGCGGACAGTGCAATGAGAAAACTTCGCAGCATCGCATCCTCCGCACGAGTTGGACGATTGGACAGTCCAGCTTGCTTCCGTTGTAGCGAGCGTCGCACCTTTTGGGCCGATGTCGTCACTGGCCGTTTCAGATCGGCGTCTTGTTGCGCCTCTTCGGCTTCCAACGTTCGTCTTCTCACACTCCCCCGCGCCACCCGCACGCTTGCTTCGCCATGGCCGACACCATCATCGAGCTCCCCAAGGCTCACCCGCCGCCGCATGTACTCGAGGTCCTCGGCGCTAGCGGCGAGCTGCCCATATGCGTGACGTGCGCTACGCAGTACCCCGCCCCGCGGAAGGATTGTGAGTCCCCCTCACCCTGGTAAGCCCTCGACCTCCACGTCTCGACAACCGCACCACTTGTGGGCTCGACTAGGCAGCTAGCGCACCTTCATAGTAGCTGACATCAGGCCCAATCTGCGAAGACCCGCGGCAATGGGTCCCCGGCTCCGGACAGATGTGGACGTTCCACGGCGCGCTGATGGCGGAGCGAAAGAACGAGCTGCTCCAGGACCGCGAGGACAAGCGAATCTACCTGATCCAGACAACGCCAGGTTTCGCGATTAACCAGACACGTAAGCTTCGTTCTGGATCTTCGTAGCTGACAGCAGCATTTGTCCTGCAGACTGCAGCTGGTTCTGTGATTTGGGATTGCGCCGCTCTCCTGACGCCTGCGCTGGCCGCATGGCTTCTCAACCTCGAGCGACCGCTGAAGGCGATCGCCATCAGTCACCCGCACGTGAGTCACCTGCCAGGCTTCACACATCTGATCGCTCTATCTTCATTCTCTTGTCCTCAGGTCCTGATGTTTGCTGCTTGTCGAAATCAGCTAACAGCAGTTCTTCTCGACGTCACTCATGTGGTCGCGCGCCCTCAAGGTGCCGCTGTACATCAACGGCACTGACCGGACCTGGTTCCGCCGCGCGAGTGACATTGACGCAGACGACCGAGTCGAATTCTGGGTTGGCACGAAGCAGCTTCTCCCCAACGTGCGACTGTATCAGTGCGCAGGGCACTTCCCGGGCTCGAGTGTTTTGCATTGGGATCGGGACGCGGAGCCGGACGCGGACTCGCAAACAAAGGGCGGCCTGCTCCTGACCGCAGACACGATTATGGTTCAGGCAGACAGGAGGGGTTTCACGTTTATCTGGAGTGCGCCGAACTGGGTGAGCTTGAAAGGCATTGTCTAGCTGACGGCAGATCCCGCTCGAGCCGGAGGCTGTCATTAAGATCCGACAGGTTCTCCGCGAGCACAAGGTGAAGTTCCGGCAGGCGAGCTCGACGTGGCCGCACCGTTTTATCCGCGAAAACGCTGATCAGGTGTTCGAGTCGAGTGTTGACAAGTATCTGGCCAAGATTGGATGGAAGGAGGAAGGGGAGAAGCTCGTGCCGCTGAAGCGGTAGGAGTGTCCACAGGGTGTTCTCGGCGAGCCTGGGAGTCTAGGTTCGGATGTGCACAGTGTCAGCTTAATGTCCCGGTATCCATAATCATTGCAACGGAATTTCTATCGACTATGCATTGGATGCTGCCTTTCTGCGCTGGAGGCGTTCATGGGAGACGGAAGACTCAGGGAGACAACGGCCGCAGGGTAGATCTGATCTGTGCGCCGAAATGAGAACAGAGATGAACGCCGAATTTGCTATCTCTCCATCCACCGACATGGTTCAGCTCCGGTCAGCCGCGCTGAGTGATCACCCCTCCATTATGATGGTATGGCGGCGGAGTGTGGAGGCTACACACGACTTCCTCACCGCCGCCGATGTCGACAGAATAGCGCAAGCCGTCCCGACGTACCTCGACCATGTCCGACTCACAGTCGCCATCGACGACGACCGGATAGTCGGCTTCATTGGGAGTGCCGTCCCCGACGCATCAGCCTCGGCACCTACTACAAATTCCGATCTGCCCACTGACTGCGAGAGGATGGTTTCGATCGAGATGCTCTTCGTAGACCCCTCTGCCTTCGGTAGAGGCATCGGCACCCAGCTGCTCGAGGACGCTGCGAAGGGTAACAGCACCGTGCTCGTGGACGTGAACGAGCAGAATCCTGCTGCACTGGGATTCTACAAGAGCCGGGGGTTTGCGGTCGTCGGCCGCTCGGAACGAGACACGCAGGGCGATCCGTTCCCACTCCTGCACCTCAAAAGGGTACGGGGGGACTTAGATAAAGACTGATAACGCTTATCAGCTGATGGGGCCCTTTGATCGTGCCCCAAGCGTTAGGTTCACACGACCCCCCGGCACCATTGTAGACTTGTAGCCCACATGCATCTAGCTAGCCTTTTTGCTTGTGTTGCTACCGTCGACAGCGACGTGCAAGAGCCTACAGGAGGAGATCGGGTGCACGGCGGACACGTGTTTCGTAGAGGAAGGAAGGACCGCGTGTCCGTTGGTGAGGACAGCACATGACTGTTCGGTCCAGGACAATCAGATGACGCAACCTCGTCCCGGTATGGCCGCACTGACCGAGCTGCTCAGCTGCGAGTTCTGGGCATTCCTTTCCACTTGCACTTCCATCCTCACGAGACAGTTACGAAGCAGCACAACGACAATGACGAGCAGGAAATGTGAGCACAACCCACCTTTTTAGCTGGCAACCAGCCGCCGAAGCTAACGCCCCAGTCCACTTCGTGTCCAAGACGAGCAACTGGCACTGTACACAGGTGACCAGTCCCGCGACGCCGGTGCCCGGGTCGCACATTGTGGGCTCGTTCGATCTCTCCTTCACGGGCGAGATGCAGGGCAAGGCGCACTGTACCCTCGTCATGACGGCGTATGGGAAGCAGCTGGCGAACGGGCACAAGCCGAATGACTTTGGTGAGTCGGAGCGAGCGCTTCCCTCCTTGTCCTTCACATCTCTTCTGTCGATCTGTCGATTCATCCCCTTCTCCCATAACACTCTGGACGCTAGCTTCGGCCGTCCTGATGATCGTGGTCAGAGCAGCTGCATTCATTGTGCTGAGAAAAGGAGTGGGGGGCGCAGCTTTTTTGCCCCGACGACTCTAGCTGACAACCCAGCCGGCCAAGCGTACTTCACTGGCAAGCTCGGGGGTGCCGAGGGGTCGATCGCGATCAACCAGGTCGGCATCTTCGACGGGAAGCGCATGGTGTCGACCTGGACCTTCCTCCCCGAGACGGGGACGGGGCAGCTCGAGGGTCTGACGGGCACGACGGAGCTTGAGGGCTCGGATCCGACACCTGGTGCATTTGAGGGGGCGGTGGAGGCGACATTCGCATAGTCCTCTTCTCATTTCCGCATCTCCGTATCTCCACTATCTCAAGCACAGTTAGCAGGGCAAATGACGTGAGGCCGGTGAGGATGACTGGACCACCGTCATATCCGTCATAAGTTCAGAAGTGAGAATAACAAGAGTGCACATGTACCAAATCGCCATGGGAGATTATTAGCGCAACTCTTATCGGGCGCAGTGACGGAATGGGATCTGGACTGCGGCCGATCAGCAACCTTGGCAGTTTCGTCTTGACACCATGGTGCACAGTCGAGTTGACTAACCCCTTCCCTCGCAGTCAAGCTGTAGACGGGGGAAGACATAAAGTACTGGCAACTATGTTCGCCTCTCCCCTTCGCCCAGTCATTCACTCACCCATTCCTTCCACACTGACTGACATCCTCCTGCACAACCCGTCTTGAGCACAGCCATCACCATGTCCCAGCCCGAACAAGAGTGCAAGTCGTACAGCGCGGCGAACCTCGACCCATCGAAGAAGAAGACTGGTCAGCTCTTCTCTTGTTGCCCAGCTAATGCGCAGTCAAGTTCCAGTTCTACACGCCCAACTGGACCGAGGAGGACACTCTGACCAGCGTGGGGGACAGACTGCACCTGCGCCAAGTCGTCGCCAAGCACGACGCAAAGTGGACCGGCGACATGGAGGGAACCGGTGTGGGCACTTATGTCATGTGAGTGACCTGCCGTTGAGCTGGGCAACGCCACGTAGAAGCTGACAGCAGGACGTACCACGACCCCGACGTGAACCAGAAGACGCCCTGCAACGAGATGGGCGACGCGGACTGGGGTGAGTTCAGCTCAGATACCCACTCATTCTCCTGCCACCGCAGCCACTGTTCTGCTGTCCGAGTTTGTCTTCAGCAGTCCACCGCGCAGCTCCCCGCTCAGCTGGAAATCTGTTGACCTGTAGCTAACACCCAGCCGGACAGCAGCTCTTCACGGGCTCCATCCTCGGCCGCACAGGCACCGTCGCCCTCACCGTCTGGGGCACCTGGACCGGCCGCTTGGTCACCAACGTCTTTGTCCTGACCGATACTGCGACGTAAGTTTGCCGCTCTTATGCCCAGCTGACAGACAGCGGCGAGCTCACCGGTCTTCGCGGCGTTGGACGCTGGGAGTCGAGCCCCACCTCGGAGGAGACGCCGACCGATGGCAGCTTCGACGTGCAGTTTGACGACTGAGAGTAAGGTCGTTGCCTCGCCCGCCGCCACGTCCTTCCGTCCAAAGTCCCTGTGTGTCCCCCCTCGCCTAAGTGTGCAATGAAGTGATGATAGCCATATGTGTGTATCCAAGTCTCAAATCTAGTGCTAGCCTGTATGCATGACAGTTGAAGGTCTACGATTTCGTTACAATTTCTACAGTTGAATAAGAACCTATGCTTTTGCGATAAGACGAAGAGTTGCCGTCAAAGGGGCACGTCTACACCATGGAGAGGGCGCCCTGCAGTCCAGCGACCTCCATGACGCCACCAACAAGGTGCAGGCTGCCCGCGACGAGAGCAGCGGGCGTGCCCTTCGTGTCCCTCACGATCTTGACCGCGTGCTCAATAGACGGCACGACGTGCACCTCCCCCTTATAGTCAGGATTGACCTTGCGCCAAGCCTCAGCGAGCTGGGTCTGCGTTGCGAGCGCGCTGAGGTCGTTGGGATCAATCGCGTGCGCGGTGAGGTCGCCCTTAAACTCGCCGCTCGAGTACGTGACGTTGGTGCAGAAGATGACCTTCTGGAACGTAGCCCCGAGTTCCTCGCGACTGAGGCCTGCCGTCTTGGCCCCCGCGTCGAGCAGAGCGCCCAACAGCGTCTCCCCCGCGCGTCCTCCGGAACAGTTGAACACGAGCACGTTGGGCGTCGGCGGGCGCGGGTCGTTGGGGCCCACGGCCCCGGCCGTGGCTGAAGACCAGGCCCACTCGCCACACGACGTCAGGGACTCGACAGTGTGCGCGCCGTCCAGGAGCCAGGTGACCGCCCCGTCGCCGACGGACTGGCAGCGGCCGGGCCACTTCGTCTCGGCCAGGGGCTTGACGAAGGAGGCGGGGAGGGGCTCATCTGCGTCCGGGACGGGCTTGCCCGCCGACGCGAGGAAGGACTTGGCGAGCCCGACGGCGAGGGAGGCATTGATCCGCTGGTGTGCGCCGGGGAGGCCGAGAGGCGTAGGCGGGATGATGGGGACGACCTCGAACGGCGCGCCAACCTTCTCGGCACACTCCTTGAGGACCTCGCCGCCCTGCTCCTGCGGCACCGAGAGCGCAGGCACGCCGGGCTTGTAGATTCCGCCCTTGTTGCGGGCAATCTCCTCGATCGCGTTGCCCAGCACCGCCGTGTGGTCCAGTCCCAGCGCTGACACGCCCGTCACGATCGGCTTCGGGGCAATGTTCGTGCTGTCGTACGTGCCCCCGATACCGACCTCGAGCACCGTGGCGTCGACGCCGAGAGAGAGGAAGGCGTGGAAGGCGAGCAGCGTCAGAAGACGGAAGTAGATCGGGAACTGGGGAGTGTGCTCCGTCAACGTCTTCGGGTCCGCTTCGAGGCGCTCCCACACCTCGAAGAAGTACTTGGCGAACTCCTCCTCGGAGAGCGGCTCGCCGTTCACGCGGATACGCTCGCGGACGGCGCAGAGGTGCGGAGAGGTGTAGAGGCCTGGTAGTTAGCTGATGCCTGATCGTCTCCAAGCCCAGCAACGTGGAAAAAGTAGACAGAAGAGTGGAGGGGTGGCCGTTCATGACGGTAGGATCAGGGAGCCAGCGGCGGACTTACCAATCTTGCCGCCGAGCTGATCGCGCAGAATGCGCTCGGCGAAAGCACTCGTCGAGCCCTTGCCCTTCGTTCCCGTGATGTGCACAACGTTCAGCTTGTTCAGGTCGTCCGGCTTGTATCCGATACGTCGGAGGTAGTCGAGCATCTCCTTGATGCCCCACTCATTCAGCCTCCCGCCGCTCTTGCGGATCGCCTCGATGCTGCTGTCAGCTAAGGCCCAGGAGCGAAACAGCCTGTATGAGAGATCTGTTGGAGTGCTATCCGACCCTCGACAGGTCAAAGACGGGTATCGGTACTCGGCGGCACTCGACGGCGACCGGGGCGGATGACTCACGTCGCGGCATTCGACTGGCAAGTGTTGAGCAGCCGGATGGCTTCCTGTCTTGTCAGCTGGCCGAAGATCCGCAAAGCTTACCGAGTAAGTGCGTGTGCGTTGCGCCATCCTGACGAGCGAGGGGAGCATGGAAAGTTCAGTCACGAACAGAGGAGCAAAGCAGGAAATACGGCCGAGGGGACTGGTCGACTCGGAAATTCGTAGGTGCTTGGACGGCTTGGGATGAGGTTATCGATCACGCTTCCACCGATGCCCCTGGTGCCTGAATCTAACCATCGAGTGGTGGAGTCGAGGAGAGTGGAGGCCATCACGTGCTGTATGCGGGGCTCAAGACGGAGAAACAAGCGACGACCCTGGGAGAGCTCAAAAGTCGGGAACGCCCGAGTCGGCCTCGCGCGATATGATCAGCCGGTCGTCGATCGGACAGACACCAACGACAACAACGATCATGAGGCTCCTTGTCCCGCGCATGGCGGCCGTGAGGCTCCAGCCGCGGACTGGTTCCCCCGCCTTACGGAGATGGAACTCGACCGCCAGCTCCAAGACGCAGCAGCGCGAGCCCGAGTCGTTCTTCACCCCCGCGCCCGGAGACGACAAGCCGTTCATGGTCACGACCCCGATCTTCTATGTTAACGCGTGTAAGTTGCTAGCGATAGCTGTCATATTGGGCTCTCAAGCTGACGCCAGCCCCGCACATCGGCCACCTGCACAGCATGGTGCTGACGGACACGTTTGCGCGGTTCTCGGCGCTGCGCCATCCCGACCGTCCCGTCCTCTTCAGCACCGGCACGGACGAGCACGGCATGAAGATTCAGCAGGCGGCGGCGAAGGGTGGAATGAGTGAGAAGGAGTTCTGTGACGAGGTGTCGCAGCGGTTCCGAGTGAGTTTCCTGCTCTTCCTCCCCACCTTCTGCTGCTCTACGAGGACGGTGCAGCTGACCCCAGAACCTCGCCGACAAGGCCGAGACGGGCTACACCGACTTTGTGCGTACATCCGAGGAGCGGCACTACGCGGCCGTGGACGCGTTCTGGGCGCGTCTCAAGGCATCCGGCTCCGTGTACAAGGGCACGCATGAGGGGTGGTACTCTGTCAGCGACGAGTGCTTCTACAGCGAGCAGCAGATCGAGAAGGCCGACGACGGCAAGATGATCGCGACCGAGACGGGCAACGAGGTCGTGTGGTCTGAGGAGGAGAACTGGAAGTTCCGTCTGGGCGACTACAAGGACCAGCTGCGCGAGTGGCTGCAGCGTGATGAAGGTGAGTCGGCTAGATGGCGGCTCCTAAGTTGGGTGGGCCGCTTACGCGCAAGACACGCCGTGGTGCCGAACGACAGCTGACGCAGCAGCGGTGCACCCCTGGCCGATGCACGCCAACATTGCCCGGCAAGTCGACGGCATGGGCGAGCTGTCCATCTCGCGTCCGGCCTCTCGTGTGAAGTGGGGCGTGCCCGTCCCCGGCGACCCGAGCCAGACGATCTATGTCTGGGTCGACGCCTTGATCAACTATCTCACCGTCGCCGGTTTCCCGGGCGAGATGCCCGCCTGGCCTGCCGACATGCACGTCGTGGGCAAGGACATCATCCGCTTCCACGCCCTGCACTGGCCCGCGCTCCTCAGCGCGGCCAAGCTGCCCCTTCCTAAGCGAGTCCTCGCCCATGCTCACTGGACGATGGGCAACGCGAAAATGTCCAAATCGAGGGGAAACGTCGTCGACCCCATCGCGGCCATGGACCACTACGGCCCCGACGCGGTGCGGTGGTACCTCATGCGTTCGGGTGGAAGTCTGGAGGGGGACAGCGACTACAGCGCCGGCGAGCTATCAAAGGCGCATGCAAAGCTGGGCGCGCAGCTCGGAAACCTGGTCCAGCGCATTCTGGCCCCCAAGCTTCTCGCCGGCGTCGGAGAGTCCTTTGAGCGCGACGCGGACATGGACGCGACGCTCTCGGTGCTGCCGGAGGCGATCGAGCGGCGGTTCGAGGGATACGAGCTCACGGCCGCTGTCGGCGCGCTCGAGGCCGCGCTGGCGGATGCGAACCGCTTCTTCTCCGACAACGAGCCGTGGGCCAAGACCAACACGACGCGTGAGATGGCGTACGCGTACGCCACCCTCCGCAACGTGGGTATTCTCTCCCGCCCCATCATTCCGGGCAAGAGCGAGGAGCTCCTAGACCGTCTCGGCGTGCCCGCCGACGAGCGCGGGTGGAAGGACGCACAGTGGAACGGAGAGCTTGATGTCGTCGAGATGAAGCGCAGGCTCGAGGAGGCAGGCAAGAAGTTCAAGGGCACGACTCTCTTCCCCCGTATCGACGATAAGGTCAAGGTTGACCGCGCCGCGGAGAAGGAGAAGGAGAGGCAGCTGAAGGAGTTCCAGCGCGCGCAGGCGAAGCGCGAGAAGGAGAAGAAGAAAGCGGAGCGGAGGGCGAGGGAGGCTAAGAAGCAGGAGTAAACGTTAGAATAGGACAATCATCATCATCTATGCATTGCATCACATCTCTGCCACAGGCTCATGGACGGCTCTGACTGACCTCTCTGACCTCGCAGACCTGACTGATGTCACTGTAGCCTCTGCTGCACTGTCTATCTCATGTGCACAGGCTTGCTCCACGGTCGTCGCGTCACTTCGTTACCACGCTCGCCGCGCTCGCTGTCACTAGTGTAAGTGCGCCAGGCGCACATGCATCTACTGCGTCCACATGCTGTATGATCCGTCGTACCACCGTCTAGTGCGTCTAATCCTCCTCGTCCGAGTCGTCGTCGCCCGCAACGTCCATGTTGGCCTGCTCGAACTCCTCCATGAGGGCCTTGAGCTCGGCATCCTCGGTCTCGCTGACAACCTTGGGGGCCATCTTGACGAGCATGTCACCCTTCTCCTCGGTGATGGTCTGGTTGATGGCCTCGACGGCCTTCTCCATCGTCTCGATCGCGGCGCTCTTGTCCGTTGATGTCGTGCTCATGACGTAGAGAGGCGGGGCGACGAGGCGGACCTTGATGGGAACGGCCTCGGTCGATAGAGCCTCACCGGCCTTGAGGGCCTTGCGGATAGCCTCGATACCGTTGTACGCGAAGCATCGGACCTCAATGTCGGCACGGACCTTGACCGGCTTGGGCGTCAGGCGGCGCGCGATCGTGTGCTTGAGCTCGGCAAGGGTGTCGGGCTCAATCTCGAGAGGACCAAAGACAACCTCGGGCTCCTGAATCGACAGCTTGAATGCTTCGTAGGCATGTCCGTATTTGCGCTGCAGGGGCCAGGCAATCTGCTCGTACAGGCTCTCGGTGGGGACGTTGCGACGCTTCGCAACCTGCGTGAGGATCGAGTCGACCGCACGTCCCTTCTCGTACTGCTCCTCGCACTTGACGACCTCCTCAGCAGACACCCTACGCTTCGACAGGTCGATGTATCCCTTGTCGGGGTCCACACGCATAACAACCACAACCTCGTTACGTCCGACACGGATTAACTTCTGAACCGAACGGATACGTCGTCGAGAGAGCTCGGAAAGCAGGATCATTCCCTCAATACCGTCGTACTCGAGCTGTATCGCATTAGCTGTATGCGCTTCGAACAAAAGGGACCGCCGCGCGCGGTCCGCTCGGGTCATCTCACCAGCTTGACGTAGGCACCCATGTCCTCAATGGACTGGACCTGGACCATGACCAGCTGGTCAACCTGTTGTTAGCTGCTTTCTCTGTGCTTGCTAGCACAAACCTCGGGGTACTTGTTCTCGTAGAAGCGAACCATGGTGGCGGAGGATGTGTGGAGGGGAGGAAGGGGTCGATGAGATGAAGGTGACGCAGCGAACGAGAGACAGACTCTTGCTTGCTGAGTGTTTCGGGTGGATCTAGTCGCGACTGGCGGGGATGGGCGAGTCGGATATCAGGCCGTAGGACGTCTTCCTGCCTGTTTTAGATGTGGGTAAGGAGAACCTGGTTGGGGAGGTGTGTCGTTGTCGATGTCGCTGTCGCCGTCGAACAAAAGCCTAGCGCCCCTCGCCGGCGTCGCTGCTGCTCGAGTCCAAAAGTCCAGCCTGCACGTGGCAATGCCCGAACGCCGTGGTTGGCACGTTGTGTGGCACAAGGACAAGGTCACGTGACAGCTGACAAGGTTGCTTCATGCAAGAGAGCTTCTCGATCATGCTGCCTCTTACGCATCGCGATATGGTCAATGCATGTAAGGAAAAGGTTGCAGATGCTATCGAGTGGCAGATGATGTTGTGCTCAGCATCGCAGTTGAATGTGGAAAGGAGACGCTGTCTGGTTGCACTTGTGACTGACTTCCAGCACCAAACAATACCAAGCCGTATCCTCAGCCTACTGCTTGTTCCTGCTGGCCATGTACGCCCGCAGTACTCACCTTAGCCGAGGGTTTGTGGTGCAGAGTTGATGTTGGCTTCCTCATGGCCGAGTCCGCTAGTGCAGTGGCTGGTCGCAGCTGGTCACGGTTTCTGCGGTTCCCTAATGGCGAAGGGCCCTCAGCAAGCTGTCGGATCATCAGTCCTGGCTCCGATGCTGAAGAGTTCACCAGTCGCAGGGGGTCTGCGAACTGCTCTCGAAGCTGCGCAGGCATTTGCGGGCTCGGTCATGCACTCTTCAGGCTTGTCTTTGTCTCTAGTAGCTACATTACATGTTGAAATGTTGCACTACTTGTAAGCGCAGTCTAAGTGCGGGACTTGTGGCGGGATCGCTGACATGATGGTGGACAGCCGCCTTATTCCGTCGCTCGTTCTCTGCTCTCCGTTCCATGACTCTCATTGTGCATCACCAGTTCTACAGGCCATCAGTTGCTGTCCATTGTCGTCTGACCCAACCACAGGGATTCTGCTGCACTGGTAAGGGCGGGACACAATGGGAGGAACACGGAGTCTGAAAGCGCAGTGGGTTTGTTTGGTTCCAGCTCCAGTGGCGGGATCGGCGTTTGCCACTACCATATCTTCGCAGTTCTTCAGCGGAGCCCTCCCCGGCGCTACCCCCAACTACCGTGTTCCCGGTGACAGCTAAGCAATTCAGTAATGAGCTAGCTTCTTTGTTCAGCGACTGCGATGTAACGGGTGCACGCGACCGCGTTCTCACATCGAGGGCAGCCGAGGGTGTGCTGTGTGTGGGTGCAAGGTGATGAGCAAAGCTGTGGATAAGGTCACACTGCGCGCGAGCTCGCCCCCTTCCATCTATACCCACATCAGAGCACCACGTCACCTGTTCATTCTCTTCTTCCATCCCGTCGCCTGTAGCTCTTTCGTTCACCACCTGTCCGTCCTTCCGCCGTCAGTGATCCTTCACCTATCTCAGTTGTCGGAGGCACGATGCGCACCCGGTCGCTCGATGACCTCCCCTTCTGCCTTGGTGGACGTCATCCTAACACCTCCGGCCCTCACCACTTTCCTGGCAACTCCTTGCCCTCGGCTTCTGTAGCCCTCACGAGTCCGCCCCACGGTACTGGCCCTGCTATGATCTCGAGCTCGATCGTGCAGGCATCGATCGTCGCCTCAGCTGACCTCGACACTCTCCACCAGTTGGCCGTCACCCACAAGGGTTTTGCCGCCGCTGTCAGGATCCACCTCATCCGTAAGGTTGGCCACCTTCTCCTTCGCCCGACTGAGCGTGAGGACATTCGCCAGGACATCGTCGTCCTGTCAACGACCGGATCATATACTCTCACCACGGCTGGATGGTGGACCGATCCGCACCCCGGCAAACGCTTCACGGGCATCCGTACCGTGACACTTCCCGTGCGTCGTGCTGTGGCTGCCCTTCGCTGGGTTTGCGGCTGCCCCGAAGAGGCTGCGGAGCCTGCGGAAGTGGAGGAGGACGACAACGTCCACGAGTCGCAGCCGGTATCAGAGGCTGGTAGCGATACCGATGGCGATGAGCCCGAGGACGCTAAGAGCACTCCGTGGGACTTTACTCCATCCCCCAGCCTCGCACCGACACCTCAGGAGGAGGACTCCGCGCATCGCGCTCACCCGACAGAGGCTAAGGGCCAGTACGTTGAACCATCTGACCCTTCCGCCCCGCTTCCCCTCGGAGGAGGAGGCTGCCGACGGAGAGGAGCCAGATGACGTCGAGGACGATACAGAACAAATCGAAGTCGACCCAAGACAAGAGGTGTGGGAGTTGACCACTGCGGCGAACTACGTCTTCCCCACTGACGTCGAGTGCACGCTCGAGACGGTCGTGCTCGACTGCTTGAAGGTCGACGCCAGTGGCGGTGGCGCAACCGAAATCGCAGGCATCCTCCCCTCGAGCGTGAAGACTGTTATTCTGCGCACCAGGCCGAGGCTCGAGCGCCGCGATGAGCGTGAGGAGCTCCTCGCCGAGCTCCGCGAGGTTCCCTTCCCACTCCCTGCTTCGACCTCTTCTGCTGTCGACATCGACAGCCGTACCACCGACGGCAAGCAGCACTGGGCCCTCGAGCACGAGAAGCACATGGCCTTCCATGTACCCGCCATCGCAGGCGACTTCACCACTCTCATCCTCAGCCTCGAGGGGATGCACCCCGACGCCCTCCTCGACACATCGCTCGTCACCGCCCCGCTGGAGAGGATCGTGGTCGTGTGCGGACTCGAGGGATGTCCTAAGGGCTTGGACCCTAGCTGGCGCTCGTTCACGGGCTGGGCGAAGCGGCCGGCGCAAAAGTGGGGCGTCTTCCAGGCCCTCATGGAGAGGTTTGCTGGTCAGGACGTGCGTATCGATGTGGTGGACGCTGGGAGGGTCGATGGCGACACGGAGGATGAGGAGTCAAGCGCGGCGACGACACCGGAGCCTGAGCCGGACCAGTCCACGACCGCCCCCGCGGTCGGCGGCGTGCAGGATCAACTGGATCAACAGCACGACGCCCAAGCGCAGAACACCTCCATCGGGACCGAAACTCCTCCCCAGATTGGAAACGCCGACAACGCCACTCCTCCTCCTGCCCCAATCCCCCGTCGCACCCTCATCGGTTGTGCCTACGAGGACATGCCCCGTCGCGAAGTAAGGGACGTCAACTACTTCAGCCTCGTCGAGGAGGACGAGGATGACAGTCGCCACATGAAGATCGTTGCCGATATCCGCTACCTCGACTCGCGCCGAGACGTCGGGCGCGGCAAGCCCATCTCCTCCGCTGAATGGAAGCTGTGGACGGAGCTGTACGCCACGGACTAGCCATATCCCATCACATGCTCCTGCCCATCTGTCACTCATCCGCGATGACCTTATCCTTGCCCCTCGCTCACGGACGATCTCCTATTACCCTGCATAAGTAACAGTGTCTCCGCATCAGTATGCATCTGCGCGTTAGTTCCTTATCTCGTAACCGTGCATAACATTACAACCTCCGCGGACGTACGGTATTATACAACAAGTGTAGAAGTCTATTAGATGGCGTGGTAGAACGAGACGCGGTTAGCTTCCTCCCCATCCTCCTCGACGTCGTCGTCCCTAGCCGAAGCCTTGGGATAGCTCGTCCAAATCTCCGTCGGCGACTCACCCCCATAAGCGTCAAACAGCGGACAGGTTGGGGGGAGGTCGACGTCGAGCTTGGGCGTGCTGGGACTGTCCTCCCCAGGGTGCGCCGAGAAGTCAACCGGTGTAGAGGCAAGACTCATGCGGATGTTGGACACAACGTTGGTGTTGATCGTGATCTTCTTCAGCGCATTGGTCGCGTTCACAGGGAGACCGGGCATGGGCGAGATGGGCGAGACGGGCGGCAGGCGCGGGGCAGCGGACAGGGGGGCTGAGAGCTGGAAGCCTGGCGAGGTGGGAGACAGGAGCTGCTCGTCTGCGTCCTCGCGCGGCTTGGGGACCGGAGGGAGCGGACGGCGTACGGTCACCTTGCGCGCTGGAGGAGTCGGGAGCGCAGATGCTGGGGGCTTTTGGCCGGGGATGGGAGGCAGGCTGCGCGGCTTGCGTTCCGGCTTCGATTGGGGAGGGGAGGGGAAAGCGGTCACGATAGGAGGGAGGGCGCGAGGCTGAGGCTGAGGGAGAGGCTTGCGGGGACTGGTCGGAAGCTGAGTGGGCTCCTCAGCCTTCGGAGCGGGGGCGGGCACTTCAGCCTTAGCCGGGGCAGCAGCAGTCTCTCTCGGCTCAGTCACAGCAGGCTTGGACGTCGAGCTGCTCTCTAGCTCCGGCGCCTGAGTCTTTGCGGCGGTGGCAGCAGCCACAGCGTGTCCTTTCGCTGCACTGCGCAGCGAGCTGGAGCTCCCCTTCGCCTTGACCGGAATAGGCGGTAGACCACAAGTGGGAGGTGGCTTGGGCGGCAGGGAGCGAATCGACTCTGTCGATGACGACCTGGACAGCATCCCCGTCGAGTTGCCCCCGATCTTGGGCGACGTGATGGCTGGCGTTTTCACGCTGTCCGACGGAGCGCGGTACGCACTAGGCGCCGGTGCCGGTCCGGCCACGGGTGCCGTGATGACAGCCGGTGACTCGGGCTTGGCTGGGCTGGCCGTATCCGCCTTCTTTGGCGGGGGCAGGAGCATGGGGAAGGGCGAGGTGACGCTTCGTGTCGGCTTCGGTTTAGTCACGACTGGCAGCGGCGCCGTGCCGTCCGCAATGCCCGGTGGCGTGCATATCGGCGGGCAGGCCTGGTCACCCGTCGTGTCAGGCGAGAGGGCGGGCGGGGACGCGTTACCGAACGCCGGGATGTCGAACTCGGGCAGGTCGAACTCCATGTAGTCTTCCGCCTCGGGCGTTCCAGGGACGGCCATGAGGGACTTGCGGTTCTGGATGTCGGCGAGAATGGGGCGGTTGCTCACTGGCGCCCTGCCGACGCGGATGTCGGCCTTGAACGCGTGCTCAATCGTGGCTGAGATCGGGCTCAGGCGGAAGGACGAGTTGTTCATCGAGCCCAGCATCTGCGAGCTTGCGCGGAATGTGTCGCTCGTCTTTGCTGTGGACGATGTCGCGCCAGTCATTTGCGTCGTTAGCGTTGCGCTCGACGAGTCGTCCTCCGCCTTGTCGCTGCGCACGCTTCGCGCGGGCTCCGACTCGGGCGGCGGCGGAGGCAGGCTCTTCTCCACCTGGAGCTTTGGCGGCTGAGGCTGCTGAGGCTGCTCCTTCTTGAATATGGTCACTGTCGGCTCGGGTTGGCGTCTCTCGTTCGGGTTGGGGAAGTGTGTGATGACAGAAAGCTTCGGCCTAACGGTCGGTGTGAGTGCGCTCAGCCTGCTGAGGGAGGCAGAGCGAAGGACGGGTTTCTGGAGACTGAACGGCCGCGAGTCGTAGTCCGAGTCTACGTAGGGGCTCCTGAGGAGCTCCTCCTCGTGCCCGCCATCGCTGGCCGCCATGCGGATGTACTCTAACCCATCGTTCGGGACGAGTTCTGGTGTGATGGGCCGCAGCCGGAGTCCGTCACATTGCAGATACAATGACGACTCCGCGGTGGTTCCAGACTCAATTGACGGCGTTGTCGAGCCGGCGGAAAGGGCCGTGTAGTATGAATGGATGCTACCGCCCTGGCTCGGGGTGGGAGTGTCGGCCCTGCTCGTACGGCTGAGCCGGCTCTCGGAGCGCAGGATCTCCTCATAGTTCTGCGGACCGTCGCTCATCGTCCGCCGCAGCGCGACAGAGATGCGCTGCTCATCGTCGTGCACGTCCGAACCGCTGTGGCTGTGTCCGCCGCGACTGGAGGACGTCCCCGTCGTCGTTGTCGTTGCAGTAGACGTAAATGTAGCCGTCGGGTCGATCGTCTTCTCGCCGCTGTCAAAACTCGCTGTGTCTCATTAGCTTCCCGCCCGGAGTACGCAGCGCGGCCTCGATCACTATCGCCTTTCGCATCGCCTCAACTCACACTCAAACATCCCGCGGGCGTCGAAGATCTCGTCTTCTGAGACGTCCATCTCGTCCTTGTCCCCGTGCCAGCGCCGCGACCGGCCCGATCGGGTGGAACGAACGAAGCTCTTCATGGACGTGACGGCTGAGCGGCGCTCTTTTCGGCTGTTGCTGCGGGAAGCGGATGTCGCGGATGTGTCGGTCGAGACAACTTGCTTGCGCCTCAGCAGCGTCGGTCGTCGGCGCGTCTGAGCCTTGTCCTGCTCGCCGAAAGCTGTGATAGACTTGGATGAAGGAGGGTGCACAAGAGCTGCCTGGGATGGCATGTCGTGAACGCACCACATCCTGGTGCGATGCCTTTGAGGCCGTTGATGCCGAGCGGGTCGAGCGGTTCACGGGTCGAAGGTCGAACCTGCCTGTTCACCTGTTCGTCGAGGGCTTCGTGAATGGGCCTAACCAGGGAGTCCCTTTGGTGTCCAACTGATGATTTAAGAGAAAGAATGGTCAATCGTCAAGGCGCCAGGTGTCGCAAAACATCACTTTCGCTGCTCCTTGCTATCAACCTGAACTGCAAATGCTCACAGAGGCAAGTACGACATGCACGACATGCAGCATAGTTTCCTTGTTCTAGGGTTCGACACAACCCTTGGCTAGTTACCCATACTTTGGAATGACAAGGGGATGAAGTCTGTGGCCTGGGTAAGGTCAGACCTGACGCTAGCTGTACTGGTGGGACAGGTGGGACAGGAGAAGTACGGGCAGCCGAGACAGGCCCAGACTGCCCGGCCAAGAGCAGTGACTCGCACCGTTAGCATGCAGGTAGGTCGTTGCAGGGAGATTGGAGGTACAGACCGGCCTGCGACTCTGCGGGTCTGGGTGCTGTGGGTGCCTGTGGATGCTCTAGAACCGCGGCGCTCACCATATCATGAGAGTAACGTCGGTATCAGCGGGCACTTTGATTCAAGGGGTGGGACGTAGGAGTGTGCAGAGGAGACACCCATTGGGTTGCTGTACGCCGACAGTCACGTAGCGTGAGCTCTGCTGCTATCCTTAGCAGGACCTCACAGATTGTCAGGAGCATTGCCAGGATCTTTCCGGCCCCTCCAAGGAGACTGTAAGGGATCGGCAGCGATGCGACGGGCAGCAGCCCAGAGTACGCACATGGTGGCAGTGCCATTGGACCCTCCCGTGCCGAACCTTCGACCCGATCCTGCAGCGCTCCTGAACGTTACCTCACACCCCCGCCCGAATCAGCGCAGAGGACGTATCCAAAATCAGGCAGAGCTTACACCATCGCCACCACCGGAAGTGCACGTATTGGCTCCTGACTTCCCCTGGCGTTTGGGATACCGCACCACCCATCGAGCTCTTCCTGCTCGTCCTTTCGGCACTTCATCCAGGACCGTCGTCGTCCAGCTAGCTGTTCATGCTTGGAGCATATCAGCAGCCTTCCGAACACGCGATTCAACCGGCGCACTCTTCCTCGTGCCAGCGACTCTTCCAACGACACCAATGGAACCGTACAGCTGCTGATCAGGACTGCATAGAGTTTGGCACAGTCGTGCGTACGACATTTGCGTACTTCTCTGCGTACTTTCCGAAAAGCGCAAAGTGATCAGAGTTCCCAGACCGACCTTGGACCGCACAAAGAGCTGGTACGGGCCGAGCATGATTGGAATCGGAGGTGAAATGGAGGGCAGACGGAGCACAGGCGCCGCGAAAAGGTTCAATCAAGCAACTCTGAACCTCGAGTCAGACCGCGCAATGTACTGCTCCGCGTGCTGTCGCCGACAGAGCCCTCCTCTCATGCTGCCCATCCTGACGGACAGGATCGATGGATCGATCCAGAGCAGTCTGCTCGCTACCTCACACACCCGCCAGGTACACAGGTACGGACGAGTCGCTGCAATTCACTCCCGGGCGCCGGCACTGCTATTCCAATGCGAAGGCAGCGGTGGTCAGGATCGCGCCTCCAGCAGCTCCTACTCAGACGGTATCAGGTGCTAAAATGGGAGGGAGCAGCTGAACTGTCTACGCCGAGGCTGTGAACCGCTTCCAAAGCAGCGCTCTGACGTAAAGAAGATGCATATCGCTGGCGTGGAATAACCATAATCAGATCGTTGCCGTACCATTCCCGCTGCACTGCTTGGGCTTCACTACATAACCTCGTGCTCCATCCGGGACACGCTGTGCAGAAGCGCGTTCTTGCAGACAAGCCGTGTCAGGCTCAACTACCATCACAGCAGCGACCACACGGTTAGGAACCATACTCCCTCGACCATCAGCCAGTCAGCTCGCTTACGGCGTGTCCCTGTGGTTAGACTCGTTTCTCCATGATCGCAGTCTGCGACATTGTTCCCTCGCCCCAAAGCTCCAGAGGCACTCCTCATTCTCAGAGCAATGCTCCTGATCTACTTCAGCCTGGGAGGATGCAGACGGCCCGGTGATCTATCCAAGGAGATCCGGGCCGCCGGTCCCATTTCTTGGCACCTCACGCAGACTTTCGCTCTCTCGGGCACATCAAGGCTCCTCTCAAAGTTACCACTGGGACCAGTTGGATGTCCGGCTCGTCTGATGGAGCGTTTGCGGACGTGTAATCGATTGCAGGAATCGGTTCTCGTACGCGACGGAGCACGCTGGAGGCACGCCAGGCTGCATACTCTTTGATATGTCTTGTCCACCGCCATCACACTCGGCCCACTCGTCCCTATGATCATCCCATGCTCTCTCAGGATTGCAGGAGCGCCAAAAGTCTGGTCCAGACGGACGGAGGAAGACGCTGTCACATGTGCAATGTCCCACGACTCGGTGTCGCTTCGGTTCGCCAGGCCGGTTGATAGACGCTGACAGGCTCGCGTTACTCGATCGCTGGGTCTAGAGTCGACGCCCGTCTGCGACGCGCGACTGTGTGATGTCCGGCATAAGGTCCTCATTGAACTCTGCCATTCACGATCGGACACAATTGCTCAGAGAGGCTGGGCAGATGTCGGTCTTCAAGAGCTGGCGCATACCTCGCCGATCGGTCACCAGCTCTCCTCGTTGTCCACTCACTCACAACCACATCGCTTGTTCGCGCTCATGATCCTCTCTACCTGTTGACTATGCAGATACTGCCGCGATGAGCACAGAGCTACAAAGTATGCCGAAGTCCAGCCGATCACGCGTCGAACAGCCGATATCTCTCAACAGCCGCATCGGTCATGGCGGGAAAAATGAGGAATGACATCATGGTTGACCGAGACCTCGTGTGAAGTCCTCCATCGACGGTGATGGAATCTCTCGAGATATTCTTTCGCTACCAACGGGGGATGGGAATGCTGTCGAATATAGCCCCTTGACCGAACCGTCGCTCGGTGACAACGTATACGGCCTTATCTCTTCTGACTTCATAAGAACGCATCGGTCATCGTCCACTCACGCACAGCACCACCCCCACCACCCAAGAATCGACATCATGGACGCTCTCGGACGAGTTGGCAAGGAGGACGACGCGATTCCCGTCTCCGAGTACAGGACCGTGGGTTTGCCGTCGAACGTCGACATTGCGTATATTGAAGCCGGCAAGATTGAGGCGGGCAACACGAACAAGCACACCGTCGTGCTCCTGCACGACTTCCCCTCGTCGTCTGCTCAGTTCAAGACGCTGATTCCCCGCCTTGCGACGCGGTACCACGTCCTTGCGCCCGACCTCCCGAACTTTGGCTTCACGAGCGTGCCGGTGAGCTACAAGCCCAGCTTTGAGAGCATGGCCAAGGCGATCGCCGAGTTCCTCAAGGTGATGGGGGTGGACAAGGCGGCCTTCTACGGCGTGGGCTACGGCGCCGACGTCGTGTTCCGCATCGCCCTCCAGACGCCGGACGTCATCAAGGCGCTCGTTGTGCAGAACGGAAACGCGTACGAGAAGGGTCTCGGCGACGCTTGGAAGCCCTTCGAGCGCTGGTGGCAGGGCGAGGGCGCCGCGCGCGACGAGCTCTACCAGACCCTCGGCGACCCCTCTTGGACCAAGCACAGGTGGTACGTCGGCGTCCCCGACTCGGACGTCCACAAGATCGACCCCATGCAGTACACCGAGGCGTACCGCGGCACGCTGCGCGACGACAACAAGCGCGACACCCAGTTCACCCTCCTCTGGGACTACCAGGAGAACGTCAAGCTGTACCCCAAGATTCAGGAGTGGCTCAAGAAGAACACGCCCCTCCTCGTGCTCTGGGGCCGCGGAGACGACGTCTACTCCACCGCCGCTCCCGAGGGCTTCAAGAAGGACTCGCAGTACGCCAAGATCGTCATGATGGACGGCGGCCACTTCCTGACCGAGACCAAGGTCCCGATCATCGCCAAGGAGGTCCGCGACTTCCTCGAGGGCGTCGACTGGTAGTTTTAATCGTAGAAGCATAATGTCAGTTTTGTAAGCAGTTCCACATTCTTGTGCACGTCCGCGATCCGATCGCCGAGGCGTGTAGAGGCGTCAGCGGCGTCGATGATGGCGCCGCAAGGGCTAAAAGCAGAATTCTAGGGCTTGGCGGAGGAACGATGGCAAGAAAGTGGAGGGTCGACGAATGTCGCAGTCGCAGCGAAGCGCGTGTTTCGCGTTTGGTTCGAGCCAAGAAAGAGACCGAGGGCATCGTTCCTTGTTGCCATCGTCGCCAGGCCCACCTTCTTCCCGTTGCACTCTTCCTCACAACGACTCGGGAGCACAGTCGCCATGTCCAAGTTTGTCCTCACCATCGACGACTTCGACCCCATCGTCCACTACGCCAACCCTCAGGCCTGGCAGACGCCCAACCCCCAGGAGCACCCCGAGTGGTGGAACGCAACCAGGGAGCAGACGAATGAGCCATGGCACCAGGGTGAGCTATCTTGAAGGGTGATGACAGCTGACAACAGCGACGTACCACAATACGTCAGCGAAGGGCGACGACTCCAAGTTCAGCTTCAACTTCACCGGTGAGTTCTAGCTATCCTACGCTTCCGACAGCTAACCATCAGGCAACATGGTCTCGATGTACGGCGTGACTGGTGTGCCGAACTATGAGATCAGGATTGACGGTGAGCTGGCTCCCGCGTCGATGAGCGCAGCTGGGAGCATAAACGGGAACGGCGGCCGGCCGCTCATCTACGAGAAGGACGTGACGTACGGCAACCACACGCTCGAGTTCTCGAACAAGGACGGCTTCTTCCTTCTTGACTCGATCGAGGTCAGCATGTTCCTTGGCGCTGAGAGGTGAGTGAAGCTTGGTGTCCCGCTCTGAGCTAATTCCAGTGCGGAGATGAAGAACACGACCGTCGATGACCGCGACACGTCCTTCCTCAAGTTTGACGGACAATGGACGCAGCAGCAGGGCCCCAACTTCTTCGACGGCACGTCGAGCTTCACGAGCGCCGACGGCGCCAGCGTTGCCTTCAATTTCTCCGGTATGCAGATCATGCTAACGACGTTGTAAACGCCTAGCTGACCCCAGGCTCCGCGGTGTGGGTATACGGAGACCAGAAGAATGACCACGGCGATTTCAAAGTGCTCCTGAACGGGTCCGAGGTGGCAGTGAACAATGGCCGCTCGGGATGCGGTGAGGGCTACTCCGCGACGTGCGAGAAGCTTCACGGGCTTGCGTTCTTCGCTGGCTCCCTGCCGCAGGGCACGCACGAGGTCAAGATCGTGAACCAGTCTCCCGGCGGCGACCAGCCGACGTTCTTCGGTAAGCTCATGGTTGCGATCGCCTAGAGCTAACACCCAGACCTTGACTACATCGAGTACACGACGCCGAGCCAGTATGCGCCACCCGAGCTTGTCGGTGCCGCAACGCCAGTGAACGCGAACGAGACCGCCGTCGGTGTCAACGTCACTGGCATGGGAATCGCCGGCGGATCGCCCTCTTCTTCTGCGGCACCCGGGTCGTCTTCGTCGGCTGGCGGCAAAGACGCCGGTGATGCGTCCGCCGTCTCGCCGAGCATGACCCTCGGTCTCTTCCTTGGCGCGTGGGTTCTCCGCGCGCTGTTCTAAAGTGTAGCTACCCCATTAGATGTCGATACTGTTTCAACCGGCGCTCGGGCGCCCTCCTGGACTGGAACTGACGCGCGTGCTCTCCTGACGTTTACTCACCCGCTGACGTCCGTGGACATGCTATCGGACAGGACATTGCCGCCCAAAGCCCAAAGAAATGACACTGCGGCCGCACGTCCACTTCAATAGCCTGACGACGTTCGCTCGGGCGTTTGATCTGGGCGCGGCGACTCGTGTCTGCAGTGTGTCAAAGGACGTCCGTGACGTCGACGACTGCCATGAACCGACGTGATACCGGATGACATCCCCAGCTCCCAGAGCGATGCGATATAACACCCTCATGATGCCTTGTCTCTCACCACTAACCTCCAGCACGATGGTGTCGTTTCGCCGTCTCATCTCACATCGGCGTCACCATGACCCCGCCGCTCCAGCTCCTCCTCCCGAGCAAGCCGATCCCATCGCACCTCCCGCCAGCCAGGCTCACCCAAGTCAGCGGACGAGCGACCCGCCTCGAGTCGTCTTCGCCCGAGGTTCCTTCACAGGCACGCCTCTGACGGACACACCAGAACCAGGCTCGCTACGCTCGTCCTATGGCTCAGCCGTGCAGCCCGCTCCGCCCGTGCTGCCCCCCATCCTGCCGTCTCTGCCCGTGGGCGGCCCCATAGCCCCCGGCGCGCTGCTGGGGGGTCCAGCCAGATTGAGCACCGACGCAGGCGAAGTCAAGGAGTCCTCGTCGCCCGTGCGCGCAGCGCACAACAGGGAGGCGGACGTGTACTCGTCCCTCCACGGCGACATTGGCGTGGTGCACGTCGAGCATCCGGGCGAAACGAGACCGTTGCTCGACACGTCGTCACCTTCGCTCGACAGCAATTACTCTGACCCGTTCAAGACCCCTCCTCGCTCCCATTCCAACCACGACGTGGGGCACAAGGGCGCCCACATTCCCACTGTCATTTACGAGGGCGACGAGAGGAGCAGGACGAGCACCCCGAACACGCACACGCCCGACGCCTCGAGGCAGCAGAGCCACCACAGCGGGCACAGCGGGCACAGCGGCGTCTCGAGTGAAGCTACGGAGCGCGCGACGCCGAAGCAAAGCGATCGCCCCCCGCTCTCCCTGGTTCATCCCGCCGACGAGAACCCGGGAAATCAGCCAGGAGATCAGGTCGAGTACCTCCAGCCCCTCGAAGCGATCGACCGGATCAGCAGCGCCGAGCAGTCTGGCGCCTCGACACCGGCCCATTTCTTCAGCAGCGCGTCCACGCCGCTACCCCATACGCCGAGGAGTGAGCCCGCCTCGCCGCCCGACAGTCCCCATCTCTCGCCTCTCCACGCGGCCGGATCTCTGCCTGCTACCCCAGACGCGCCGCTGAGGGAGGTGAGCCGATCCCCGCCCGCGTCGAGACACAACACACCTCCTCCCGCTGCGCCAGAGGTATCACTCGCGCCCATACCTAGCGGGCCTGAGGGACGACACACACCCATCCCGGCAGCACCTTGGGGCGCGCAGAAACACAGCGACGCCGCGCCCTCTGCCCCATCGGCTGCTTCGCCCGTCGACCCACCGCCGCACGACTGCACCTCGCACCGCGTCCTGCTCCACGGCCACAGAGGTCATCGTGGTCATAAACACGCGCCCGAGACACAAACCTCGTACCGACCCCGCCCCGAGTCCATTTCCTCAACCTCTCCATCCTCCACTGAAGAACTGTCTCAAGCGCCCACCGAACAGCACTCTAGATTTCACATCAGTATGCCCCGCTGGCGTCGTGACTCGACCTCCTCGGTCTCGAGCGATGAGGAGGAAGTGTCTGGTCCCGGGTTGCGCGTGAGTCTCTCTCTCTCCCTTCTTACATGGAAGCTGAAAAGGCGTCGTAGAGCTAACAACAGACACTGGAGATCAAGGCCGACTCTGAGGAAATGGCAGCCGGCACACGGAGCATTGCGTGGTGCGACGACCTGAAGCCGTTCCATGGCCCCGTTCCCGCCCGTCTTATCGGGGGCCGGTTCCCGCCCCTCGAGCTAGTTGCTGAGGGCGAGAAGTCCCCACTGGTCAAGGCCAAGGCATTGCCCAAGGCTGGGCTGAAGCGCGTAGGGTCGGCGATCAGCTCGGTCGGCAGCCGTGGATCGCGTCCTGGCTCTCGCGCCGGCTCGCACGCCGGATCGAGGGCGGGCTCTCGCCCCGCGTCGATCAGTGGCCACGACGACGGCGCGGACAACACCTTCGGTCTCGACCTCAACGACGCGCTGCAGCTCTCGCCCAGCCCTCGTGCCGTCGACGCCGAGCCCACCCCGGACCCCACCAACGGCTCCGCCGTCGCTGCTGAGTCTTCCGACTGGCTCTCGGCATGGATCCCGCCCCGCCCAGCCCCCTCCAAGCTCAACCTCTCCGACCCCTTGAGCGGGCGCACATACACCGCCTCCCGCCTGGGAGCCTCGATCGGCTCCAAGAAGATTGTCAAGTTCTTCCTCGGCGCCGAGTCGGGACATGCGTCCAATGAAGCAAGGGCCTACGAGTTGACGGCGCACAGTGGGGTTACGCCCAAGTGGTATGGGGCTTATGGTGGTTTCCACCCGCGTATTGGGAGCAAAGGGGTCCTCAGGGCGAATCAGGTACTGCTGTATGCGCTGGTGATGGATGAGACGGGGGAGGAGGTCGTCGTTGAGAAACTGTGGAAGAAGGAGAAGTGAGTTTCCGCCCTTGTTCGCCCCCACACATTTGCTTCTTTGCTTGCACTCCCATCTTCCCTTCATTCTGCTGTGCCTTCCATGCCCTTGCGCTGCGATGGCTGCAAGGCCGAGCATAAACTGCCACAGCTACGAAACATTGCTCAGAGCTGACCCCAGACGCGCGATTGCGAAGCTGTACCAGACGCTGCACGCGCACGGCGTGCTCCACAACATGCCCGCGGCCGAGCACTGGCGCAGCACAAAGGCAGGGTTCAGGCTCGTGTCCTTCTCCGAGGCGCTGTTCCGTGACGACATGGACGAGGAGGACTGGGAGGAAGTGTGTCGTGCCGAGGACCGCGTCGTGCTGAACCTCCTGGGTCTGAGCGAGGAGTGAGTTCTGATGACTGAGGTGATCAACGAGAGCAGGGAAAGTCAAGAGAGCAACGGAATGTCAGTGGAATTGTCAGTCGTATGCACGTATCGAACGAATAGCTGCATAAGAGTCAAGCACGCGCAGAGCCGGAACGGAAAACATTAGAAACACACTATCGGTATTACAGATCAGAACGCGACGTGTCCTGGTCGTTGCGGCGAGGCGACGGTCTCCTGGACACCCATGGAGATGCGGGGGCGGCCGCCGACGCCGGTCCACTCCCACGTCTTCCACACGTCGCCGCGGACCTCGCGCTCGCGCGTCGCCACGTTGGCGTTGCGCTCGACCTCCTTCTCGACACGCGCCCAGAGACGCTGGCGCTTCGCTTCGTCGCCTTCAGAACGGGGGAGGATCACGTCACGCAGCTGCGCTGGAGGCAGGTAGGGCTGAGGCGTGACGACGGGGTCGGTGTAGTGCTGGTACTCCTGATCCTGGAGGCGGTGGAGGACCGTGTCGACGAGCTCGCGCGCGCGCTTCTTCTCCTTCTCGCGCTCGCTCATGTGGTGGCTGAACGCTCCGATGGAGGCCAGCACAACGACTAGACCCACAATCTGCTTTCGGAACTCGTGCATGAAGTCGCGGGCGCCGACCTTGGCCTTGCACTGGAGAGAGAGCTCGGCACGCTGAGCAGTGTACCACGAGTCGCCGTTGGGGTCAATCGACTCGACAACGTCGCCGTGGTCGACCAGGTCCTTCAGCGCCGCAACAAAGACATCGTCGAATGCGTCCTGGGACATCTTCGGGTTGCGCCTGGCGGCAAAGTAGTCGTGCAGGCTCTGCTCCGACGTGCCGTAGCACAGGCCAACACCCTTCGTGCACTCCTTGTCCGAGCCAGAGCAGACAACAAGACCGCGTCCACGGGCGAGGTGGCGCTCAATCTCGCGAGCCATCTGGCCAACCTGGCGCATGCGCGCCGTGTCCGGGCGGCACTCGGGCGTGAACACGCGGGAGGGCAGGCCGGGAAGGCCGTCGAAAAGCGGCGAGATCGGGGCAAGCAGCGACGGCGTTAGGATGTACTCGGGAGCGCACGCGACGACCTCGCCGTTGGAGCACTTGGCGTTGTGCGGGCAAGGCGTGCACTTGGTCGGGCGGGGGAGGAAGGGCACGAGGGGAAGCGCGCTGATGTCGCAGTTGAGCGCGAGTGCGTCAGGGTGGTCCGAGCGGTGCTGCGTGGACAGCGCGACGCAGTGCTGCGCCTCGGCAATCGGCTGCTCACGCGCCTGGATCACGTCGTTAGTCATGGAACCAGTGTCGCAGTAGCCGTTCGAAGACGAGACAGACTTCCAGTGACCGCCCCAGGAGAAGAGAAGGAGGCCGCTCAGGATCAGAGCCATCATGGAGCCGTTCGGCACGGGCGCCGAGCGCTTCTTCGTGAGGGTCTGCGTTCGTTTCACAACCACCTTAGGCTGCTCCTCCTTCTCCTTCTCCGCCAAAGCAACCTGGCGAGCGACGTCGTCGTTCAGCGCCTCGGCTTCGTCGGCGTCGCGGCGGATCGCATCGCGGAAGTCGTCCGTCGGTGATCGCAGCTCCTCCTGGCTAGGGCCGACGCGACGCAGGATGCTCTGCGTTGGGGCAGAGGTGGCGGTCCACTCGCTTGGTCGCGGGGCGCGGCGCTTGGTCTCACCGAGACCGAGAGAAGACTGAAGTCAGCTATGTTATCGGAGTTCAACCAAGTGAAGCTCACCTTGCGCCTGCGACGCTCGCGCTCGACAGCGGCCTCAGCGGCCGCCTCTGTGCCGCTCTGGAACGGGTTGAAGTCGGAGAAGGTCGTCTCCTCAGCCTCGGACGAGTGACGCGACTTGCGGCGGGGCTTGCTTTCCTTGATCTCATCACGGGGCGCGGGTGGCGCAAAGCTAGTGCGCGGCTTGCGCACTGACGGGGGCGGTAACCCGTCGCTCGAGGAAGACGGCTCGTTGATGACGGGAGGAGCAGGCTTGGTCGACTTGCGGCGCGCGCTCGGTGGCGGAAGGGCCGGCTGCTCGGGGGCGGGCGGTGTGCTCTTCTTAGGAGTGCTGATCTGGACCTCGACCTCCTGCTTGGGCTTCCTTGACCGGGGCTTGGCCGGGGCATCCGAGTCGTCCTCGGCGATCTCTGCCTGCGTGACACGTCGTCGCGAAACACGCGGCTTCTTCTCCTTAACGACCTCCTTCTCCTCCTCCTCGACCACAGGCTCGGGCTCAGGCTCGGGTGCGGGCTTGGCTGCAATCTTGCGGGACCGCGGCTTCTTAGGCGGCGGGGCGTCTTGTGCCTCCGGCTCGACCTCGTCGGACGCGATCGTCGCGGATGACTTCTTGGGCCGCCCCCTTGCGCGCTTCACGCCCGATGGAGGCGGGGAAGGCTCGCGTTCGACGGGCGACTCGTCGCCCGTGTTGCTGACTGCGATGATACCGCGGCCGGAAGGACGGACGCGCGCGTCGGCGGCAAGGATCTCGGCGGCGCGGGACTGCACATGGTTCTCGAAGAGGGCGACGAGGTCTGCCTTCTTGGCCGAGGAGGGGAACTTGATGGAGTGCTCGACGAGGATGGATCTGGACTGTCAGCTGGGCTGCCGGAGATTATCCGGGGCGGTAGTGGATGGATGACGCCGAGAAGGGACGACGAATGAGGTGGCGCGCGATGATGACGCCGACATGGGACATGGCTCGCGTCATAAACAAAACGCGGACTGACCGGAGCTGGGGTACCTGAGCACACAAGTTAGCGATCTGCAGTACAGTGTGGTGGAGTGGGTAGACATACCCTGAGAGAGGTGGCGACGAAGCCCTCGGCGAGGTAGACTTCACGCGCGGGAGCGGCCATGACGAGGGGAGTGGTGTCGGCGCGATGCGCTGTGCGCTGGATGGGCTTGTTAGGGATGAGGAGAAGAACAAGGATGTGTGGTCCGCCGAGAGCGCATCTTCTGGGCGCCGGGGGGATGCGGCAATGTTTGTGTCGTCTGCCCTCTGGGCGCGATTTGCTCCCGCTAATACTGGGTTTATCCGCTGTTAATGGAGACTATTTGCCACCCCGTTAAGGTTTGACGTCATTGCCTAATGCGCGATTAACCCAGCGCCATTACCCATTACCCCACAGACCCGTATCCGCGCTAAGCACGGACCGCGCGAGAGCTGAATGGGCGTAAATGGCGTTGGTAGGGAATGAAATGTCCACCGACGCCGCCGCTTTGCGCGAGAGAAGGGGGCCGGAACAACAACAACAACAAAGCGATCGAGTGATCAAAACAAACACCGTCCCCAGCCGGCCAGACCAGCTCGGAGCGACCAAACGACCCAGCGACTGTCCCCACCCAGCCGCCATGTCGCGCTCCGAACCAGGCGTCAGCTTCAAAGGTATGTCGTTATGTACCAGCTCCAAGCGGCTGCCCAAGCTGACAACCAGACACGGTGCAGGCAGTTTCGACTCTGCTCGAGGTGACGCTGCACACGCTCCTGTGTGTGCGGGGCGTGTATCCTCCAAGCACCTTTGCGCGGAGAAGAGCCCACGGCGTGCCAGTGTACCAGTCGCGACATCCGGAAGTGCGCTCGTACATCGCGAATGTAGTGCAGGGGCTGTCGAAGGATCTCGAGCTCGGTCTCCTCCGCCGCGTCACTGTCGTCATCAAGGCGATGGACGGTCTGCCGCTAGAGAGGTTCATCATCGACTTTGGATTCATGCAGATGGATGCGCTAGACGGCGGGAACAGGGATGCCAAGTGGGTTGAGCTAGCGCAACGAGCCTCACCGTGCGACCTGGAGGGCCACGCAGCGTAGCTTTCGTCGGTGCGAATAGCTGACGACAGGATCATCGGCGCCCCCTCGGCCTTCGATCTCGACCTCCTCCTGCGCGGCTTCCTCGTGCGTCTCGTTGCGTTGGACTCGCAACTGTTAGACCTGCGCGGCGAGACGACCTGGACCATAGTCGCCGAGACGCACGACGGCCGCGAGCCGACCTTCAAGGGCGATGGGGTAGGTTCGCGTAGTTCTAACTAGAGTGCGCAGCTTCTTATGCCTGAGAGCTGACATCAGTCCGTGCCACTGTGGACGCCAGCACTTGCCCAGGATACACTGCATCCCGGCCGAGACGGACACGACGACGACGAGCAACACGAGCCCCTGCTCAGTGTACGGGCGGTCGAGACAGGCGTCATCGATGTAAGTTCAAAGCTGTGGAGAAGAGGCGTATAGCTGACAGCAGCTCCGCATGGTTGTGCAAGAGTGTACAGCCAAGACCGGACGAGAGCGGCTGAGTCCGTAGGTAACATGCTGGGATAATTCTGGCCACGCGAGGCTCTGCTCCCCGAGAGTGCGATCATCCCCAAGGTCACTGCTGCCAACAAGCTTATGCAGCGATCTATAGAGACCCAATTACGCTGCCCGACTACACGTGCAACCCAGCATCGTCACAGAAACGTAGAATGCACAGTGAACATGGGTCGGAGCTAAATGAATGGGATGTACAATATATGGGCTGTATGCCAATGCAGGATATACGTGCTGCTCTACTTCTTGTCAAATGGGTTGCTGATGTCAGCTTACATATGGCGTCGACAGCTTACACAGTGTATCCGAGGTCGTCATCGTCGTCATCGTCGTCGCTGTCGCCCAATTGGTGCGGGGATACCGAGGGAACGTGGCGGTGCTTGCTTTTCTCCTCGGGGTGGGTCGGCGTTGTCGGGCTCTGCACTGAGTTGTCCCCAGAGGCGGAGAGGAGCTCAACGCGGCGCTTCGGGAGGAAGCCCAGTTTAGCTGTGGTGTTAGCTATGTCCAGGAAGGCGACCTAGCAGGCGTGTGCCTCCACATGAGCCTTGGCGGTGCCAGCACAAGAGTGAGACTCACCGAGATCGATCTTGCCAGGAGAGCTGGGACGACCGCTGGGGCTGGCTGGACTGGCGGTGCCACTGTTGTTGCCGCTGCGTGGCGGCGAGATCTTCCCGCTGACTGCGCGCGGCGAGAGAGGCTGCGCGTCCTCGACATCATCCAGCTCAGAAGGGGACCAGCGGGCGGGCTTGGTCGCGCCAGCGTAGGCAGCATGCGGATCGTGTCTGTCGGTCAGCTTGGCCTTAGACGCCGGGCAGCTGATGAACACTTACGGCCTTGGCACTCCCCACAATCCGCCAGTGCGAGCTGTAGAAGACTCGGGATTCTGCCCATGGTCGCGCTGGTCGGAGAATTCGTCGTACTTGGCCTTCGCACGGTTGATCAGCGAGCTGAAGGTCTGCTTGCCCTGCTCGGCAATGTGGAGGACTTTCTTTTCCAACTCGGTGAACTGCACATCCTCCTCGCCGTACTTCTGCTGCAGCTCGTGTGCGCGGGCATAGTCCCCATCGTAGGGCGATGGGCCGTGACGGGGTGCGCGCGGCTTGCGGACACGCGGCTGATACGGCGGCACGTAGGTCGCCGGGTCAAACGGCTTCTCGTCGCGGTCGAGGCGGGCCGCAAGCGTGTCACGCACGCGGCGCGAGGCGTCAGCGGCGCGGGCCTGCGCACCGCGCCCTTGGTATGGAGGCGCCCGCGGCGGAGGGGGGAAGCGGTCGGCGTGGTCTTGCCTGTCCTGGAAGTGCAACGCTTGCGCAAAGTCGGCGTCAAGGCTAGCCTGCCTCTCCCTTTCACTCAGCGCCGCATCGGGCACGAAGGAAGGGTCCGTCATGCCAAGGAGGTGTTCGGCGGCAGCGTCCTTCGAGCCCGTGCTCTCGAGCACAGCCTCGATGACACCCGCGTCGATGATTGGGAACATCGCGGACAGCTCCTTCACTGCCTCTTTATCGACTCCGCTTTCGGGAACGGCAGGTGTCTCCGCGGGGGAAGGCGAGGACCTTGCGTTTGGGGAGGCTTTGGCGACATCGTAGGACGGCGGAGGCGAGCCAGACTTCGGAGCACCTGATGGCGAGGCCGGAGGCGTGCTCTTGTCGACCTTTTCGGTCTGCTCCTTTGTCGGGGAAGACATCGCTGTGAGCAGGCGAAGGGTGTGATGGGAGATGGAGTGGACGAGGAAGACGTCGCTGGAGGCGATGTCCTCCTTGGCCTCAGTGTCTGTGCGTCCCCGCGTCCTGAGGCGAGGCCACGATCGTTTCAGCCGGATCTGATTGCCGTTATCTGCCCAAATACCCCTCACCTAATAAGATAAGCGGAACCAAATCTCATTACAAGCCAATTTCAACAGCTCACCACGCAAGTCGCCACCCAACGTCAGCGAACTCGTCCAACTTTGTTTTCGTTCCCTCCACTCCTCCATTCATCCTCGAAACAGTGACACCATGGGCAAGGGCGGTGACGGCGGCTACAACAAAGCCCTTGGCAAGGCCATCAAGGCGAAAGGTAAGCTTTGTCCTCTCCTGGCTGTAGCTGACATCAGGTCTGGGTCGCCTCAAGTGGTACTGTCAGGTAAGCTGTCGCTCGGACATCCTCAGCTAACAGCAGATCTGTGAGAAGCAATGTCGCGACGAAAACGGCTTCCAAGCGCATTGCAAGAGTGAGCCTCACTTGCGCAAGATGATCTCGATCGGGCCGAACGCGGGCGCAACGATTGCCGAGTTCTCGCGCCAGTTCCAGTACGACTTTGTGACGCTGCTCAAGTCGCGGCACAACACGCAGCGTGTGCGGGCGAACGCAGTGTACAACGAGTACATCCAGGACAAGCACCACGTGCACATGAACGCGACGAGATGGGTCACGCTGAATGGCTTCATTCAGACGATCGGAAAGGCGGGCATCGTCAAGGTCGACGAGGATGACAAGGGGCTCTGGATCCAGTGGGTTGACACGAGACCAGAGACGCTAGCCAAGCAGGTGAGTTTCTCAAGGTGGAGAGGGGCAACATGCTACGGGTAATCATATGCTTGTCCGCAAGGTCCCAACTTGGCTGGAAAGATTACACAGCGCCCCTCCTCCAGCTTCCAGGACCGATTTGAGCTTAGCTTACTCCAGGCCGCGGCGCAGAAGAAGGACCGCGCAACGATGGACGGCGAGGAGCGCGAGCGCAAGATGCTCGAGGACCAGATCGCGCGAGCGCGAGCCCTGGCCGCGGAGCAGGAATCCTCCTCCCCCGCACCCGGACTACAAAAGGCGGAGGGCGAGAAGGTGAAGCTGAGCCTTGGTCCAATCTCGCTGGGCGGGTCCGCCTCCGCCTCCGCGTCCGGGGCCTCGACTCCAGCAACCGGCGACGAGAAGGAGGCCAAGCCGACGAGCATCTCCTTTGGCTCTGGCGTGTCCCTCTCGGGTGCTGCGCCGGCAGCGAATCCGCTCAAGATGAACCCGCTGAAGGCGAACCCGCTCAAGCGGCCTGCGCCGGGCAATGTGTTCAAGAGCGCAAAGGCGGCCAAGACGGACGAACCTGAGGCTAAGCCAAAGGGATTCGTGTCCGAGGCGGAGCGGCTGATGCGCGAGGACCAGGCGCGGAAGGCGGCGCGGGCGAGCGGAGGCGGTCGCGGGGGATATGGAGGGCACGGAGAGCCGCGGCGCTGAGGGCACTGAGGGCGCCGCACCATAGCTCCAGCCCTCGCAGGGCAACGTCAGCTTAGATCTTTTCTGATACTTGTATTCCTATGACACAACCACCTTGCATATGTACAAAAAACCCTACGGGAGGATCGAGCACTGCCGCCAGTGTCGCCAGAGGAGGACGCACCACAACCCCGGAATGCCGACCAGGGCCGCCCATCCCGATCCCGGCATGGGCGCGGAGAGCCAGAAGAAGCCAAAGACGGCCGCGCCGACCTGCGCCGCGGCCCGGAGCACGTCTGTCGCGAGCAGTCCCAGCGTCGTGGGGACTTTGACCCTCACTGCCGCCCGCTCGCTTGACGTGCCGCGGCCTATGGCCGGTGATCGGGCCCGTTCGTGCCAGGTATGCGTCGAGTCGGTATCCAGCGAATGTGCGCGTTCCCATTTCGCGTCCCAGACTACCGCTCTCAGCCAGAGTGCTACTCCCAGGGTGGCGAGGAGGAGGGACAAGATTGAAGTGTACGGTGAGGAGGTGAAGAGCAAGCCGAACAACGCTGCACCGGCGCCACTGCCTAGAGCAAAGAGGAGAATGAGCGTGAGAGAGAAGGAGAGCGGCAGACGGAGGGTGTAGATCCTGCACCGGCACTGGTCGGGACAGGCGGGATATCGGAGCGAGGACGCGAGCGCTGAGCCTATGTCGGATAGGAGGGAGGGTTGTTGGCGCGGCATGGTCGCAGTCGCGGAGTCGCGGATCGTGGTACCGATCAGCCGAGTTCGGAATGTCGCCAGGACGTATGCTGTGATCGAGACATTGGCAGTTGTCAATGAGCGTGGAGGTCGTGCACAGGGCGCCTTGAGGAAGCCGACGCCGGCCGGCGGTTACCGATCACCGACACCTGCGGCCCTGACATCGAAGCCACCGACCATACTTCCCGTCCTCGGACAGAGCGGGATAGGGACCGCCGCATACAGGATGCAAGATGCAAGAATGCTACATGGTTGTTTTGCGTTCTATTACACTACGGAAGTATGCTTTGCGATGTTCACTAACGATGCCAATCTCGAGATGATCTCCTGCTCTCTCGTCTTGATCTCACCTGCGGGAAAGTCCTTACGTCTGTACGCCTGGGCTCGACTGTACGCCGGGGCTCTGCTGGATGCCTGGACTCGGTTGACTGGCCTGGCTCTGCTGCGACGGCACCGTCGAGGACGAGTCCTGCCACACCGGCACGCGGTACTGTCTCGGCACACTGTCACCGGGGGGCAGGTGTGCGTGCGCTCCAGGTCCGCCAGGGGAGCCAAACGACGTGGGGCTCCTGGTCCTACTCGCGATGCGCGCCGAGAGACTCCTCGAGAGCGGCCTGGTATCGCCCGGGATCTCCTCTTCGGGGAAGACAATCTCTGTAATCGGGTCGCCCCCGTCAGGCGGGGGAGGGGGCACGCCGGCGCCTTCCCGTGATTTACGGCTCAGGTGCCAGTCGCCGCTGAGCCAGATGAGTTCCGTGAAGATGACCCAGGCCATGACGACGGGACAATACGTCGAGAGCCGGTTGCAGCACCCCTTGCCCCAGATCGTGATCGCGATGGCCCAGTAGGCATGCGAGGGGAAGATGTACGAGATGTTGTAGAAAATGTCCCCGACTTCGGGGGGGAAGACGGCCGCCGCGACACTGGTCACGATGATGGGAAAGACAAAGTACATGATGAACTTGATGGGGAGGTACGCGAGGATGGTGCCGAAGATGTTGAAGTTGATCCAGCAGTAGAAGAGCGTGTCGGTCCAGAGCGCGAAAAAGTTCTTGGCCGGGTACGTGTAGTCCTCCCTGAAACTGAAGTTGACACTCGTCATGATGAGAGACGCGAGCACACACCACACCACTTTCAGGACAAACTTGGCCCGTGTCAGCTTGAACATGGTCGTCGGGTGCGAGTACACGCCTGCCTCGGTGAAGACGCCCATGATGATCATGTTGAAGAAGAAGGTCGCGAGGTTGGGCACGACGACGCCAAAGGTGTTGATGAACACACGCGACTGGAACGGCAGCGGCGCCATGTCCGTCTCGGTGAATCCGACAGCTTGCGCGATGAGTCGAGCCAGCGCCTCGTTCTGCTCCGCACTGTTGGCACCCGTGTTCTGCCCCAGCGCCACGTTCGCAGCGTACCCGCTCATCTTGGCGGACACTTCCGCCAGCGCCTGCGTGATCGCGGGCCGGATGTAGGAAGAGTACGTGGTAAAGTATCGCGCGCCCGTGAGGTAGTTGGTGATGGCTGATTTTGGGTCGTAGTCCCCCGCTGTCGGGTTTGCGAGCGCTTGCTGCAGCGCCGCAGAGGCGCCCTCCTTAACGACCAAGGCGCCCCAGTACGTCCCGTCCCAGACCGACTCGACGACATCGGTGATGTCGCCGTCCATGATTTCCCACCCCGGCGCTTCCTTGGTGCGCATCGAGTTCAGTGTCGAGATCAAGGTCTGGCCGACGACGCCGCCGTCAAAGTCACGCACGCGGACCTGGGGTCAGCACGGAGTCCTCCGAGTGCTCGATTTGGAGCCCGCAGCACCAACTGTACCGCTCACTCCGCATTCGACGACGGCGCGACAGCGCGACAGTTAGGTACGAGCATAGTATCCCCGGGGCTATCTCGGCCCAAAGCAGTACGCCACATGACGTCTCTTGCTGATTTTCGCCCCTGCACCTATTGGTGTACCCCGGCAGGCGACTCACCTTGAGTTTGTAAGCCCTGTGCTGGGCATTATGGTTACAGCCGAAGATCCACAGCGCCGTGGCCCAGAGCACGATGAGGAGCACAGTCGCCGCAATGGCCATGGGCTTGATGACATACTCGAGCTTCTTGTTGACTTTGGGCGGCTTCAGGGCCGGATCGACTTCGCCAGGTGTCTGGTCCTTGCCCGCGACGAGGACGCGGTTCGGCTCCGTGTCCAGCTGCACTGTGTGCGTCGCTGGCGGCGGGTTCGGGACGCTGTACGGCTTCTCCTTTTCTTGGATCCCGCCCAGTCCCGAGGGCGGGAGGGACTGCCGGTTGGTGGTGTTACCATTGGCGTTATTGGTGCCGTTTACGCCGTTGGTGCCGTTGGTGCCGTTGTGCAGCGTAGCCTGCGATGCCGAGTACGAGGGCACCATTGTGCGCAGCGTGCCCGTGCTCCCGACACGGTCCATGCCGTTCGTGCCGTTCGTACGGTCCATGAGAGGAGTGCCGGATCGGCTGGGGAGGGCGGACGGCGGGACGGACGCGGACGGTGTGTGGAATGGAGGTGTCTCCGCAGACATGTCTGTGTCTGTGGGTGATTATAAAGGATTGTCTCGGGTCGGCTGTTGTGTCGGCTGTGTTGGGCGTCGGAGTTGTGTCGGTTGTGTGATGTGGTGAGGAAAAGGGGAGAGTGTGTACGTATGCTGAAGGAATGCGTAGATGGACGGAGTCAAGTGTCGCGTGAGTCTTCTCGAGTTGGTAAGCACGGCGGAGTGTTGATAATGCGGCAAGGGACGAGGGGAAGTTGTGAGACGGCAGCAGAAACAAGCTCGGTCTGGAAAGAACGTCGACGGATGCATCAATCACCTGGGCCGTCCGTCTGGCAAGAGATGCGCTGCTAACGGTTCTGCCTGATCGTGCGCTGATGAGACCGCACTCACCGAGCCCGCCGGGCGCTCGGACTGGCCGCATCTGGGCAGAGGCACGATACGAGCCTGCCGACACAAATGTGCGGCGTTCATTGGTCTCGCCGATCGCTCACACAAGTGGGCCCCAATCGTCTTCCTCTGCTCCGCAGCGTCATACCAGCTGAAGAAGTTCTGCTGCCCCGCTCCCATTAACCATTCCCAGGTTCTTGTCAGCAAGCTCATGAAGGGATCAATAAGACCCCGCGCTCCGCTTCCCCGCTTCGATCAGTATTGGCACTCTCTCTTCGATTCAGCGGAGTCACATGCGGGTTGGAATTGGTATTATTCGAGAAGACGACGTATTCGAGTTTGAGTGTCATGAGAGGGCAGCACGTGAACGAATGTTGATCAGCGGATCCCTGCGGATCGCGCGAATCAGCTTCGATGCTCGGTTCGACCGGTTCCAGCTGACATGCCGACGGAGATAAGCACGATAGTGCGTACCCTGATTAGATTTTCGCATGCGCTTGATTCGTGCTTGATGCGTGCCAGTGTGCCAGATGACCATGGGTTCTGAGTACGATAGAGGAGGGTGCATGCGTCGTCTGGCGCCCGGAATAGCTCGCCAGCGCGCCAGCCCTTCCAGCATTGCTGACATGAGGCCTGGTCTCCGTCTACCAAATGGCCAGGGGAGGGAGGCCGGCCAAGTCGGCCCGATCATCGATCACTGTGGGCGCCACCTGGTGCGAGCGATCACGGGTGCAGCTCCAAGCCCTCTGCGCCCTCTACCTCCAGTGACACCCTGCCTGCACACCGAGCCCTCTGCCATTAAGAGCCAAATGGTGTTACTCTCGCGAGTAGACGTGCTCGCACGCTGAGTCGAACAGCGGTCAGCCCGGAAACGGAAAGAAGATAAACCACAACGGACGGTGATAACCACCTACACTATACGAGCTTTTGGACGATGTGGGGTGGTCTGGCAGGGTGTTGTTCGCTGGGCGATTCTGGGAAAGTCAAAATCAGGCGCGTATGAGGTCCTTGCACGCTCGCATTTGCATCTCAGACACACAGATCAAACACAGAGCAGACTTGTCTCGTTTCTTACAGAGTACAGAATAGGTCTCCGCCTGTTACCTTGCCTGCGTTTCATGCGTCTCGGACTGGCAGCCGCCAAGTCGGGAACGCTGAGCCTCCAGACACTAGCAGTTGTTAGCGAGGTCTTGGCCGACCCTCGCCCAACTTGGCTGACGACTGTGCAGGCTTGGCCGTAGTCCGTTCGCGGCACAGGGTTAGCGAGGACTTGGCATTGATCGTCATCCTCGCCAAGCTCTCCAAGCTTTGCAAGCTCTGCAGCTACGGCTTGTATCGTTGTCCTGAAACGTCCAACCTGCCAGGCCAACCTGTACTTCTGCTCCGCCCCGCGTTCAAGATTAAGTGCATGCTGACATGCTTTGCTACGTATACGTAGAATACACTGTGCTCGCTCCTAGTACTGTGTACTGTGTACTGCTTATGAATGGGAATGGGCGAATGGGCGAATCGGGGTGGAATGGAAAGTGTAGTATACAAAGGGGACTCGGGCTCGCGCTCACGCCGCGTGCTCGCGTGTTTGCGCGGTTGCGGACTCTGCGCCGTCTCTCCCGCTGCTGCTTCTGAGCTGACTTGCTCAGTCGCACAGCCTGCGCACTACCCGCGGCCACCCGGACCGCGGGCTAGTGGCGAACTCCTGGCCGGGGAGCCCCCCTATGGGCTCCGCGGCTCTGGGCTAGCGGGAGAACCGCCGGGCGGCGGCTGCGGGCTTGGGTTCGTGACGCGTAAGACGTGGTCGTAGGACGGCGGGGGCATGGCGATCGGGCCGACGGCCTCGCTGTCGACCTCCTCCGACATGCCGTATGCCGAGTGCTGGTACCGCGACGATGAAGCGGCCATGGCCTCCATCTGCTGCAGCCGCTGCTTCTCGGTCAGGTTGGTGCTAGAACCGGACCCAGATCCGATACCAGTGATGCCGGACGCATCGCTACTCGTCGCGACACTACCACGGTGGAAGCTCGGCGCGGGGACGCTCATCGGGTACGGGTTGAGATACGGGTCGCGCGAGTCGGCGTCGTAGCCCGCGGCGTTCGCCGCGTTACGGCGCATCGGGCTCGACTCGTCCGTCTCCTGCAGGTCGATGCTGACGGCGTGCGTGTCCTTGGGCTGCTTGCGGCGCTTCAGGAAGCACCATAGAACCAGACCTGCAAGCAGGAGTGCGCCGATAGCCGACCCCACAGCAGCACCTGCGATCGTGCCTGCATTGCTGCCAGACGACTTGCTACCAGAGCCAGCCTGAGAGCCATCTCCCGAAGCAGTGGGCGACGCTGTTCCGGTCTGGGAAGAGCCGGAGCCGGATGTCGCACTGGCAGTCTGGCTCCCAACCGGCTGAGGAATGCCAGTCGTACCAGGGCTGGAGCTGTCCAGGCAGCCGTTCTGGGTGCTAGCGCCGACCTTCAGTGGTGAAAGTGACCCAGCCGTGCCGTACTTGCCACTCGTAAGGACGACGAAAACCATGGGTGTGCCGCCTTCCGCGTTGACGATCCAGTCGACCGACTGCTTGTCTTTCGTGATAGGGATCTCGAAGGTGTCGCCGGCCGGGACGAGGCCTGCGACGTTGGCCGGTAGGTCGAAGTTTTCGTTCCACGCAAACCTGGCCGTAGTGCACGGCAGGAACTCCTCGACTTTGGTCGGCTCCATCCAGAACCCTTTCCCGTCTATCGGCATGTCCTTGTTGTCCGGCGTCAAACACGAAGAATCACCGTCCTTGACGGCTGAACTGTCAGCTGACCGGCACAAGGTTCAGGCTCCGCGCTCCGCGGATAGCCATCACCACTTACTTTGAATGTCTGATACTCCGCCGGAACCCCAACCGGAGGAGTCGTACATGGTGGCAACAAATTGCTGACCAACGGCCTGCTTGTAGTCGAACGTATGCGTCCATGGTCCGTTGCCATCCTTTTGCGGGACGGAAACGTTGAACACCTGCGCGCTGTCCTTGACATTCCACTGGTGGAGTCAGCAATGTGAAAGAAAGACCGAATTGGCTGCCATTATGCCCATGTGCATCTCTCCAAACAAGGCGCCGGGTAGCAGGTGGGCGGCAGCTGCTCAAACTCACGGGAACAGTGATCAGATGGTACGGCCCTTGTCCTCCTTGCCTGCGTTGGTCAGTTGCGAATTCTCATCGCTTCTGCTTCTGCGCAGTCGACAGTGCGCGAGTGTGACTCAGACATACCATGTGACAGTCATTTGTCCGCACTGCGAAACCTCCGAGAGGGAGAATTTGAACGTCTGCTTGCCCAGGGTTACGGGGTCGGCAGCATAGGCCGGAGCGGTCATGGCGGCGGCAGCGAGCACCAGGGGCAGGCGGGGTAGGGAGCGTCTGCTGGAACGCCTAGACGACGGCATGGTGAATCAAGATGGTCGTGAGGGGGGGCAGAGGGGGCAGTGTTCGGGTGTTGTTGTTGCGAGCTGCGAAATGCCAGAGTCGCGATCGAGGCAACCTGCAGGGAGACGGAGGCGCAGGGCGGCGTCACAGGTCCTGGATACCACTACTTTCGGCGGTCACTTGGGCTCCAAAGTGCAAAGTAGCAGAGTCGTCGTCCGAATGCTGCGCGGCGAGCTGGGTGCCAGGTAAGCGTGCTTGCTGAAGGCTGGTGCTGGAGCGGGTTCAAGATGGTGTCTCTAGCGCCGGGCGGAGACGGTCTCTTTGCTGTCGGACTCGGAGGTGGAGAAAGGTCAAGAAAGACGAGTCGACAGAGGGAGAAAAGGGCGAAAGGGGGCAACAGCAAGTTGGGGTGGGTGCCGAGGGAATCGGAGGAAGAGAAGAAGAAGGGGTCGAAGGAAGGTGGGTCTGTGAAGGAGAGTGTGTAGTGGTAGGATGGAATGGAAAGAGAGAGTCCAAGCGTTGAGGGTGGGTGTTGAGTGTGCTCTTGGTGTTGAGGACGCAAGAGGGTATTGACGAGCAAGTAGGCAGTGCACGAGGTGACAGGGGGGTGAGCTGGAGGAAAGCAGAATGGCAAGTCGTCGAGCGACCAGTGCTAAGGATGTCGGTGGTTGATCGCTGGATGCAAACACTACTGACGCGACGTCCCTCTCAGGGTCCACGCAGCCCGTATGCAGCTAATCCCTACTAGGCAGGGCACGTCGGCCCGGGCGACACCTGTAACTGGCCCGATCCGGCAAGTGCCTGCCCTGACAACCCTGCGAGGGGTCTGAAGTGCGCCCTCTGCTCTTGTGCTGTCAGTCCCTCATTTCCTTGCGATCCCCTACGCGTCAGAAGCCATCCACCAGCGTCAGCGGTCCCGTCCTATGCGTCGTACACGCCATTTACGAAGAATGCATATTCATTTTACTCGTCAAGACTAATCCCATTAGCACGCTGCTTCCGATCCCCACGCCCTGACCACACAACACCCCGCACGCTGTTCGGACAGGCAAAGCCCCTTCCATCAATAGCAATCACAATGACCCCTCCAACGCGTCGTGGGTACAGCGGCTCCGTTCCTCGTTCCGCTTCCAGTAAATGCGTGCACAGCTTGCCTCATCTATGCGATCATCATTGTATGCAGCAGACTGAGAACCTGCCCGTTGTCCCTCCTCGTGACCTCACGACACAATCGAGTGCTGAGCTGGAGGCATGCGGCAGGCGGAGAAAAAAGTCGATCAGCGCAGTCAACATGACAGGCAACATAGCATCTGACGTCAACGGCGATTGGAAGAACAGCAGTGGGCTCAGCGTGCGCAGCCCTTGCTAGTTCTTGCGGCGCAGATCCATCCACAGCTCGACATACAAGGTTTGGGTTTCGTTCCGACACTCTGTGCGCAGGGCGCCGCAGACCGAAGTATCGAAATGTGTCTGCCAGTTACTCGTGCGCATATACTTGCGCACTCGCATGCGCATTCCCCGAGGGTGTCTCTCGGGCTGACAGCGCGTTTCGGGGTTGCAGATCGACGCGCGGCATGACGCAAGTCCACATTTCGACATTTCGTATGGACGTGAATGCCGAGAGTCAAGTCACAGAACTTCCCCCATGGATAACCTCTCGCAGACCGAAGTCCGTCAGAGAGATGCATGCACAAGATGTCATGCTTGGCCATGCTTGGGTCGTGACATTACGAGCACGGCAAAGCGGGATGGGCAACCGATCGGTTCCGGTGCGCAGTCCTCTTACCCTCGTCCCTCGCCCGTTATATCCTGCATCCTTCAAATACAAAGTACACTTATGCACCCACGCACGACCCCATTCTGGGCTAGTCGTTCCGAGACCGGAGGCGTACAAGTGGACACTCCTAGCGCAAAACGCGACACGACACGCTAAGCCCCAGAAGTCTCGCTTGAGACAAGCCCCCGAACAAGCCATTCGTCTCTGCTGGGCTAATGCCGGAAGTAGCCCGGTGACAGAACAATTGGAAGAGTACTTACAACAGGCATGACGCGCGTGCTTTCAACTCTCGCGACAATAGGTCTCGTTCAGCCTCATTCCACGGCCCACACGAGGCCACACGAGTCCACACGAGTGCGGTTGGACCATGCGCTGACTGACTGCGGTGCATGACGCCGAGGCGCCGAGGCAGAGGGGGATCGGCATGACTGCGTGCTGTCTCCGGACGGCTGACAGGTTATGCATACTTGCGATCACTACAGAGTTCGGGCAATAAAGCCGTTCCTCAGCGAGTTCTTCTGTGTCTCTGTACCTCGTCATTCGTCACCACCACCCATTGCTCAGAGTGAAGAATGATGACAATACCCTCTCGGTATCTCCTCGATCTGCGCAACACTCTGCCTTGCGACTCATGAAGCTCACGCGACCCTCGGAGGCGGACCCAATGAGCAGCTCCTCAGCGCTGGGGACCACGCCCGTTTTGGTGCAAGTGGTGCAAGACTTGGCGGCGTCTGGAGTTGCGGGGTAACGCCCAAACCCCGCAATCGCAGTCAGGCGCATTTCAGCATAGACGCCGACTTTCACAACAGGTCGGCAATTAGGTCTCTCGATCTCGCAGGGAAAGTCTACGCCGTAGCGCCTAAAGATGTCGCCTTCTCGCCGCATTGCGCCCCAGTGTTCGAGAAGACCTCACCCTCCGCGCTTGCCGTTTGGTTCCCTGGACGAGTCACGTACAGGACCTGAGCGTAGGTTGGAGGGTCGCTTCTTGAGCACTGCGTCGGCGTAGGCCGCATCATTCTCTGGCTCCCATGTGTGCGTACTTGGCCCTGCCTCGCCTGCGTCCAGGTGGCCTACCCCACTGAGCTGCGCGGCTGTGTATCCCTCGGACAAAAGCCGTGGGACCGACATATCCTTCTTTCCGATGGAGGTCGAACGTCGACTCATGGCGAGAGGTGTGACAAGAGCCTCCAATGCGCTGAGAGGCTCTACCTCGCCCTCATCCTGCAGGTCGATGGCATAGTTTCCGCGCACCGCACGAACACAGCGCAAGAAGTACCATACGAGAAGAGCGATCAGTGCCGCAGCGCCAAGCACGCTTCCGACGACAGCGCCCCGTGCTTCTGCCCAGACCTCGGAAGGTGTCTCGACGGGCGCCCAGCTGCTACCCCCACCGGCGCCGAGCATGGACACTCCATAGCTGCCTGCGGCAAGGCAGCTGTCGTCTTCGCTCTCGCCGATGTGCATTGGCTCCAGGAAGCCGAGGTTGCCATACGTCCCCGACGTGAAGACGGCAAACGCGACCTCTGTGCCCCCGCGAACATTGCAGTTCTAGCGGAGCATGGTGTTGGGCCTTGGGTCCGCAATGGAGATACGGAAAGTGTCCCCGTTGGCGATGAAGCCGTAGACCCAGGCAGGGATGGTGACGCGCTTCGTCCACCCAAACCTCATCTCTGTGCACTGCTTGGGAGCATCCATGAAGTTCGTCATCCACCAGAATACCCCTTCTGGGCCGACTGTGAGCGGGTTCGAAGATACGCAGGAGGACACGTCTCGCTGGATCGCTGTTGTCAGTCTTTTACCCCGGGTCAGGCCACGCACACCTGACGTTCGTGACTCCCCCCGAACCCCAGCCCGATGCTTCGTGCATCGAGGCATCAAATTTCTGACCCCGGCACCAGGACTTTAAGGGAAAGGGAAAGGTGTAGCTATTCGAATCGTACGCTGATCGCGGTATCGTCACGTTGAGAAGCTCCACCCCAGGCTGCACTGTCCACTGCGGCGTCAGCACTTGCATGATGTGTAGCGACAGTGGGAGACAATGAGGGCAATTGGCTATATCCAGCCGTGCTTGCCTGCTTCAGCGTCGGTGTGGGCTGCTTTCCAGTCAACTCACCAGTACAAGCACGAGTCCGTAGGGCGGTTTGCCACCGTTCCTGCCGTCAGCTCAGCGACAGACACGCTCCTCACCAAGCCACAGTCATTGTCCCCGCCGCATCAGCGGGCTCACTGAGCCCAAACGTGAAGGTACGCTTTGCGCTCTCGGCAACGGCCATGCCGGCAGCCGCAGGTTGAACCAGGGCGGTAACCACCAGGGCGAGCTCCAGCATTGACAGGTTGAGGATGGCCGTGGTTCGATGATACGTGAGAGGCGAGCTCGACGGATGGTGGCGCGCGATAGTCGGTTATGGAGGAAAGGAAACCGCGGAGCGGGTCGAGTTGGAAAGGAAGATGGCAAATAACGACGTAAGTGGTCAGTGAGCCCTTGCCTCTTGGTACTCGTGTTATCGGAGGACTTCAGATCAACAGCCCGGAAGCGTGTGGAGGAGAAGCAAGGCTGCATGTGTCAGTCCCAGTCAGTGCGCAGCACTCGATATGCAGGCCCACCCCCCATTGGCTGTCACAGTCTCGTAAGCTTCGTTGAGAGCGAGTTTGACCAGTATGTTGATGGTGGATGGGAAGATCACTCCTGTCCAAAGTTGCGACGAGGTCAGACCTGCTTAAAAACTGGGGATAAGCGCCGTTGCGCCACAAGACAACTCGATGGCCTTGACTGAGCGTTAGATCTAGCGCACTGGCATATCAAGCGTCGGGGCGAGTGCACCGTCGTTTGGCCTGCGACGCCGCGGAACTGTCGCGCATGAGCATGTGTTCGATGAATAAGGACCCGGCGTTGCCGACGTAACTTCGACCTAGCGATCAAGCGAGCGGAACGTCCAACAAACGCCACCCGTACCTGGGTCTTGCTATTTGCATGCCGATCACGTTGTGTTCTCTGCGTTGTACACGGAACAAATCCATTTCATTTCGTTGTCGAAGTGCCGCGCAATCTAATCCCAGACCAGTCGCGTCCAGAACGTCGCGAGGTGCGTCGAAATGCCGGATCATAGATAGGAACGAGGGTGTGAGGATAACGGCGAGACGTGCCCGCCCATGGCTGGTGACCGAGCCGATCCCTTTTGAGATTCTCGGGCCGACGCTACCCTACCTTTACATGAATGCCAAGACTTTGCATTTTGCTCTGGACTATTCTGAGGTCGTTGAGCTGGCGCTAGCTGAAGTGTATGTTTCATACGCAATGATTTTGAGGTCCATGTGCGATTGAGACACCGCAAAAGCAGCTCGGATGGACGATATCCGCAGCGTCGTGTGATCGATGAAGTGTTGCGTACGTCTTCTTGGTGGGCACTGGGGCCAGAACTCTGAAGCATCGTCTTGCGGGAATCGATCACCGCGATGCCGGCTTGTTGCGCTCTTGGCTTCTGTCCTCCGCGACAGAGGTACAGAGGGCCCCACGTCCTGTCTTGCCCACCTGCTCCACTCGCGATCACCTCACCAACTCGTCCGATCGATTTGTTGTCGAGTTTCGCGTCTTTGTGAGAGCCCAGTGCCTCTGAGCAGGCCGACGTACCTCGAGGCACATCTGCCCTCTCACTCGAAACAGCAAGTGGTCAGCACACAGGGCTGCCGAGATGTCTGGCGGGGTTGTCGAGCAGTCAGCACGAGTAGGCTGACGAACCAGTCAGACACCAGCCAGATAACAAACAGACATCAGCCAGACAGTCCATCGAGTTAGCTCAGCCCACTTTCAACGCATGGCACATCATCGACTTCCCGCGGCATCTCATCATCGACTGAATAGACCATCAATACGCTCCCTACCTTTGGTCAGGAGAGAGGTTGCTCAGAAAGTGGTAACCATGGCTGGTCCATTCAATAACTTCGTAAACATGCGTAACACCCGCGCGCGCGATGCACTCTTCAATGCACTAGCGCGCGTGTATGCCTGCTCTACATGACGCGAAAGCGTGGGAACGAGCAAGACGACGGAGCGCGGAGACGTGAAACGTTAAATGGCGCTCCTGGGTGATCTCCTGGGTGTCCCTCGTGCCTTGCTCTTTCGTTTATACGACTTGTTTCATGCGTCTTTACCTCTTCCTCTTTGCCTCTCCTCACTGAGGCTCTTGATACGAGGGCAGCCCATTCACCGGGATACCTCCATTCGCGTGGAGAAGGGTTTCATGTCGTCTCGTTGGATGGAGATAGCAGGGTGGTAGGATGGTGAAGATGGATGAGGTGAGCAGGGGGGGGGGTAAGGTAACGGATGAGGGTTGCTCGGATCGGCGTGCCTGTGAATTCAGACCAACCTTAGAGATTTCAACGTTCTTGGCATCCGCGCGCTCGTTGGGTCAAGGTGTTCTGGACTCGTGCTATCTCCCACTCACCCAACCACCCAGCCTCTTGTACGTACACCCGAACTGTGCCCCGTGCCCCCGTGTCCCTTCATCTGGCTCCCCGCGTATTTGAGCATGCCCACAGATACGGGCTCTGCCCAACGACCTGGCGAGTAACAAGTACCCAGATCCAGGATCGGACCGGGCAACGCCTGCTCGCTTGTGCAACGGCTCTCTCGTCTGGGTGCAGGGTGGGTGACGGCACGCCTTTCCCCCGCGTTCACTACGGTCGCCTCGTCCGATCCACAGCCCCGGTCCCCTCATCCAGAATATGCAGCACGCGCCCCGACGTCAGATCCAGACCCCCCGTACCCCGGACTCGAGCTCGATCATACGTCCTCGCTCGGCCCCTCACCCCCCGCCTACAGCTCACCGCCCACACACTGGCACTCACACACACTCACATTTCTGACTCCCAACTTCTGATTCTGTCTTCTACTCATACGCACGTACGCCTGCCTTCCGCGCCGCCAGTTCGAGCACTTGGACTACTCTACGGCTCGACTACAACACTCAACCTCTAGACAGCTGCATTATCTCGCTAAACCCCTCGCCCTCTCCTCTTGCTTACTTCCCCACCTTCGTCTCCACCACCTCATCCACAAAAGCTCGGCAACAACAACCCGCAAGCAAGCAGCCAGCATGGTTCGCCTCTCGACAGCGCTCGGCTCGCTGGCTGCGCTGGCCGTGCCCATTCCCTTCGCCGCCGCCGCCGAGCGCGCGTTCAGCTTCAACGTGACACAGACGCCGCAGTGTGGAAACATGACCGTCACTTGGTACGCATCTCTCCATCGACACAGCTGACATCAAGGGACGGCGGGAACCCTCCATTCGGCCTGATCCTCATGCCTGTGAGTACCTCTTCCCTATCTGTCCGAGCGCCAAGGAAGAACTGGAGGGACTGGTGACTGTGCGCACGAGTCATTCTGGGAAGACTTGGCATCCCGGGTTCGCAGCGAACGGCAAGGAACGAGGTGGCGAGCTGGCAAGCTGGCGGCGAGGAAGGTCTCTTCTCGCAGTGCATAGCGTGGAGTGCAGAACGTGCGGTGCATATCCCAGTGCCCAGTGTTCGGTGGCTGCGAGGATGGGATCTCGGGCTCTGCCCAGGAGGTCGCGAACAGGAGCGGAAGATCTACATTCCGCCCCTTCAGCCTGGCCGCCACCGGCCCTTACTCCCTTGCTCGAGTCGAGATCTCGTCGCCACTGAGTCACCGGCCTTCTCTGGACCCGACTGGACTGCACAGAACCCATAGTGCAGCGCCGCAGGGTTGGTGGAGATCGCCGTGCATCTCTCGCCGCTCGATCTCGCTCATCGATCGAAAATCGCGCACACTCAGACCTGGGCTCGGGGCCGGATACACCGCACACACCGCACACACCGCAGCGCGCATCATGACGTATTGCTGGCACGCTGGGGAACAAGGTGTCCGTGTGCTCTCTGTCGTCCGTCTGCCCAGCAGGTTGAGCATGCTTGGCCCTGTTGCGTGCTGAGGGCTGGCCAGTCACCGACAAGTAACCTGCTGTCCACCCATGCCGCGTTTCGTTCCGCTCAATCGTCCGCATTCCAACTGCGGACGCGAGCTTGTCAGCTCCCCCTCCCTACTGCGATGCTTGAAGTTTCAGTGCGAGTGGCAGTGTTCTTGCATGTCGAAGGAAGACGGAGAAGGGCAGCCTAACCATGCTTATGCGGGCATCTGAGCGGCTACCCGTTGCGCCCTACACATCGGCGGACTGGGCCGCTTGGCCGTTCTCCCTCCTCTGCTGGGTGCTGCGCTGTGTCACCTCCCTGGTCGCAATGGCGATGTCAGCTGTGTCACTGGTCTCGGCTCCGACTCGTTCCAAGACTGTCCCCGGTGCCCTCGCAATGACCAAGCAATGAGCAAGCGCTGACGTGCAGTGGTCGGTGCAGCCCGGCACGAAGATCCACAACATCACGATCCCCAGCTCGGCGAACAACAAGTACACGCACACGTTTCCGCTCGAGTCGTGGCGGGAGGGGCAGCAGTTTGTTGCGACGATGTACGACTCGGGCGGGTGGGGGACTGGCGGTGTCACTGGTGTCATGAGTGAGTACGCGTCCCCACTGCCCAAGTTGTTAGCACGCGCCCCGTTTCCTTCGAAGCTCGCTGTGGTCCAGTCTCAGCTAACTCCCAGCCGTCAGCAAGGGCGACAAGTCGTGCGAGGGTCCAAACGACTCGCCAACAGACGGTGCGTTCTGGCAGGAGCCCGAGAATGTCTCGGACATCAAGCAGTGCACGGAAATGGCGTTCGGGTTCACGGAGCGCGTCCCCCTCCCAGCCGGCGTATACGGCTTCATCCCCAGCGGCGACACATTCAAGATTCCCATCCTCGACCCTCGCGCGAGCGAGACGGTGAAATGGACGAACACTGTGCGCGCCGGATCGCAGGTCGTGTTTGCCGTCCTCGACTCGGGCACGTACGGCGACATGGGCTTCTTAGAGCCGATCACGGTGGGGGAGAGCGCCCAGAATGGCTGTCTATCGGGCGGGAGCTACGGCACGACCTCGGCTTCGGGGCCGGTGCAGACCGGCGGCGGGTCCAGCGGCGAACTGCGCGGCACGGGCGGTAACGGCAACCCTCCTGGCGGACACGGATCCGGCACTGGTGGTGGCAAGGGCGGGCAGGCCGGCAAGAGCAACACGGGCACAATTGTCGGAGCCGTCGTGGGCAGTGTTGTTGGAGCGGCGTTGATCCTCGGCGTTCTAATCTGGTGGCTGCTCCGCCGCCGCCGCGCCGTGCGCACCAACTACGCCGTGGACCTGCACGACGAGTCGGATGTTCCCGGCACGGGCACAATGACCAACGCGATGATCACGCCCCTGACGTTCCGCCACGACAGCTCTCAGACCACAGCAAGCATGGACGAGAAGGGCCGCTTGATCAACGGCTCCCTGTCTTCGCCCGCCTCGCACTCGCACTCGCAGAACTTCTCCGCCCCGGGTTCGCAGGGCTACACCTCCCAGCAGCTCAGCGGCACGCACGAGGGTACCGCCAGCGGAAGCGCGGGACCGAGCGAGTTTGGCTCTGGGCCCCAGAACGAGCCCGAGATCGACGCCGAAGCACCCTTCCGCCAGGCCGGGGCTCAGCCGCCGCCATCCTACGACCACGTCCTCTGGGTCACGCGACCGGACGGAGCTAGAAGACTCCGCCCGCGCCAGAACCCGGACGCTCCTGCCGGAGCCCCGGGAGCGGGAGCTGGAGGAGCAGCAGTGGTCGGAGAGGAGAAGGCGCCCACGACGGGCCTGTCGTTGGTTCAGCAGTAAGCAGTGTGTGTATGGATACAGTGTGCATTGTCTACAGCCCCGGAGGCGGGCGGTCTAACGTGTCGTTACTAATTGTGATGAATGATAACTTGCAGATAACTCTTCTAGCTGTGCCTCACGTCGCCCGCTCTTCCCATGCCGCGGAACCCAACAGCGGCGATGATGGCCACCGCCCACGGGAAAGCGGCGCAGAATCCGAACGCGTCCTTCAAGCCAGCCATGCCCGGCTTTCCCTCGGCGAGCAGACTCGCGCAGCAAACGCCAATAGCATTCCCGAGCTGGACAGCGGTCTGGAACACGCCGCCGGCGGTGCTCTGGTCCTCGTCCCTCGCCAGGTTGCTCATGAGAATAGAGCCCGTCCCGACGGTGAAGTCCGCGCCGAACGGCAGAAGGACCGCGCTCACGAACTCAATCACCCAATAGGTCAGATTGGCAGGTTTGACGACGTAGAGGAAGCAGCTCAGTCCCGAGCTCAGGCCGCCGATCGTGATGATCCAACTGGCCGGAAACCGGGGGACGAGGTAGAGCACCGCGCCTGCCGCGAAGACGCCGACGACGGACGCGGGGAGCGTGTGCACGGCGCTATCGAAGGGCGAGAGTCCCTTCAGATCCTGGTAGTAGAGCGACACAAGCAATACCCATCCGCTCACAGCGACGAAAGTGAGGAACCCGCACAAAGCCACGAGGGCCATCTTGCCGTGCTGCGCCGCGAGCATGGAGAGCTTGACGATAGGTCGTCCGCCACGTTTCTCGAGGCGGTGTTCCCAGAACCCGAAGGCCACGAGCAGCACAACGCTGAGCACGAGTGTGCCGGGGACATACGACTTCCACCCCGCGATGGCAGATTGTGCCAGCGAGAAGGTCAGCAGCGCCATGGCGGCCGTGATCATGACTGAGCCGGGAATGTCGATACGCCTGTCCGTGTCCGTCGCCCTGTCGCGGGGAATCACGAACCCGAGCGCGAGCGGGAGTGCGGAGATGCCAGCAAGCACGTAGAAGAGGTAGAACGCGTCGCGCTGCGCCATGATGCCTCCCAACAACATGGCGAGAGCGGCACCGACGGGATTACCAAGCGACATGCAAGCGTAGGCTGTTGTGCGCGCGCGGCCGCGAAAGTTGACCCCGATGATCCCGAACGCGGCCGGCGTGGCTATCGCCAACCCCAAGCCCGCCAAGGCGCGCAGGATGCAGAGGGGGATGAGGGAGCGGACGGGACCCGAGACGGCGTTGAAGAGCGTGCTGAAGCCCAGGCCGAGGAGGAAGGGCAGGCGACGTCCGAAGACGTCGGACAGCCGGCCGGCGGGGAGGAGCGCACACCCATACGCCAAAGTGTATGAGGACGCGACCCATTGCGCCTGGACTGCCGAGACATGCAGCGCGCTCGCTAGCCGCGGGACAGTGACGATGACACTCTGGGAGGAGAGCGTGGACAGGAACACGGACAGCATCATCACCCCGGCCAGGATGACTTGGCGCACCGTGCTCAGGTGCGGCTCTGCCGAGAGGGCAGACTCGGCGTCGCCTGTCGAGAGGGTCGGGACGCCGTACTCTGCTTCTGTGTCACTTGTCGTCGTCGCCGCTATCGTCTTCTCGGTGCCCAGGGTCTTCTCGCTGTCTGGTGTCGAGGCCGCGGAGGCCGCCTTGCTGTCATGCGTGCTGTGGGTGTAGGCCGTGCAGTGCGAGTCGACGTCGTCGCTGTCTATCGTAACCACACCTAGCGTCTCGATCCCCGTCTCGGGCGGGGGTATCGTCACATCTTGTGTTGGTCGTGGCGAGGCGGGTCGTGGTCTTGAGAATGGCGAGCGCATCGTGTATCCCGTCGCCCTCTAGGTCTATAGTGTGTCGCTGTGGTGTGTCTCAAGGTTGCGATTCGTGTTACAAGGGCTGGGCTCCTCCTCCGACAGAGTTGGTATATGTATACCCCGCTTCTTCAGCCTGTCCTTTCCGTTTCCCAGCTCGTTTTCTTCCCCAGACGTAGACGTAGCCACTAGCTAGCGTGTCTCTCCCGCTTGTAAACTCTGATTGTGGAGTGAGGATGTGACAACCACTTTGTACGAGAGAAGCATGGGGTTTCCCCGGGGGATCCCCAGGTGCACATGTTACAAGCCCGCGAGGTCGCTGCGTACGTTTGACTGCGTGTTGCTTTTCCAGCAAATGTTAGCCAGTTTAGCAGCAAACTCGGGCCAAACGTCAGCGTGAAAACCGCTGCGTCCCGGTCGGTCCCCGTGGTGGGTTGTCGGCCTGTCGGCCACTTTGGCCCAAACGGCATGAGCATGTGGTCCTGCCAGCCCTGCGGGGCGTCGGCACTCTTGCCGCTAGTGGCTCGCAGCATCCTTTCGGATGCTCGGTCACCCCCGGATCAAAGTACGGCCAGCGTAAGGTTTGCCGGAGTCCATCTACTTCTCCCAACGACTCCTCCATTTTGGAGACGTCAGACTGGCTACATGTTTGTTTCTTGGCCCTGTCCTTATGACCATGCGATGCGAAAAGAATAAGGGGAAGTAGCTGGGATGTATGCACTTTTCTCAGCCTGACAGAGCGCTCACTAGTCTTGGCAAGTCGAGAGATGGGGGGCAGCGCAGCAAGATTGAAGTTTAGTGCGGCGCCACATGGCCCCTTTCAACCAGATTAGCAGATTACACGTTCCCCCCCCTTTCCTTACGCACTCCTACAGTCCTACGCAAGAGGACGCCGCCGATCGTTCCGAAACCAACGATACAACTGCGGTCGCCACCCCTGCACTAAGTGTACTTGTGTCTTTGCCACCCTGCCGCCCTCTCCCTGGGCGTGTCTCTGCCCACCAGGTCGAGCAGACGCCGGCGCACGCTGGTATGCCAGCGACTCACCACGTCAGCCAACCTTCAACCGGAGGACCCAGGAAACGCACGGCATGCCGAGCGTGCCCCGAGGCCCCGAGATCCCGTGAGATATCGCAGACGCAGGAGACTGGAGACTGGAGACTGACAAACCGAATTACCCCCGCAGCCATGTCGTTGACGCCTAATGATGCCTGGGTGACCACTAGCGCAGACCGCTGGCGTCGCTCGGCCGCGTAATCTGGTGAACTTGTAACAAGTGAAACGGACCGAATGGCCCGAACTTGGTCCCGGCCGCATAGTTGCACTGTTGCACTGCTGATCATTCTAGACTGCCTGACATTGCGAGTCCGCTATCGGACTTTTTGGCTGACGGCAGCGTACTTGCGGACTGAGATACATAAGCCAGTCAGTCAGATGCCTAGGAACGTGAAGAATTTACGATAGTGACGAGTTGCCCGTCTACCGATGCGATAGGCCATAACGACGGTCATGAACAGTCATTGCCGCATCTTCCACTTCTAGAACACCAGATAATCACCGCTTCTGCAGCGACCAGTGTGCCTCGAAGAATCCATCTGATTGTCACCTACAAATATACGTACGATCCAAACACGAAGAGAACTAGAATCACACACTTCGAAAAGAGTTTAGTTTGTTCAGAGAATGACGGGAGAGACGAGCGCATATACTCGTGACTAGTGGGGATTTATTTGGTATGAGAGAGGGGTGCCTGCGGAAGACTAGATTTATACAACATGCTCTTGGGAGTTTAGACACCGACGCTCTGCTCAGCGCCCCAACCGGCGAGGTTGAAGTTGAACATGGCGTTCTGGTCGACGGCAGGCTTCATGCTCTGGACGGCGTCGCCGGGGTGGCCCGAGAACATGGACGCCATGAGCTGGTTGAAGCCCTGCGCGTTCGCCGGCGTCGGGTGCATCGGCGGCTGGCCGGGGTACTGCGCAAAGTGCTGCTGCTGGCCAGGGAGGGCGGCACCGACAGCGTAGTGCTGCTGCGGCTGCTGAGCCTGAGCCTGGGCCTGCTGCTGCTGCTGCTGGATCGACTGCTGGAAAGCAGCGAGGTGCTGCTGACCCCACTGAGCGGGCATCGAGGCAGTGCGAGAAGCGGCGGCAGGACGCTGGACAGGAGGCTGCGCGTCATCGGCGGAAGCGGTCGAACGGGGAGACGGGGTCTGGTGAACATACATGGCCTGCTCCATGGAAGGAGGCGTGGGCATGGCGTTCGGATGCGAGGAACCAAGAGGAGACTCCGAAGAGTCAACAGAAGTAGCCGAGTCAGACATGAAGGCGCTGAAAGGAACAGCGGGCGAAACCTGGTAACCATTGTTCCAGTTGACGTTGTTCATGTTCGTGTTGACAGTGAGAGGAGCAGAGGTGGCGTTGATGTCGGTCGAGTTGCGAGGAGTGAAGAGACCAGTGTTGATGTTGCCCGCAACAACAGCAGCAGTCTCAACGTTCATGGAGCCAGAGCCAGCGGACGACGGGCGAGCCGCGGGCTGCTCCTCCTCGTCCTCATTCTGCTCCTCGTTCGACTCGTCAACGTTGGCGAACGAGCCAAAAGTCTCCTTCTCGACCTGGCAGATCTCCTCCATCTCAGAGGTCCACGAAGCAGCGGCGCCAGCCTTGGGAGGGAAGCCGTTGGCCTTGCGCCACTCGTTGACCTCGGCGAACAGCTCGTCGCGCTCGGCGGTCAGCTGGCGCAGCAGCTTGGCGGCGAGGAGACGCTGGTTGCGCTGGTGGGTGAGGTGGGTGATCGAGCCATTGACGATGGCAGACTTGGACGGACGGCGGCAGGCGGCGAGCGAAGGAAGAAGGCGCGCAAGAACGAGGAACTTGGAGTTGAGGGTCTCACGGCGCTGACGCTCGATGGCGTTGTGCTGGTGGCGCTTCTCAGCAGTGTTGACGCGCTTGCGAGGCTTGCTCTTAGCGGTCGATCCCGCAGGACGCGGCGCACCAGCAAGGGCGATGGGGCCAGAAGTGTGGCTGGCCTCGATGGGCGAAGTGGAAGTGATAGTAGTCGACATCGTGCGCGGAACGGGTATAGATATAACGGCGGATCAGACGAGACTTGGTCGAGGTTCAAAAAAAAGCTGGTGAAACCTGGGTCGGTGGGTGATTGATGTTATCTATACAGTCAAGTTGAGAGTGGGTACAACAGCACAGAGGTCGTTATACGTGGTTTTGCTTGAGGGGTGAAGAAGTGGGTTGCCGAAAGGCAGTGAAGACCGCTTGAGGGTCGTGATTGTGTAGAGTTGTTGGTTGAGGGGAGAAGAGGTGCCGCGAGACGAATCTCAAACGTGCACAAGGAGGTCGGAAGGAAGAGGTAGAAGGGGGTTTAGGCCTTCAGGTTGGGCAACTAGTAGCGTTCGAGAACACTGGCTAGGTTGGGTAGCGTCGCAGTAGAGGAAGGTACTGAAAGCAAGGACGGGTGATGTCGATGGTTCAATAGATTCTCAGTTGGGGGAGGTGGCGGTGACGCGTGCGTGCAAAGATGCAGAGATGTGGGCGAGAAAGGAGAGAGTGCTGGACTGGGTCGCGAGCGCTGTTGGTGAAGATCCCGGGAACGTTCGGAGCAACCAAGGTAGAGAGCGGCGAAAGATAGCAGAAAGAGAAGGGAGGTATGTCAGCGTCCGACTCATTGAATTCAACTCTGTTCTGCCAAAGCCCCTTATCGCCGCCAACCAGTGTCGCCATCAGCCAGTACGGATGAACCATCCGATGCTTAGACAAGGTACGCTCAACTCAATGCCATTGCCGCATCGCCTCGGGCTGGGCCTTTCGGAGCTGACATGGAAACATGCCCAATACCGAGTGCACAGGACGGAGCGGATGATTGGGGATGATGGCGGGATGATGTGATGCGACGCGGCTTGAGTCAAGCACCGTGACCCAGGGTGGTCACGGAAACGGGCGCAAGCCAAAGCTCGCCTATACAGCCATGCCCAGACTGGGCTGGTGTCCCACATTCTAGTACGACGCCCTCGACGGGGCACATCAAGGCTCGGCGCCTCTGTGGAAACTGCTCATCGATGCAAAGCACGAACAGCTGCTCGGCGCAGCGTTGATATCGCTGTCATGTACGCAGACGGATTGGCGGCCGTGTGTGGAAAGAGATGTGACAGTGAAGCGAATCGACGAAGAGCGGCTGCAAGCGGGCTAACGGGGCGCGTTTGCGACTTGGGCTGGCGGGATGGGCGGACGAGAGCGAATACTCACGAGCAAGCGGTATCCAAAGTACGCAGCGAGGAGGTCGGTAAGAAAGAGTTGAGTAACGGGCTGGGAGGCCAGTCGAGGTAGAGAGAGTTGTGTGGTTGAGAGAGTTGGTTGAGGAAGAGAAGAAAGAGAAGAAGAACAAGAGCAAGGACGGTGGTACGCCGAGCACAGAGAGGCGGGCGGGCGGTGAGTGGTGAGGGGGAGGTGCTGGGTGAGGAGGGGGAAGGGG